TGATTTTAGGTGTGTTAGTGCTCCATAAATTTGTCGCAGGTTCAGAATTGTTTTGTTAGTCTTCATAATTTAAATAAATAATTAAAGGAGCACTTAGAACATGGGACATATGTATATTCATTCCTCTGTTAATGCTAATCAACAATACTTATATATCAAGAAATTCCCTCCCCTACAAACCTCCTCTGTAAGCCAGTATACCCGCTCTGGCCAAAAGCTACAGCGAAAAACAAAACAAAAAGAAGCTGCAAAAATGTATGAAAAGACAAACGGCATTGGCATCAATTTTTATTTGCCTCTCAGTATGGGTGTGCATGTGTGTGTGTATGTGTGTATGTGTGTGTGTGTGTTTGTGTGTGATGGCACGAGGAGAAAACAATTTTTATTACATTGAAAATTTGCATAAAATATTTAAGCCAAATGGTTGGTCGATTGTATGGGTATGGCAATGGTAAAACTTTCTTGATGCGATGGCCCCCTTTTCTCTCCGCCTTTCGCGTGTGTTTAGGCCTTTCGCCTGCTGCACTGATGGGTTTTGTTGTTGTTTTTTGACAGGCCTTCGGGGGCAAGCAAATAGCACCGAATGACAGTTGTGGTTTGGCTGGATACACACACACACACACACACAGATGCATGTCCATAACTCTTTAACGTTTGATTTGCAATTTAAGTTGTGTGTGGGGGAAATGCCCTTAAGCCCCAGCTCTCCCAAAAATTAAGTACAGTCTCAACACACAGAAACTTTAAGCTGCCAAATATTTGAGAGTTAGAGAGTGAAGAGAGAGGTGTACAGAAAAATACATAGAGATGCAGAGCAAAAAGCTTCAAGGATTCGTTGCACGTTCGCATCTTTAACGCCATATGTTGGCCCCCTTGTGCACACAGAGTGAGAGAGAGAGAGTGGCGGAGAGCCCCAGTAGCATATATCCTTTATCTTATATACCCTATTTTATGCCTGCACCACCATACAACCCCCCACACTCCACACTTTCTAGCACCCCACAGACCCCACCATCTCTAGCACCCATCATTTGTAGCATCCATGTTGCTGCTGCTGCTGTTGCTGTTGTTGTTGTTGTTTGTCGCCTCTTTGGCCAATAGATTGTGCCACCACACTTTGGCATTTTATAACATAAACTTTCATTTGTTTTCTCTTTTTTTTTTTTTTTTTTTTTTGTTAGTTCTTGTAATGCGCTCATGTAGTTTGTCTGTGTGTGTGTGTTTTGGGGCACATATGTAAGCCACAACTACACACACATAGCAACGAGTCTGATGTCTTGACATCTGTCTACCAGAGGACCAACAATACCCGCAGCCCCATTCTCTTTCGGCTCTTTGACAATCGTCCAAAAATGTAGATTTGCATGCACATCAGCATTGGGCATACATTTATCTCGCCGACTGTCGCCAGTTGTTGGGCCTCCACCCGACCCCCCACCCGCCTTAATGCGATGCCAGGCCAAAGAAGAGACACCAGAAGCAGCAGCAGCGGCAGCAGAAATAGCAGCGAAAAACAAGCCTAGAAGCCTGGCAGACCAAAAGGAGACTGGAGAAAAACTTTAAATAAAGTAGGGAATTTTCAACATCAAGTAGAACAGCCAATGATCAACACAGCATTTGATTGAAGGGAGAGCGCAACTTCCAATGAACTTAAGCTCACAATTAATTTAAGACTGTTTGGCACATTTTGTGATACATATATTAAAACTATCTGTAAACATTAAAACATTCAATGAATTTTCTTCATATTTGCAAATAGCAGATACAACGAGAAGGAACGTGTGAGTCGCTTCTGGGGACACGACTCTACTTATACCCGTACTCAGTCAGTATATACATTTTTGAGCGTATGATTTTTTAGAATTTTAAAATTAAAAAAATGTAATTTTTAATTTTACATTTTTTTGCTACATCTGTTATCTACATCTACAATGTATATTCTACATCTAACATGTAGATTGTACATGTACTATTTAAATTCTTCATCTCCTCCGCTAGGGGTTGCTCGCGCACTGAAAGCGGCAGAGTGTGCGAGCGAGAAGGAAAATGAGTTGTGTTTGTGTGGGCAGGAGGGGGCAGGGGAAGAAACAGAAAATTAATTTCTTCATTCTGGCTATAGTTATGATCCGATCTGATTCAGATTTGGCAATCTCGTAGATATGGGCATTCCCTACGATACTGCGTTTAGTTTTATCGTATCTTTAAAAATGTGCCTGCCACAGATTTTCGTCCTTTGTGTGGGCGGAAGGGGGCGGGGCGAAATTTTGAAATACACTTGTAGCAGTGTGATATTCCATGAGTCTGGAAACCAAATTTGGTTTCTTTAGCTCTTATAGTCTCTGAGATCCAGGCGCTCATCGAGACGGACAGACGGACGGACGGACGGACGGACGGACGGACGGACGGACGGACGGACAGACAGACATGGCTATATCGACTCGGCTATTGATGCTGATCAAGAATATATATACTTTATGGGGTCGGAAACGTTTCCTTCTCTGCGTTGCACACATCCACTTTTACCACAAATCTAATATACTTTTTTGAGTACTGGCATAAAAATGACAGGCTCAGAGATCTGGGCGTGCACATTAAATATTTGGCAGTGCTTTGACCACTGTACTGGCATACTCGTGCTCTCGTAGCAAATGAAAATCAATGAAAATTCATGGAAATGCAATACCAGTACGCCGATGAGTACGCCGGGCAGAGCGTACCCCAGTCGAACGGCCAGGCCATCAGGCCAGGGATATGGACATATCGATTCCCTGCATAAAATTGAAGCCATCAGCCAGGCTGGGGATGCATACAGCAAGAGCAGCAGCCAGCAAAGTATATTTGATTGATTTCTAGGAGTAAATGCAACAGTTTATTTGCATATTTTGCAGAATGTTTTCGTGCACAACGAACGGTTAACGGTAAACAGCAGTACGAGTATATTACTGTACGAGATATGCAAAATATTTAAATTGCCAAAATAACCCACACACACACGCACACACACACACACACACACAAAATAAAAGGTCAGAACATTTGGGTGGCGTCTGCGGCGGTCAAGGGATCATTGATGCTACCTTGTGCTGCTGCAGTTGCAGCTGCAGAAGCCAAACGAATTTTATAGAAAATTTAATAAAAATGCAACCCACAAAATAAAGTGCAGTGGTGGTGAGAGGTTTGAGAGTGCAAAAGGGAAATGCCAATGAATATAAGAAATATATACGAATAAATATGCTATTTACTTTTATTGCATTTAAATTTTTGCTATCAAAGCATCAGCCAGCAGCCAGCCAGCCAGCCAGCCAGCCAGCCAGCCAGCCAGAGCCAATGGACATATTCAGAAGTTATGGATTTTTGTACCATAAAAGGATTCCCATTTCCCACACAGAATTTTTGCCACAGCTGCTTGATATTTTATGGATATTTTATATGGAATTTAAAATGCAATTCCTTTGCAGAGAGGTTCTCTCCGCCTGCACATCTGTCTGTCTGTCTGTCAGCTGCCTTTTGGCCCCAGAAACTGATTTGTTATCAATAAAGCCCCAGCCCAGAGGCCAAAAAGATTTGCCAAAAGACAATGGCGTTAGCTGGCACAGAGGCGGCTACTCAACATCCAGTGTTAGTGCCATTTAATAAGAAAAACACTGCATTTATGCTGCCCTAAGCCGACCCCCTTGCTACCCATAATATAAGCATATTCATTACTTATCGTAATGCGAGCATGTGAATCCTATATGAACCTTCGTGTGCTGTTTGATGCCCAACTTTATGCCTGCCATCTACTCCGTGAACTGCGTTGCACACTCTGTTTATGGGAAGGAGCCACTGTGGCACGGCACTTGTAACGCAATTGAGTGTCGTCCCTGCCCCGGACTAAAGAAGAGCTTTAAGGGCTCTGCCAGAAAGTTGTTCCTGCCTGCCTCTATATCCTGTGTGTGTTTGTGTGTGTGTGCTGGCAATTCTCATGACAATGCAATGCTGCAGATAATTGCACGTTACAGGGTCCTGTACGGTAACAAGCAACCCCAGCAAGCCAACAGAGAGCAGGGACCAGCCATCCAAAGTTGGCTGTGGCCTTTGGTTGGAAAATTCGGTTTCCATTTTTGTTCAGTCGCTTCGAAGACAAAATCAAAATCCAACAATATGGCAATAAACGAATTTTCGTTATAACAATGCAGTTGACCATCGGGACACACCCCCACCACCCACACCCACCAGACCAGACCACACCACCACCCACCCATGCAACATGAATGGCCTTCCCTCTCTCTGTGTGTAGCCCAAACTGCGTTCAACCACATGCAATTTTGTTTGGATGCTGATACCCCATGGCCAGGGCCAAAAAGGAGGTAATGGGCGTCAATGGTCAGTGCTGGGACTTGCTAGCCACAATTTTGATGGGCAGGAGGAGCAGGCGGAAAATGTCCCTAGGTGTTGGCCACATGGGAGCGTAGCGTAGTCCCAAAAACGCAGCTATTTGTATTTTGTTGCAGGACATGCTGTCAGTGGCCATATCCTTTACTCTCACACAGACACAGACAAACAGACAAGCAGGCAGGCAGGCAGACAGGCAGGCAGACGGAGTGGAGTGCAGTGAAGTTGGCTGGATTTTTATTGAAATTGTTCTATGGGCAAAAATTCATAACTGTGGCAACGGCACACTGTACAGTGCACCCTACCGCCCAGCAAACGTTTTTTGGGCGCCGAACATCGTTCAATGCGTTGCCTCTGGGCAGGGCGGGACAGTTCTTATTGAATTTGCAGGACTATTTTCCGGAAATATTTTTGGTAATACAATGATTGTGTGTGTGTGTGTGTGTGTGTGTGTGGGGCTCTGGCTAATTTAGCTGCAATGAGTGTAACTTTGGTCTATCATTTCCGGCACTTGTTTAGTGTCATCGTGAAAATGATAATGAAAAAGAAAACAGAAACCGTTTGCCGTCGATTGCCTTATCAAATGCTTGAATTGAGTGGTGGTCGGTCGCCACTGTAACGGTGTCAGCTGGCTGGCCTAGTCTCAGTTTTTAGTCTTTGTCAACATGTCGTCGTGGATTGTGTCCACCACCGAGCTGCACAGCTGTGCTGGTGCCCATACTGGCACACGAACGGATGGTGGATCCAGGCACAAGCGCATGATCCTAATGGTGTGGCACAGTCTGACGGAGAAATGCGAGAAATTTGGACAATTTCTGAGGCGAGAGACGAACAAACCGCTGCCGAAAGAGCTGAGGCGATCGCTGCGATTAAGTAAGTCGTCCAAACGCAAAGGCTATCGGTCTTGCGAGAGCGAGGCAGATAAACGGTAAGAAATAATATACATATACAGTCTTCCCACCTGATAAGCCAATTGTTATTTTTTTTTTTTGGCCTGAAGGCTCTTGCTATGTACACACAGATATCAAGCAATTTTTTGTTTTGCAGGCTGATGCAAGAGCGTTTGAACGAACCCATTAATATTTCCATACGCATTGGACCGGCCTATGATTTTAGAAACTCAAACTGCTGATTCCCATTCCCAAGGAAACCCCCCTTTCGAATTTATCACAAAAAAATCCTCCTCTCTGTTAACGCTCTGTATGGGCTGCTGTTAAATTATCATTAGTTTAAATGCACATGTTGAATAAACACTGTTAGCTTTTAATAAAAGTTTCTGCTTTTCCATATGTTTACACCCAGTTTATTCGAGTTTATAACCGAGAGAGAGAGAGAGCTTTATGCTTTTTACTGCAATCAAAGCTCAGATAAGTTTCTCTTCGGTTTGTTTTCTCTTTTGAATAATAGCTCTCTTACGCTGCTAAGTTAGTTGGTTCTCTTAAGGACGCCCACACAAAAGTTTATTGCCCCGTGCTCACAACAAGTGGACGTGACGGCGTACACTTCCACTGCAGGGTATCTGTTTCATGGGAAAAACACGATATTCAGGTGTTTAGTGTAAGTCTTAATTATAAACAACAATAGTGCCTCTATTATATTCTTTTTTTTAGATGTTCAATTAAAAGAGGTATATGAAAATATATAAAAAATCCAATGAATAATTAATTAAAAACATTATAATTCTGTTGGTAACTTTCATAATTACACAGAGGTTTGTGTAAGTAACCAGCCTGTATATATTCAGTTGTTAAAAAACATTTTTATGATAACTTACTCCTATCCACGACCGGTCGCAGAGCATTCAAAAGTCGTCAGAGCTTAGGTAAGTTTTCCCTTTTTGCTGCCTTGCACTTATTTGCGGCGTTACACTCTCACTCTCTTTAAAGCGCGCTCGCTCACTCTCTCTCACAGTTAGTCTCTCTCTCTCTTCCCGTATGGCGCCATACGTCATAGAAAGCGTTATCTCCTCGAGCATTTTTTTTTTCGTGTGTTCCCGGTAGAGTGAAAAACGTGTTCCGCGGACGCGGAAATGACATTGATAGTGAAATTTTAGCTTAATTTTTCGACTTGTGGCTGCAATTTGTTTATTTTTTCGGGCCTCAAATGCCAAACAAGAAATGTACACAAAACAAAAATAATAAAATTCAATGCACAAAGTGTACTTTGATTGAAAAACTTTGACTCGCAGTAAAAACGGAGACCTAAACAAAAAAAAAAAAACAATAAATACAATTTACATAAACATAAGCGAAACAAACCAAGCGAACGCGCAAAATCTATTTAGTGCAACTATGAAGCTGATTTCAACATTCGTTTTCTTGGTGGTGGCATTTTATAAGTTTTTCAAGAAATTGTTGTAAGTTTTCATAATTATCTAATACGAGTACTGTGCTGTGCTGTGCTGTGTGTGTCCTTTGTGGTTTTTAGGGTTGTGTGCACTGTGCCCTTGTCCTTTTTGTGCACCCTTTTGCACATGGAAAAATCTGCGACTTATTGACAAAACAACACTAAAGTCAAAAACAACAACCACAGCGCCAGTGGGTTGCTGCCCGAAGAAGGAGGCCGTCTTGCAGCAAACAAAAGCAGCAACAACAACAACAACCACAACCACAGTGAACTGTAACAAAAACAACGGGGGATTTTTATTTTCGTTGCTTTTCATAAATCAAATTTCCTTTGTGAGCTCTCTGCATTTATTAAGCTTTTTGCGTCTGGTGCTCTTTCTTTGTACCTTTGCAGTTGGTTTTCTTTCTTTTTCATTTTATTTCGTTTTTTTTTTTCGATTATTTGTTTTGTTTTTAAATATATTCTGCTCCAATGCGCCTCTTTAGCTGCTGATTAGTGCGGGTGACAGGGGAAGAGATAGTCATAGAGATGGTGTGGGATTCGTCGTCCACACTCTCTTGCTGTCCTCTCTATCTCCCCCCCGGCTAGTTTCCGCTCTCTCTCTCTCTCTCTTTATTAGCGCGCCTCGCACGTTTTTTGTTTGGGTTTGAGGCTGCTAGGAAATCGGCTAGGGGCAGGGTCTATTGAAATAAGGTGTGGCCAATGTCTGGGCTATCTTACATATCTTTTGCCACTCTCTCTCTATCTATCTACACACATTAAAACTAATTAACTAATGCTTTCACCTCATCTAGACACAGCTTTGGCCGTGCGGCTTGCCAAACCATATGTTGGGGGGTGGGGTGGTGGTGTGGCTTTGGGTTGGTTTTTGGGGGTCTTTGTGCATGTAATTTACTCAAGTGCCTGCTTATTTCTCTTGTTTTTCGAGTGTGTGTGTGTGTGTGTGTGGTTGACAACAGAAATGGGTTCTTAATTACTCGTACTATAACGGTTCCTTGTGCCTACGTGGTACATTGTACATACATATGTATGTATGTATCTGTGTGTGTTCTGCTCGTTTGAGGGCTGTTGTGTACATAATTTGAACAAGCACAAAAGATCCGCTCTGATTAAAGAGGGGTGTTGCCCTTGTTCAAGAGACACGACCCCATAATTTAAACACAATTGTTGGGAATCCCCCCATTCCCATATAAAAGATCTCAGTTTGTCTGGGGATAATGATAATTGACAGATACTTGGCTACTTGTTACCCCGAAAGAATTTTGGGGTGTGGCTATCAAGTGATCATTAATTATACATACCATAGCATATACAGGCACTACATACAATATCCATCTAGTAATCTAGATTATACATTCTATACTATGCTATATTTCACTCCAATACATATATGTAATATTTTATCAATTGACTAACACTTAATTTAATGCAACCCTTCAGTTTATTTTTAAACTGAGCAATAAAGAAAGTAAAGTATGAACCTATAAATCCCACAATAATTTTCAAATAAATAAATATTAATTATTACTATCATGTAGAATTATAATTCGAATTTAGAACTACTATAATTAATTTATTAATGAATAATATAAACTACAACACTTTTTAAGCTCCAAAATCCATCAAACATCACCTTTCAATAACTATTCCCCAACCATTAAAATTTGTGTCATCAAATCATTCAAATTTAAAATCTATCAAGCAAAGAGATAAACATTTTTTAAATTTTTTAATGCAATTACTCTGAGTAATCCTTCACACCCAACCTTACCCAAAAATAGAATTACTCAGTACTCAATATCTAGATTGCTCATTAGCCGACCCAACCTACCCCAAAAGAGACTTAAAAAACTTAAGCCAGTCAGCTTGGAAGTCACCCGAAAACTCGAAAGAACTGGAATGACTCAGTTCTAGAATGGCATACTCGTACATATGAATGTACGAGTGTATGTGTGAGTCTCATAATCCATTCTGAACAAACACACCAAATGCCGCCTTATGTAGAAAAAACCGACTATGATAAGAAAACACTCAAAGCAAGGCACTATGACTGGTATATAAAAGAAAACACAGTACAAATTCCAACAAAATAAGTATACATTAAATATGTACATACACATGTGTATGTATATGATTTCTTAATATATTATATACATACGAGATCGGCACGCTTACGTTGTGAGTGCCGAATTCTTATCGAAACCCAGAAGGCATCGCAGCAGCATGGCAGACCTAGCAAACATTATATATACAAAAAACGCATATGAAGTAACCATAAATAGAGAGCGAACTTTATACCACAGCACTAAAACAAGGCCGTGGTGGGGTCCACTCGAAAACCATAATCTTATCTCAATGGCTAGACCACTGGGCTAGGGGCTGGGAGCTATAAAAAAAAAACAAAACACATGAGTAAAACTAAATAGTTGTATGCCCCCCCCCTGCCCATCGAACCCCCCGATCAGCAATAACCTTGACAATACTCTGGATTCGCGAATAGAACAACGCAAATGCAACCGCTTTAAACTAATTAAAACCACATAAATCCAGGCAACGTCACATTTTTCTGCATTCCCCCGACAATAGAGCTTATCGACACGGCCTTCCCCCGATTGAATCGAATCTTTTATAGCCAACATGTGAGTGAAAGAATTATATGCGGAGAACTATTTAGAAGTGGCAGCAATGCTGCTGCTGCTGCTGCTGCTGCTGCTGCTGCTGCTTCTGCTTCTGTTATAACCGATAAGATACACAGTCCAAGCCAGACACAAGACCAAGCCACCAGACACGAGCAGCGCGTCATTTGTGGAAATTCGTTATCAACTTCGATTTACAAATCGTGCCATGATTGACCCACTCACATTTAATAAAGTAATGGCTAATGAATCATGTGAGTGTGTGCTTGTGACAGATGTCTTTAATTTTAAGCCGGAATGTAGCTCCGAGTGATTCATAATGTAAATAATCTTAACTGTTTAAATAGGTAGCGGGCATTACATCATTATTTGTATTGGGAATTATTACAGGTTACATTATATACATTATCAGGTATACTTTCCTCCGTCAGTTAACTCTTTTACGCGAAGAACGGAGTCCCGTTCCCTTTATTGTATGGTAGAAAAGGCCTTCACTTTTATAAACTGCGAAAAATAAACGTTACAATTAATTTTGAATATAAAATTTCCTAATAAATTCAATTTTATTTTAATAAATAAACTTAACTGCTACTAAAAAAATGTATTTGTATTATTAGTGTAACCGCGACTGCTGGCACCCATTTGGTCAATACTCTTTAATATTGCTATATCTAAATTTCTTTAATTAATAAATTCTAAACAATTGAATTCAAATTAATTAAACATAAAAAATCCATCACTCTTTTGAATCACGTCATTTCATCTCAAAATGCAACAAAATAATTTATTCATATTCATTCATTATTTAAATTATTTTTTCAGCTTTTTCAGTTTGTTTTTCGTAGTAGATATTTTCATTATAAAAGAGGATATTTTCTGCATATTTATGCTTTACTTCTTTTTGCCCTTTAACACGATTTATTAAGAGTATTTACAATCTTACAGAACTTCTTGTGGGAGTATGTAGCTGTGAGCTGTGCTATGGCGTTCATTTCATTCTTCTTTCTGCCCTACCCTGCCTTGCCATAGTCTTTGCCTATTTACGAGTATATTCCCTATCAATGTCAGAGTAATACAGAGTAAGCTCCCTAGAAACCAAATTAAATACTAACTGTAAACATATTTATATATATGTACATATATACGAGTATGGGTACAGCAGAGATCATTACAGACCCTGAGAGCTTGAGCCATTGAACTTATTACGATAATGAGGTGGCCACAGAGCGAGACAGTGAGAGAGAGGCCGAGCGAGAGTAGCGAGCGATTATTGTGCAACCGCTTCAGTCAGACAGACACCCAAACAGAGAGCGTTAGAGGGGGTAGAGCGCGCACACTGCTATCAGTAATCCTTATCAGCATTATGCTCCACCACTCTCTCTCTCCCACTCTCTCTCTCTCTCTGTGGTACTGTGTGGGAGGAGTGTATAAATGTCGCAAAGCACCATCCATCGCGTTTAGTTCTTTGCAGTTCGTCGGAGGCATTAGAACTAATTAAATTTCGCCTTTGTAAAAATTCTACTTAATAGACACAGATCTTTCTCTGGATCCGTTTCGACTGCTCTTGGATACTCTTTCGATTCACTACTTAACCATGTGTGGGAATGCATAGCTCACTGGGCAACAAAATGGTGAGTTGTGCACCAAGACACACCCCACTCCCACACACACCATCCATAACATCCTGTGCTGAATGAGGAAAGCCCAACCATCGCTTGCAAAAATGCGCCCACGAATCGAACGAACCATTCGGAAATGAACGAATGTACCCCATTTAAATTTCGAGTCGTCCCGTTGATCCATTGAGAGGCAGCTGGAGTCAGCTTTGGCCGGAGTAGAACCAGTTATTTCCAAGCAAAAGTCGACGCGATATAGTGCACATACACACGTACACTTACGATTACAATGTACATCTGTGTGTGTGTCCCAATCTGTCGCTATGCGGTTGTATAACAAATTAATCAAAACTAAGCAAAGCGTTTCAAGTATTTCTATACCCTAGAAACCAAAAACTGTGCTGCTCAAACGACAGAAAAATATTTACTTGTGCGAGTAATAATTAAAATAAAATACTAGCAGAACTAAACAAGATCTTTAACTTTGAATTGCAAACCAAAAGAAAATGGAATTTGTATACCTAAATGGTAATTTATTCTCACAGCTTACAGTGCGGGAAGGGTTCTTCAGCAAGAACTGCAAGTGTTAAGCTTCTTTAGATGCTCTATAATCTGACAAAAACTATCCCCTTGAGGCATGCAAAAATATCAATCGATGATCTATAAAATAGATAAGAAAACGGAGCCAAGGCAAGACATTTTGTGTAACCTTAGAGTGTTCGAACGGCAGATTTTTAGATGGCCTATAAATATCAAAACCTTTAAAAAGTCAAAGAAGCAAAGTAAATTGCTTGCGCAGCTTCTGTCATACTTAACACCTTTTTGGGTATTAAAATAACCTGCCCGCCCAGCTGCATGTATCATCCATCTCCCTAGAGCTCTCATTTATAGGTCATCGAATAGTCGATGTCGATCGAATAGTCGATTCTTTAATTCAATAAGCGCCAAATCACTGATAAGCTTATCACATCACAGGCGTCTCTTGTGCCTATTCGTTTTTTTTTGGTTGTTTTTTTTTTGCCTGGAATTGATATATTGAGCTAGTAGGCAGACGCAAGATCGATGACCTGATCACCTCCACGCTGAACAGGTGTCCCAGCAACAATTTAGCTGAAAAGTAATGCCGTTACAGCGTTTATATTGGCATTCAATATGCCACACGCGTACGCCCTACCCAGGAGAGGCCTAGAACTGTCATAAGTTTAGCGTTTGGTACAAGTTCATGAGGCAAGTTGAGGGACGGTTCTCTATAGTGCACAGAGTACATATAGCCATAGCCATATATAAATAAAACTCAATGTCGGCCGCCGTTCTTGTTTATTCCGACACGACTTTCCGCAGTGCAATGCCAAAAAAAAAAAAATAAACAAAACAAAAAAACACACACCGAATTTATATCAAACAGCCAAAGAGAAATAAAGGGGATGGTAAAACCAGGGCAGGGGAAGTAAATAAATATTATATTTAATTATTGGGATATCGAGAATTACTTCTCGTTGGGTGCCTAAACGTGTGATAACTATACTTGGCAATACTGTAGTTGATAGACCAAGTTGAAGTTATCAGCAGAGCAAACACACACAAAGGGAAAATTAGTTGATTTAGGGAGTGGAAAGTAGGGGGATAAGGGACTATTTAGGGAGTGGGAAGTAGTAGGGGATAAGGGACTATATGGTGGTGCTGGTGGGAACGTTATTGAGTAAATATGAATAGTAAATATTTTGAAGTTTTAAGTTTTCCATGGCTGGAATAGTGTTTATAAATTGAGCAAATACACAGTTCAAAATTATTTATATTTGATCAGTAATTCCTGTGTTACATCTACAAAGGCGTTCGCGTTGAATTTATGGTAAATTTTGTTTTTTACGGATATGGATGCATATTAAATAAATTAAATTAAGTTAATAAATTCACTTGGCTGGGGTATTCCCGAAAAATATGGCTGCCAACACATATTTTTATGTTGCTTATACATTCTTCACGCCTAAAAGTCTGCTATGGATCATACATACTCGCACAAGCTTGTAAAATGTAAAGTATGTAAAGCGCTCATGTAAGAAACGTGTACAATTCGTGGATAACTTTTCAGGGGCAGATTTTGAATTCTATTCTTTAATTTAATTCAAATGAATGCACGCCGTTGAATTGAATAAAAGCTGTGATCTAGTAAGGGGATCCTTACTGCTCAAGTTTATGGAGAAACTTTTAGAATTATAACCTTTTATTTCTGCATATATGTACATATGTATATCTACATTTGCATAAGTACTTAAAGGAATAGAATGATTCGATTAAAGAAAATGGCTCATAAACCTTAAAAAAAAAATATTTAAAAAAAAATTAAATTCGATCTTTAATTTTAGAGAAAAACTAGATATAAATACGTGGACTCATATGGACTCACTGCGGAAATGAATGAAAGTTGTTTTGTTTTTTGTTTAGTTGTATCTGATTCGTTTTTAGTTTATTAGCCAACAAATGAAATGCAATTAATTTGCTCTTGAATTAATGCAAATTATGAAAGGCAGCAGCGAGCAGCAAAAGTCATGAAATGCTATGATAATTTATTAGCTACAAATTAGCATTGGAGGTTTTGATGTCGTTTTGTGCACTTTGCTTTGCTTTCCCCCTGTTTCCTGGGGGTAGGAACTTTATTGATATACGAGTATGTGTGTGGATGTCAAATGACAGGCAGCCCCAGACAGACATACAGGCAGACAAACAGACAAACAGTTGATTAATCAATCTTTTGTGATTGGAAATTGTTCATTATTTATCTATCAGTAGATATGAAATTATAGTTACGACCTGCCTAACATTTTTCTTCACTCTTTAAGGAAGTTGAAAATTACGGAAAAACTTGCAGATGACTTTAAGGGAAATCAAGACGCAATTTATTGGAGTGATTTTAGTTTATTCTTGCATGAAGTTGAAGTTAAATGGAGAGCCTATTTAGGGAATAAAAAACCTGCTAATATTTCTTCCATCTCTCTGGTCTTCCTTTGAGACATAATTCTTCATTAACTAGCCATTATTTAGTGCATATTAATCAAGCCTATAAATACATAGATCACTCCCCCTCTCTCTCTCTCAGTTGCTTAGCAATTATTTCACTCTTGCCTCAACCTCGAGCACAGCTACAAGTTCAAGTGTACAATATAGATATATTCTTATTTTAATTGAACAAAATACAATTCATGTTTTGTATGTTTAACATACAACACAATGCACAACACACTGCCCCAACAGCTGATTCATCAGTTCAAGTTTATGGCGGGGACGGGGGATCACATTGGGAAGCCAATGAAAGTTCCAGACAGACAGGCAGGCAGGCAGGGAGGCAGGCAATTTTGGGGGCAGTAAATCACAGTAAATGTGTGTTTGTGATTCGGTTAATTGTGAATTTGACATTTTGGAAAGTGATCAAATGTGGTTTGCCTTTAGCCAGAGGAACAACCCAAGCGCCAAATGAGCGAAACGATCGATCGAGAGCATTTACCTATGACTGAAACTGAGCAAAACAGCAAAACAGCAACGGCAACCAGCAACCAGCAACAGATAGACAACTGTCTGCCTCTTTTTTAATGAGAGTGCGGCGAGATGTGCGGAGAGGGAGCACTTGATTGCCTCGATCTCCGGCCAGAGCCGCCCGACAAAGATATAAATAAGGAAAAGCAACGCACGCGCGTATTAATTGTTGGATGTTCTAAACGGACAGTCGGTCGTAGTCTCAGTGCTCTCTCACTCAATCTCTCGTTTAAATTGCATATTAAATATTTTGCACAAATATTGCAAAAATATTGCAAAACTATATATAAAATTATTCAAAAGTGATCAATGGACGAAAAGTGCTAGAATATGGATAATAATAAAAACTGCATACAAGAGCATTATGGCCATCGTCGACAGCCTGCCTTGGGCAAGGCCATGCCCGTGACGGCGCTGCTATTGAATCTCAATCTGAACGATGGCACAGGCAGACGCAACCACGTACAGCCGGAGCAGCGGGATCATGATGATGATGATGATGATGATAAGCCACCGCGTTACTTTAATGTCACGGATGAGCCACCAACGCCCGATGGCGAGGAGCCACCGCCACCACCAGCCCACTATGGGCAGGATCGACAGCTGGCTGGTTGCTCGGAGTTGGCCAAGCCATGTCTGAATTGTTTGGGACTGGCACCAGCGGCAGATCAGCAGCTGAACTCCGCGTCCTCGGCCATAAATGAGATGTGCCTGCGTTTGTGCGGCGCTGAGTGCCGCCAGCCGCAAGGCCTCTCCTTGGGTGGCCACCAGCACCAGAGTCTGGAGAGTCAACGTGTGCGCCAGGATTTCCTCAAGCAATACGAAATTGCGGAAGCACTGGCCAAGACCTCGGCAATGACCTCCACGGTGCAAATGAGACAGCGTCTGGCCGCACGTAAACTGGAAATCGATTTTGAAATGGATGTCGAACTGGATGCCACCAAGCAGGCACAGCAACAGCAGCCACAGCAGATACAGCAGCAACAGCAGCAGGGTGTGGCCAGTGCCAGCCCCAACTTTAATCGAAGACAGACTGCAGCTGCCGTTGGAGGAGACACGGTGCCGCCGCCGTCATCGTCTTCGTCGTCGTTTACCGTCGATTATGAGCCGCCTCGCGATCTGCTCTTGTATCTTGTAAGGTGAGAGATTCCCGTCAGACTGTTTGCCGAAACTTGTGGCCTGGGGGGCTCCAGCTTCTACCTGTCTGATAAATCAAGTTCATGGCTGGACTCTGTGTCAAGTGTTCTTGGGCATTGTCCGGCCCCACAGCCACTTAGCCCCGTTTTTTGTTCAGCAGCAAAAACAACAGCAGAAAGAGCAAAACCCATAAACTAACCTTGCACAATTTGTGCAAAATGATCATCAGGGTGGTCGGGTTGTCTGTTTGTTTTGTAGTTGCGTGAAAGGCGGCTGAAAATGTGGCAGAAAAAATTAAATACGATACAAATTAAACTGTGGATTTATGACTAAATTGAATGCCTTTATTTGGCTAAAAAAAATGCTTTAAGGTTTTAGTTAGTGAAATTTTCTATTAGTTTATTCAGCATTCAATTTTCCAATTTCTGAAAACAAAAGAAAAAAATGAGAAGGAAAGTGTGAGTCGCTTCTGTGGACGCGACTCTACTCTTATACAGTATATATTTTACACATCTACAATGTCGATTACACATCTTAAATGTAGATTATACATACACAATGTATATTCTACATCTCCACAAAGGTCGAGCATTGCACAGGGCAGAGTGTGTGCGAACGAGAAAGATAATGAGTAGCGTCAACAGCGTTGAGGGGAGGTGGGGGAAGCAACTGAAAATTTCTTTATTCTGGCTATAGTAATGATCCGATCTGATTCAGATTCGGCAGTCTGCTAGAGATGGTCATTCTCTACGATACATTTTCAGTTTTATCGTATCTTTAAAATTGTGCCTACCACAGATTTTCGTCCTTTGTGGCGGCGGAAGGAGGCGGGGCTAAATTTGGAAATGCACTTGTAGCCGTGTGATATCACATGAGTCTGGAAATAAAATTTGGTTGCTCTAGCTCTTATAGTCTCTGCGATCTACGCGCTCATCGGGACGGACGGAAGGACGGACAGACAGACATGGCAATATCGACTCGGCTATTGATGCTCTTTGATTTGCATTTGAAAGTTGGAAATATATATAGTTTAGAGCTAAAGAAGTGCTGGAATTTTACATGGAAATGAACAAATTGTGTGTCGCACGTAAACCTCGCGGGTGTCACCTTTCGGTGACTCTAAAAATGAGAACCATCTTCATTTGAAACAAATATCTGTAGAGGAATTTGCTGTGCAATCTGAAATCCTAATCAATAGTATAGGCAAAATGTAGCCAGCTGTATTGGCAATCGCATCAGCTGGCTAGCTAACCTATCAATAAATTAAATACTTTGTAATTGTCTACGGGTCACGCAGCGAGTGGCTTGGCTGATAAGCCAATAACACAATAACTTCAAGTGTCTGTCTGTGGCACGTGGCAGCAGCGTCTGATTAAGCCAACTAAACGCAAAATAAAACCATTCCCCAAATCTACGGCTCGTGGGCGCGTCGCATTGCAAGTGGAAGATATGGAAGATATTCAGCATATGAGATCCCAAAAATTCAATACCCATACCCACGCATAAAATAATTTCGTTCCCTATTATTTTTGTTTGTTTGTTATTGTAGGAAACACAGATGAGGCCGCGTCTCTTTGACATTGCCATACTGAAATTAAATATAAAACATTTCAAGCTATCCTAATGCTAATACACTGAAAGTTTTAAGCCAAACTAAGAGACAATTACTAAAACTTTAACCAGCGACTAAAGAGACACAAAAAAAAAATACAAGAAAAAGAAAAATTCAAACGAGAAACGCGAAACGTGAAACGTGAAACGTGAAAAGACACATCCAAAGATGGAGTTTCTAATGAAAACATCGCGTTTGATTGTCACATCGAAGACGTTCGCAAGACGTGTGGCCGTGCCCATACCCAGGTAATGCCGCCTTAATTGTCTTTAGGACACCCCCCAACCGTAGGATACACACCAGATGGAATAACTATATATATACATATGTATATGTATACATATATGTATATATGCCCAGCAGACACACTCATTACGCATGTAACTGCGTTGCTGTATACAGAATTTGTGTCTGCCAGACAGACTGTCTGTCTGGGATTAGCATTTGGGTAACAATTTGCAATTCTTGACTTTGCTGTTTAGACATACAACAGGGTCTGGACATTAGCTAAGGATGTTCATTATTTGTTGCTGCTGCATAACTCACTTTTGTTTTCATTAGCTGACCCCGCAATACGCGCACCATATCTGCATCCATAAATATTTAGCAGGGGCCGTCAAGAATTGTTCTCTTTGTTAAGCATATTCGGGCATCACATCACATCACACAGGCACGCACGTGAGACAGCTGAGCAGAGCAGAGCAGAGCAGAGCATCGTATTGATCTTCGTTCTACGTATCTTGCAGATACTACACACAAGCTGAAATACTCGTTTGTGCGTTGTCGCCTCACCCCTGATCACTGCTCACTGCTGCCTGCTCCCTGCTGCTGTCTGCTGCTGCTGCTGCCTGCTACTCTTGTTGTATCTCTGAATCTTCGTTCTCATTTTTTTTTGCGGCCGGCGTGCGGGCAATCATCTCTCTAATAAAACGCCGCACTTCAGTTGGCATTCAGTTTGGCCAAAGTCGCTTGCAAGCGCACCTCGTTCCAGCACACACACATATTTCGGCTCCACATCCTCCCAGTTTCCAATTGGACAAAATCAATAAACAAAAAAATCAAACAAAAATCAAACTAAAAACTTTCGCCCCCCAAAAATCGTTACATCCTTCCCAAGCTTAAACCAGACATCAGATCCAGCGATACGTCCTCATCCGTTTTGCCGTCAGTTATGGAGCAAGCAATGCACATGAAGCGCGCCAATAAGGCGCCCTGCAAGAACGATCGCAAATCCTACCTACAGAAGGTGATGCTGACCAGGTGAGAGATCTGGCTACGAGAGCTACTCCTGCCAGCAATTGATCTGCTGGCTCTCCTGGCTCTGCTCTGGCTCTGCTCTGGCTCTGGCTGTGATTGATTGCGTTGACAAACTGAAACCCGTACACCCCAAATCCAGTCCCATATACCCCAGCCGCAGCAGAGAGTTGCTCGATTCTCGATCTCTCGTATTCCCAAACCGAACTGGTTTTTCAGAACCAGAATCAGCAGCGCCCCCCCTACACACAGCTGTGTGAAGCTATTGACCGAGCGACATTTTTTTGTTGTTGTTGTTGTTTTTGCCAGACTTTTGCGTGCGACTTTTTGGCGTGGGTGGGAAATTCTCGCGATTGGGCAGCAGCAGCATCTCTCACGGAGCGCAAGATCTGCGCTTAAACGTCAGTTCAGAACCAGAGCAAAAGTGCTAATTGAGAGCTGAGAGCTAGCCAAAAATATCTAATGATCTGTCTGATCTGTCTGCGTAAATGTGCATTAAAGACGCCAGCTACATATTTCTGGATTGTGATTAAAGTAGAGATAGAGTAGAGATATTTTGGATTGGAGTGCTTAAGTTTACGAATGGATTTTTAATTGTAGTAGCAAGGAAAGGACACTAGTGTTTTACTCCATATATAAAGAACTTTTCTTCCACGTGGAAATTATTATAAAAAAAATAGTGAAAACTCTGTGAATCCTGTAAATAGGCACTGCTAAACGAACATGTCGGACTAAAGTTTTTTTTAATCATTAAAAACGTGAAACTTTAGCTCAAAAATGGTCTCTGACATTTGATTCTTGCAGGATTTCAGTGCTGTCAGGTTTTCATTGAGAATTTCCATACAGATAGCTCCTTAAAATTTCCTTCCAGCTGCTTTGCCTAATTTTCGTACTTTCTGCTTGCCAAATATTTATTTATTTTGCTTTTAATTCGTGTGCCTTTTGTCTGTGCTTTATTTTAACGTGACAAAAATCGTTCAAAAATACTTAAATACTTTTAAAAATATTTAATCCAACCAAATACGAAACACACACACACACACACACTATGATTCTTTGCAGCAAAGGAAATATGGCAAAATTAAATACGAGTCGTCGACATAGTCATAGTCTGTTCATTTTCAGCATAATACTACGAAAAATTCTATATAGAAAACCGGATGCGTTGTGAGTATTTCCAAACTCCTGCTCCTTCTTCTTCGTTGTTGTTGTTGTTCGTTCGTTCGTTCGTTCTTTCGTTCGTTGCTGTTGTTTCTTGATGTTGTCGTTTGCTGCTGCTGCAAGTTGTTTCGATTGGAATGCCAAAAGAAAGCATATTCCCATGTTTTAAATGCAATATAATTGAATAGGAGAATTTGAAGCACGTTTTTAGCTGCAAAAAAATTCCAAATTTCCAAAATTTAACTTATAGCCTTATGACACACCTCTTTTAGAATGGGCTCATTCAATTCGGCGCCAAAGATCAATAATGTGGACTCGCAGGACGATGGTCTGGAACTGCCCAAGGGTCTGAGCACATCGGCATTGCTGCAGCATGTCCAGCAGTCGAGGGGCGTGGGCATTGAGCAGCCCTCACTGCTATCCCGATGCTTCCTGAAGCCACTCTCAATGGGCGAGGATGTCACCGATGGACTGCGTTGTCTCCAGCTGAACACTGTTTCGAGAGGTACAAAATTGTATTGAAAGTTTTTTAAGGATTTTATTTTTAATTTAAGTTTTGATTTTTGGCAGTTTGCAGTGCACCCATTGAGGGCGACAGTTTGCAGAACATTCGTTTGCTGCAGTGGAATATTTTGTCGCAGAGTAAGCACCCAGTGCTCCTTAGGCCTCTTAATCCTTAAGCCTTAATCGCTTTGCTTTCGTTTTAGCTCTGGGCCAGCATAACGATGGCTTTGTGCGCTGTCCCGAAGAGGCGCTGGACTGGCAGCATCGCAAGTACCTGATTGTCCAGGAGATTCTGCAGAACCAGCCCGATGTCATTTGTCTGCAAGTATATTGATGACACCCACTCCTTGCCGCCCAGCAGTTGCGCTTTAACATGCCGCTCCCAAACCTTCTTTCGCACAGGAAGTGGACCACTTTAAGTTCCTGCAGACGGTGCTGGGCAGCCAGAACTATGCGGGCATCTTCTTCCCCAAACCGGACTCGCCCTGTCTGTATATAGAGCAGAACAACGGGCCCGATGGCTGTGCCATTTTCTACAAACGCGACAAGCTGCAGTTGCTGGGCTACGACACGCGCGTCCTGGAGGTGTGGCGTGTGCAGAGCAATCAGGTGGCCATTGCGGCACGACTACAGTTGAAGGCTTCCGGCCGGGAGTTTTGTGTCTGCACCACCCATCTGAAGGCGCGTCATGGCGCCCTGCTGGCCAAGCTGCGCAACGAGCAGGGACGGGATCTGATGCGATTCGTTAAGCAGTTTGCTGGCGAGACGCCACTGCTGCTGTGCGGTGACTTCAATGCGGAGCCCGTCGAGCCCATTTATGCCACCATACTGGGCTGCGATCTGTTCAAACTGGGCAGCGCCTATGCGGATGTTAAGCTGGAGCGGGAGCAGATACTCCAGCCCAGCGCGGATGTCAATGAGTTTGTGGCGCAGTCGATGAAGCGTGAGCCGCCATACACCACCTGGAAGATACGCGAAGAGGGCGAGGAGTGTCACACCATTGACTATGTCTTCTATACACCCGATCAGCTCAAGGTGGGTGCAGCCCAAAACAGATGTTTTGGCTATATAAACCAGTAAAAGTAAAGACATTTTTTAACCACTGTTCGCATTCGCATTCGCATTTTTGCAGATCAAAAACTGTCTGGAATTTCCGGCAGGCGAAGAGATTGGCAAAAATCGTACGCCCAGCTATCAGTATCCATCGGATCATTTCTCTTTGGTCTGTGACTTTGAGCTGCTCGATGGCCCGCCACCAGCACCACCTCTGACCTCTGACTCTGGCGATCAGTGCCACAAGACGAGCGACGACAGCGATGGGGAACGAGAAACGGAGGCCAGCAAACATGGCAACATACAATAATAATAGATAGCCCTTCGCGCCCACGCGCCCACACGCCCACACAAATGCATCCGCAATTCACCAGATGAGAAGTTTCAATTACATTACATCGATTGTGATATTAGTTGTTAGATACATTTTAGCCTCATAACTCGTACACGAGTGTTGCACCCGACAGTTTGCAGCTTTTTACAAGAGAGATAATCCAAAATTCACAATAAATAAATAAATTTAAGTTGGAAGAAAGTCAACCAAACAAATGAGTTTATATTTTAAAATTAAATGATAAAATGATAGCTTCAGAGGCTGCTGAAGTTTTCATTATTCTTTCAGATCCGGCTCTGGCTCGGGCAGCTGAATACATTTTGTGCATTGATTTGGGTTCAATTTAACTTTGTTCTAAGCCAAAATAAGGAGCGCTAGATGATCTCCTGAGCACAAACTAAGGAATAGACAGACATGCCCCTTTTACATTTGAGGGCTCAGTTATGTTTCCTTTCTGCGACAAAAGTTCTTCAAATAACGACGAACAAACACTCTCCTGTTTGGGCCATTTTGAATCCGAAAAAATAGAATGGCAATCGACAATGATCTAGCGAAAATTCCACAGCTGGCATTGGAGCATTAAATGCCTTTATGCACACACAAATTGAGCCCCTAGAAAAAGCCGTCTAAAGGCAACACAACAACACGCCACGCCATTTGGCGGAATTGCAGCAGCAGCGATAAATTATCAAATGCTGCGCAGTCCCCGCGCGTAGCCACTACGAAGCCACTGTTACGCAACAGAACAAACCGACTGGCAATAATAAATATACTTTACATGTATTCAATGCATTCAATGAATTATTAACACGATATTCACACTAATATTTAACATGCACAACCCGCACCAAATGTCCTGAGGACAGACAGCTTAGTCAGCTTAGATGAGGGCCAGTATGGCAGTTAGCACAAAAGAGGTGGCGACCATTGCATAACCAGTGCTGTACACTTCCTTGATCTTGAGGAAACGGCCCGTGTCCCAGAAGAGATGGCGAATGCCGTTCGCTGTGTGATATCCCGCCGGATAGGCGATGATGAACTTGAGCGCCGTCAATGTGGCGCCGCTCAATTGGAGTCCCTCGACCATAGTCACATAATGGTTGATGTCGTGAGACGAAATCAGTGCACCCAAACCCAAAGCCCAAACGCCGACGCCCAGAGCCATGCCAGTGCCGCGGTGAATGATCGACAGCATGGAGGTCAGCTGTGGCTGGTAAATGGTTAAATGGGGGGACATTTCGCGTCCCAGGCGTTCGTTCTTCTCGAAGTAGGTCTCATCCTTGACGGTGGAGCCGACAGAGACAACTTTCAGCGATACCTGGCGATTGGCAGCGGCCATCTTGAGGCCCTGGCGCAAGGCCGGCGACCGAATAAGAGTGCTGGAGAGTGCATACCTAAGGCAAACATTTTAATTAGTTTTAATGTATTAAAATTGGAAAATTACGTACATTTCAGTGTTTTTCTCTTGAACTTGTATGACCGTATAACAGAAGCTGAAAATTACCACCTATGTAAGTATCCGTTAAGTATTTTTCTCGGTATAACTACGGAATATTTTGAGAATTATATGGTATAATGGTATATATGTCGGTATGAGGAGCTGTCACACTACACTGCCATTTTTTCTTGCTCAGCAACAATGACGTCACATTTAGTCAATATTTACGTTTTATGCTTTGGCCGTTGTTGTTTGAGTATTTTTATGTAAACAATGCAATAAAAAGAACTTCTAAAAACAAGAAAATCATGTAGAAGATTTATGTCGATTAAAATTATTTGTTTAGAGCTGAGAGGGCCAACTAGCTAGTAACATTCAACCGAATATCAAAATTATGGAATATGATTTCCGGTCATAAGCAACGAATGTTAGCCCATTGTCGCCCACTGGGTACTTCAATTGACGCACGAATATTATGAAACTTATCACATTTTTGACGCATTTCAGGTAAAAGCTATCGTAATAACAATTGTTTTTTAGTAAAGAGGCAAGAGAGAGAAGAAGAAAAACGTACAAACAGTAATCGTTTCCGCGGCTTATCAAAGGGTGCTCAACTTTTTAAATAGAGGGGTGTTAAGTGGGTTAAGTTAGTTTTTTCTTCGGTATAATTACGGTATATTTTGAGAATTGCATGGTATATTTCGGTATATTTCTGAGGAGCTGTCACACTGCACCGCCATTTTTCCTTGCTCACTCTTTTTCTTCGAAATAGCGCGTGGCAAGTTGTTCCCGCCGTGGTCCCGGTTCGGTGCAGTATAATAGCAGATTCGCAAGGAATTTGAACGCCATCTTTTCGCAAATCCAACGCCAGCAACCATGAAAATCTACAAGGATATCATCACCGGGGACGAGATGTTCGCCGACACCTACAAAATGAAGCTGGTGGATGACGTTATCTACGAGGTGTATGGCAAGCTGATCAGCCGTACTGGCGACGAAATTAAACTCGAAGGTGCGAATGCATCTGCCGAGGAGGTCGATGAGGGCACCGACACCAACGTGGAGTCCGGCGTCGATGTGGTGCTGAACCATCGTCTGGTGGAATGCTTCGCTTTCGGCGACAAGAAATCGTACACCCTCTACCTGAAGGACTACATGAAGAAGGTGCTGGCCAAGCTGGAGGAGAACTCGCCCGACCAGGTGGATGTCTTCAAGACAAACATGAACAAAGCCATGAAGGACATCTTGGGCCGCTTCAAGGAGCTGCAGTTCTTCACCGGCGAGTCCATGGACTGCGATGGCATGGTCTCTCTGGTTGAGTACCGCGAAATCGATGGCCAGAGCATTCCAGTGCTCATGTTCTTCAAGCACGGTCTCGAGGAGGAGAAGTGCTAAACTCTGAGTGTGCGTGTCTAGCTGTTGTATCTGCACGGGATGGCGCGCAGCCTCGAAGACGACAACCTCAGGCCCACAGCCACGGCCACAAAGAAGCAACGCCCCATGCTGCAGCAGACACACAGGAATGGGGCACCATCACCGACCCCGCCCCCTGCCGACCCCAACCAGAGGAACATACTCATGCATACCTTCTATATATTTATCCGATAATTAGTTACAATTTTTGAAAGTCCTAAATTTATGTTACACTGCTGACGAATCCTCCCCAGTACACCGAACGATGCGATTTTATTTGATTTATTAAGTACAACCAAATTTTCTATAATTTTCATTTCAATGTTTATTGTTTAAATAATGCAGCAGAGCAGGCAAATTTGTGGTTGTAGCGAAATGCGAACCGGGAGAAAAGAACCAAAATACAGTAGCTAAAACTAAATAAGATCTGAAACAACTATTGTAATTTGATAACATGGTAAAAAAAAAAATAATATTTTGATAGCAACAACGCAATTTTGTGTGCATTTTCGTTTATGTTTCAAACAAATATCGATCAAGAGAAAATTTACCGACAAAATGGAACATAAGTACTGAATTAAACGGAAACCATATACAACTGTAAATCAATGCATGTCTGTACTTTTCATGGGCGTCATTTTTTTTTCGGAAAATTTACAGCTATGAGTAGGTAGACGCCGCAGCCGCCTGCATCTACCTGATGGGTGTGAGCGAGTACGAAATGGAATGTTTGTTGGTGGGAAGGGAAGGGAGTTTGCCATCTGAGTCACGCCGCGCCGGTCGGCTGGGAGTTTTTGGCCAACCGACATGTTATTGACCCTTGACAGTGATGTACAGAGTGTCTTCTCACACACACTGGGGGTGCAACTGTCATGCGCAGTGCCATTTGGCATTGATTACTATTTTTTGCACGTTGCAGTACAATTTGGCCTACTTTCGCACGTTGCATGCGACATAACCTCAATCGGCCACTGCTGCTGTCGCTTATCATTTCAAACGAACAAAATGTACATATTATTATTTCTAAAAATTTCAGCGTGAATATATTCATTTTTATCTGCGCGGAGAGGCAAACGCATACAAATGCCATTCGGATGGGTGTGTGTGTGTGTGTGTGTTTGCGTGTAAAACGTGTCTACCTGTTGCCCGTCGCGTGAGAGAAAAGTACAGTGTGCACTCCCTTGAAAGGCAGCTTGTCTAGGAAATTGTGAAACAAATTGCAATAAAATTAACATTATGCTGATATCTTGAACTATTTTTAGTTTGAAATATATAAATGTAAAATTAATTGATATGTAGGCATATTTAAACGAGTTTTGTATATTAAAACAAGATTTGATTGAGATAAATTTAAGAGATACTTGAAAATTGTCAAACGCTAAAAGTTGTACTTAAACTCTTTGAAATTTGAAGAAAAATGAGTTAAACTTTAGATAAAAACCATTATATTTTGGAAAATTAAAATCTTATCTATTAAATATTTCTTCCTCTTTTTTTAGATAAGTTCAAATGGTATTGACCTTGTTCAGTACGAAAGCTAGTACTTGTCATTGAAAAGTGATTTAATTAGGGCCCCCAGGCACTGATAACAACTTCCCCCATATTAATCATTAAGACAAATTAATTCGGTTTACGTATAAAAAGGCTAATAACAAATTATAGTTTATTTCGTTCATAATTTTGATGCTGCAAACTGTGACATGAACAGTTAGTTTTTGACTCAATGTATTTCCCCCATTTACATATATGGGGGAATGTGGTTGTGTGTGTGTTTGGAAATGTCAGTCAAACTAGATACTATTTGTAGGTGTGTATGCTTCTGGCTTTTGATCATTCAGATTTGAAAAACAAATGTATAAAAAAGAGACTATATAGATTTACTCTTGCACAAGTTCTTTCGCTTATATTACAATTACACTATGCTTCTAGATAACGGACAGCACCGGCTGCCCCCGTACTACACACAAACAATTTTGCTGTTGTAGCTGTTCTGTAATGCTTTCAGTAGAAATGGAATGAATGCCCGAACGCATCTTCTCAACAAATAAGTTAACAAAATTCGCAAAATATTACTCGTACAATTTAAGATTGGAGGGGATTTTGGAAGGTATGGGGTCGTGGGTAGTTGTGGGTGGTGGCACCGCCAAGCGTGCCCAATGAACTAAAATTTAGATAAAAGAATTCATCATCATCTTCTGGGTCGAACTACACAAACATACAACACGCGCTGTTAAATATACATATATAAGGCTAGATTATGTTCCGCTGCATCATCACACATAGTCGAGCTGTATGTAGATCTGTTTCACGCCCACAGACTCGAAAATCATCCTCGTATGCGTCACCACATACTTGGGGTCGACATTCTTGGACACCTCCAGTTTGAGGGCGCCCACATAGACATCGGAGCAGAGCGTCCAGAAGTGCGGCTCCTGCACGGCATAGACGCCAGCCAGGCCAGTTACCTTCTGATAGCACTGCGGCAGTGATCGGTCCAACGTTGATGGCTGTCGCTGCATCAATATCAATATGGACTCCTTGATTAGACCCAGCACGCTGAGCGCAATGAGCAGGGAGATGAAAATCGAGCAAATTGGATCCGCTATCATCCAGCCGAACATTTGCATCAGCACAGCCGATATGATGACACCCACCGAGCCGAGGGTGTCGGCCAGAATGTGCAGGAAGACGCCGCGCATAATCTGCGAATTGCTGCCACCCATGTCGCCGTGGGAGTGACCGTGGCTGTCGTGATCGTGCGAGTGGCCATGACCTGGGAAGAAGAGCAACAAATTTGAAGTCGCAATTGAAAGTGAACCGTTTTGGGTGGCTAACTTACCATTATCCAAGGTGATGGCCTCGTGATTGTGATTGCTAATTTCGTTGTGACTATGGGAGTGCCCGTGATTGGAGGCGCTGCCGCCACCGCCGTGGGAGTGGCCGTGTCCACCGCCGCCGCCGCCATGCGAGTGTCCATGACCGCCGCCATGATTAAACGCATAGATGCCGACCAGGTTAACCAGCAGTCCCAGCACGGACACCACAAACAGACGCTCGTGCTTCACCTCTGGCGGCTCCAATAACCGCTCCACACCCTCGGACAATATGAAGAAGGCGATGAATAGCAGGAACAGGCTATTGACGAATCCCGCCAACACTTCGGCACGCACATATCCATAGGAGAACTTATCGGTTGCCTTCCACTTGGTAATTACCGAGGCAGCAAGACCGGCCAAGAGACCCGTGCAATCGAAGAACATGTGAAACGAGTCCGAGATCAGACCTGGGCGATAAAACAAACATTGAGAGCATTGTAAAGCCTGGATAAGATTAACTCCAATTGACGTTGAGGGGCTGTACTCACCCAGGCTGTTTGTCAGAATGCCATAGAAGAGCTCGACGAAGGCAAAGCTTAGATTGAGCAGCAGGAACAGAAACAAATTGCGTGAATTTCTATCTGAGAAAATGAGGCGCTTCCAGCTGCTTAACTTTTCTTTGACCCGGTAGCCGAAGCTACTGCGATCCTTGTGCGACAGCGGTATCATAATTGGGAATCGTGTGAATCTGCAAAGACACCAAACACGAGAAATCCATAAAATATACGAATACACCTGCTGTTGCTGCTGCTGCTGTTATCAGGTCCGTCATTTGTTTGCATACGTGGTATAATCGTGTGTGGCTTAGCCGCCGCCTGCCTCCAGCTGGCTGGCTACTACTGCTGCACACACTTGTTCTGGCCTGGCCCCAAAAAGAATTCGACGAATACGTATGCGGCGTCGGCGGCAATTATTTTATTGTGCAAAATTACCTCACAACGCACGACGCTTCCTGCTACGTCGTCGACCGGGCCGACGGTGGTCTTATTTGCACAGGTTGTCTGTTGCACACTGTTGCGTGTGTTTAATGTTTAACTAAACGACTTTAATTTAGTTCATCTTTAAGAAACGAGAAAACGTACATCTGCTGTGTTGTCACAAAAATAAAGGTAACCACATAGACATATTGGCTGCACTAAGTATGCTGCGTTCGCTGCGAATGGCAACAGCTGCAATCCAGCTAAAATGTCTACTGGGTATAACTTTCTTTTATAAATTATAAAATATATTATGCCTAATTAATGAATCATTATCTGGTGTATACATTATTATTATTATTAATCCCTTCTAATCACGCCATATTTAACTATTTAATGTAACGATACTAACTTTGATGCGATGAACAATACCAAATTATACCGTATATTTTTGAGGGTAAGACGGTATATTTTATCGAAGGATCCGCGGTCACACTGAATACAGACCAGATAAAAATTGTAAGTGTGACCAGATAAAATATACGGGAAGGCAAGCTACTCCAGCAGCATATTTCTGTTGATTGTGCAAACATCTGTTAAGTACATCTTGGATAAACACTTATCAAAACAACAATAAACTCGAGCAAATGTCCCTTACATTAATAAGAAAGCAAGTTTATTCAACATTTTACACACAGCAGAGTCCTAGTGCTCTCCCATACAATCAATTCATTGTAAAACGAATGCGACTATAAAAATGCGTTGGTAAAACATTTTACGCCTCATCACCCTTGGTTGCACGTGTGTAGATCACCTGGGAATGATGTTGCACGACCTGCTTGATCAGACCTGCAAGCGAATGGAATATGTGCGAGCATTAGTAAATGAATTGTTTGGAAAATTGTCATGTATTTAGATAACATACCCTTGTCGCGCAGCTCGATGAGAGCACGCTTGGCCAGAGATCCGCGGATCTTCAAACGCTCAGAGACAACCGAGGGGGTGATGAGCTTGTAGGCTGGCACCTCCTTGTACAGCTTCTCGTAGGTGGGCTTGTCGAACAGAACCTGGTTGTTCAACTTATCCCTAACCTTGCCCTTGGACCACTTCTTCTTCTTGGCCTTGCCGCCGCCGGAGCCCTCCTTCTTCTTTTGTGTCTTTTGCGGCTGCTTGGCCGCCGACTTTGCGTCCTTCTTAGGCGGCTGCACAAAAACGAAGACAGGAAGAAATAATCACATTAATATGGGTTCACTCAACTCAAAACATTTGTTGCCACCAGCAGCAGCACCTAGAACTCGCAGGGCCGCCTGCTTTCGAGGTTAGGGCGTGCTTCTGTTTTTGCTCCACTTTTTTACAATTTCCAGCCCATTGGCAGACGGAATTTCATGGCACAGCACTCGGGCAACAGTTTATTCATGTTTTTTTTTCATTTGTCTGCCGTTTTCACACCAAATCCCGAGTATTTTCGCAAAAACTCGTAGCAGCGAACTCACCATCGTGAAAAGTCAATGCAGAAAGATGGAGGACGGAAATTGCCAGAGTTACCACTTCTCTGGCAGGTCGCACACGGTTGCATGCTCACGTTTCGTGCCGTCTATCGATAGTTCGGGCAACAGTGACAACCCTGACTGGCCTATCTTTAACAAATGAATTTAAATAATTGAATCAATTAATTGGACACATTATGAATCAGTTCTGCCGCACATGCGGCAAAACGATTGTTGCAAAAAACAGCCTCCCGATCTTCTCGCCTGAGGGTCGCCAGCTGCTGCACTGTGTACGAACCATAGCCAGCAATTGCTGGGTGAGTAGAGGGACCGATGCCAATAAGTGCAAACAACTAAACTAATGATGGATGCTTGCAGCTACAGAATATCCCTGAATTCCCGAGCCATATGTGCACAGACTGCCAGAAGCTGCTCAAAAAAGTGTGTCGCTTCCGCAGGCGGTGTGCGAAAATTGAAAAATACCTCAACAAACGAAAGAACAAATTGACGCTGGGCGAAGGTCCGGCTTCGTTGTCGCTACAACTACCCGCTCAGCAAGCGGCAGCCGCAGATCCCTTGGGCATAGACGCCAACGACATTAAAGAGGAGGATGAGCAGAAGGACAATGAAGCCGAAAAGTATCTGGAAAGCAGCTATGAAGACGACCAGGACCAGGCCGACGAGTACTTACCGCTTCAAGCAGACTATGGAGAATTGAAGACTGAGGCAGTCCAAACGACTGCCAAAGACGACCCGGAAAGTACAGAGTCGCACAAACCAAAAGGCAAAATCAAGACCAATAAGCAAACAATGCGCATGGGTCGAAAACTCATACACGTCAAGGTGATTGATGACGACAATCCCAAACGAATTGTGGATCGTGATAGCCAAATCGCCAAGCCGTGTATCTGTGAGCACTGTGGCCGCCAGTTTCGGGACACCAGCAATCTGAATGTTCACCTGTTGCGGCACACAGGCACCAAGCCGTTCGAGTGCGAGATATGCCATCAAAAGTGCTACACACTGCATCTGCTGCGACGCCATCAGCTGAAGCATACAGAGGGGCCCTATGCCTGCACCTTTTGCGGACTGAAGTACAGCACAAACAGCTCTCGTGTCCGACACGAACGGTGAGTAGTAGTAGTAGTAGAAACGTAAATGGTTTGCTTCACTTGAACGGCCATACCCCCACTTTCAGCGAGGCATGCAAGAAAGGACGAGCACCGCAATCCAAATGGGAGATTATCAAGAAGGGCGAACGTACTTTCCAGTGAGTTCCAGTCAATTTAATGTTGCTTGTTAACTTATTAATGCAATGCCACTTTTCTATAGCTGCGAAGTCTGTGATCTTTGGTTCTTGAGGGCCGGCAACTTTACCCAACACATTAAATCCGCAAGTCACATTGAAAACGAACGCCGAAAGAAGCGAAAATGCAAATCGGCACCGGAACAGTCAAGCATAAATACATGAAAAACAATATAACATGGGGAAGAACAGTGTTATTTTATTCAATATCAACGGTTACACTCTCATGAACCTTTCTCAAATTCTCCTGATGCATTTTCGTGTTCTCATGGGTCTTTAAGTTTGTTTTATACCGGAAATGAACGTTACAAAGTTCACAGCTGCAACGAAAAGTAGAGTACGTATTGAACCCATTATTGTGATCTGTAACTGGTGTGGTGTGGTCTGGTGTACGTACCGATGTGGTCGCTCGCCCGAGTGTATAAGTTTGTGAGCTTTGAGCTTGGTGCGCTGATAGAATCCCTTCAGACAGACATCGCATTGCAGTGGCCGCTCCTTGTGTACCCTTTCGTGTTGCTTCAGCATCGCTGGCGCATTGTAGCTCTTGTCGCACAGTTTGCATTTGAAGGCGTTCGCCTCTGCATGCGATTTGACGTGCCAGGCTAAGGCGTACTTTGAGACATAACTCTTGTCGCAAGTTTCGCAAAAGAAGCGCTGCGGTTGTTGCCTTTCCTTGGGAACGGCTTTACTGTTACTTTGGGGTACTTTAACGCCATGTAATTTGCTAGAAGGAGAAAACACACACATCCACATCTCAAATCTCAATCGGATTCCATTTCATTGACGACTTACCATTCGTGAGTATGACGGGCGCCAGCATTTGTAAATGCCTCGGGGCAATGTCTGCATGCGAAGGGCAGCTCGCCCTTGTGACGAACGCGTATGTGAATGTTTCTCATGTAGGCATCGTAGAATTTCATTGGACATTCCGTGCACTGGAAGTTCTTTGTGCGGCTATGACGAAGCATATGAATTTGTAAATTGTGCACCAAATGGAAGGCCGATCCGCATTGATCGCACACATAGTTTGGTGGCTTTTCCCTCATCTTGGCGAGACGTATGCGTTCCCGTTCCCGCTTCAATTTGGCGTTCACCTTTCGCTTTGGCTGTGCCTCGCGAGCCTTTGCCTTCTTTGCCTTTTTCTTGTCCTGCTTCTTGGCCTGCTCGCTGCTTTCCTCTTCAATGACATCGTCCATGTAATTTTCAATGGCATCTTCTATGGTCTCTTCGTCCTCTTCCTCGCCATCGACTTTTGTTTTCCTGGCTGGCCTCTCAGGTGTGACTTTATCTGTACCAATTAGTTCGATTACCAGCTCCTTGAGGATATCGGTGCCACGAGCAACGCTCAGTGGATCTGACGGGTCTGCACCGATGTCCTCCTCCAGGGGCTCTAGCATTTCTATATTCGGGCTAAGGATAGTGTTCTGTGCCTTAGCCTCCTCATCCTCTTCCTTACAAATCAAACCCAAGGGCCACTCAATCGTTGACGTTCCTTGATAATTCTCAGCCGAGTCCAACTCCACTTCGACAGCGGCAATATCACACACGGGATTGCCCTGCGTTAGCTTCACCTCCGTACTTATGACCTTCTCGCGGAACTCTATTGCCGTATTCAGGGCCGACTGGCAATCCGGACACATGTAACGTGGTCCGCCTTCGATGCTGGTGAGCTGTGAGATACAAATTCAAGTCGCTGCTGAATGGAATGCATTTCCGACCTACCCAAACTCCGCAAATGACTTCGATGCGATACAGCAAAACAGCGTTCTGCTTGACGAAGACATCTTTGGCACTCGAGTCAAACTGATAGTCCCGATAGCAGGCCCGACACTTCATCAGCTGATTAACAGTTTCCTTGTTGTCTTCGCCTGCCAGGGGATCGTCATCTTCGAGAAACATGGAGTCGAGGGAGTCATCTTCATCAATGGGCGGACTTTCACACGACGCGGCCGATGGGTTTTCTGTTTGATAATTATCGTAGCTGGGAGCGGCTTCCGTTTCATCGTTTATCTGGTTCTCTCTGTGCTCTGCGTTTCTGATTAATAAAGCAGGATTTTAAGTTTCATTCATAAACAAAATAGAGAGGAACCAGTGATGGGGTAACTGTGCTGCCACGCATGATACAACTACGGTAAGGTACGGCCATGCCGATCTTCGGTGGTGGTATTTTGCTATGCATACAATATATTTACATTGTACATACTTTGTTTGCAATTGGAAATCTACATGTGGATATATGGGCTGGGCTGGCTAACCACAACTTTATATTTTGTTCGTTAGCTGGAAATTGATAATGTTTCAGATTCGTTTTCTAACGGCAAACAACGCAAGGGGTCACTATTTTTCTCTATTGTAAAATAAAAACCCAAAAATATTCATATAAATACACACGACAGCTAATTAGTGTCTTGCGGCCATTTGACCAAGTGTATGTTATGCCTGACCCCAATTTTGTCGAGCTCCATTGACAGAAATACCACCACCACCCAAACAAGAGACCGCTTGCTATGGCTGTACCTTTTGTAGTTGTAGCATGCTGCCACGCACACCCACACACACTTGTACGTGAATGCATTTTTATTCTTGTGGGCAATTAACAAATATGTTAATAAAGACAGTACTTACTCTGACGGCGAGCCTAGTTTCTTGTCCTTAAATAACAATAAACATTGCTCTGGAATGGCTTCGGCGCGCAGTCGAAGTCGCCGTTTACTATTCATACTGTCGGCATAGTAAAAATCAGTCTTTTTAAAATGATTCTCGCAAATTCTTTGATTTGTGTATTCGATATCCAGCGAATCAGCCCATAATTTTCTTTTTTGTTCATTAACTGGCATTCGAAACGTTTTCAGGTTGGTTCTCTTTCGACAGGCACCGCAGTAGCTCGACATTTTTCTAGATTATCTATATAAAAAAACAAAAAACACAAAGCGCATTTAAACATGGGGTCAATTGCAATACAGGCAAGCAAACACACACACGCAAACACAAGTGGAAAATTATTAGAACCACTCGGAATTTATGTGTATGGTATGTGCTTGCTAATGTTAGTGCCTGCAGCTGCCGAAATAAACAAATAGTCCCTAAAAGAAAGGTAGCTCTATTAATTTTCCTTACCTTTTACAGGTGCTATACCATGAACTATATAAAATGTTTATATACCATGAACTTAAAAAAGTGACGCTTGATTTTCACTGAGATGTGGAGATATCGATAGAATTACGGTATCGATTCGACTGTGTTGAAAGTGTGACCAGAGGTTACCACAATATGTGGAAAAGTACAACAAGGTGACGCAATGATTTAATAAAATATCAATAATATATATCTAGGATAATTTTCCCCTGAAAAAATAGGTACCAGACAAGCCATGGCTTAACTAATTCTCCATTCCATTTGTATTGATTTACTTATGAAGCAATAGATATACAATTGTTTCTCATTCTTATAAACATACAACTTTTTCCTTTCTCCAAAATTTATAAAATTTTCATTGTCATGCAGTAGCAGCTGGAAGATCCGCTGGGAATCCAGGGGAGAGGAGGAAGGCGAAGCCCTTAAAGCTGAAGACAATCTGGGAGAAGAGTAATGAGGCTGTCCGAAGCCATCCGAATTTCCACCTGTTGCACCGCACAGGTCGACAACTTAAATGGGAGACCATCCAGAAGGGCTCCTTAAATAGCATAATCTAATCACTATCAATTTGTTCTTTCTTGCCCGTCTTCAGTAGATTCTCCTGGTGCATTTTGGTGTTTGCATGAGTTTTTAAATTAGTTTTGTACCGGAAATTAACGTTGCAAATTTCACACCTGCACACAAAAAAGAGAGTCCAGAATTTAGTATCAAATAATCTCGAAGAAACTATACTCATACCTAAAAGGACGCTCTCCGGTGTGTATGAGCTCATGGTCCTTGAGCTTGGTGCGCTGAAAGAAGCCTTTCAAACAGACATCGCATTGCAGTGGCCTCTCCCCGTGGGTTAATTCGTGCCGCTTCAGCTTCGCTGGCTCGGAGTAGCTCTTGTCGCAGAGTTGGCACTTGAAAGCGTTCGCATCTCCATGCGATTTAATGTGCCAGGCCAAAGCGTACTTCGACACATAGTTCTTATCGCAAAGTTTGCAAAAGTAGCGCGTCTGAGCTCGTGGCATTGGTGCAGGATTGATCCGCTTCACTTTTAGACGAGGAGGTGCCCAATGTACTTTGCTAGAATGAAAACCCAAATCTTAATCGCTGCTACTAATCCTCCATTTCATCTACTACTCACGCTTCGTGCTTCTGACGCTTCCCCGCATATGCAAATTTCTCGGGGCAATATCTGCAGGCGAAGGGATGCTCGCCCTTGTGACGAACGCGTATGTGAATGTTTCTCATGTAGGCATCATAGAATGTCATTGGGCATTCCGGACACTGGAAGTTCTTTGTGCGTGTGTGACGGAGCATATGAATTTGCAAATTGTGGACCATGCGGAAGATCTGCCCGCATTGATCACACACATGGGAGGGAGGCTTGTCTCTGAGCTGAGCGCGGCGTATACGATTTCGCTCCGTTTTGGATTTGGGGTTCGCCTGGCGTCTGGCCCGGATTTTTGGTTTCCTTGGCTGTGACTGTTCCTTGTCCGGTTTCTCGTCTGCTGTTTCTTTCTTTACCCGTTCCGTTTTGATTTTATCCTGACATGTGAATTCGCTTATCAGTTCCTTAAGGATTTTGGCTCCACGTGCAACGCTGAGTGGATCTGCTGGGGCAGCGTCGACATTTTCCTCGCTTGGCTCTAATATTTCGATATGATCCACCTTATTGGGGCTATGGATAGGGCTATATGATTCATCATAAATTTCTTCATGCTGTACATCTTCCTCGTTGTCGTCGTCGTCTTCCAAATCAATGGATGCCAATTCTGGTGTCCACTCAGGTTCAGGTTCAGATATTCTTTGATCAGTCTCTGTTGCGACCAACTCCATTTCGATTACTGGCTTTTCACACACGGGCATCCCCTGTGTTAGCATCACCTCGGTACTTATGACCTTCTCACGGAACTCGATCGCAGTGCTCAGGGCCCACTGACAATCCGGACATATGTAACGTGGTCCGCCTTCGATATTGCTGAGCTGTGGGATAGCAAAAGTATTTCAATTCAAATCGAATGGAATGTATTTCAGACATACCCACACACCGCAAATGACTTCAATGCGAAACAGCAAAACGCTGTTCGCGTTGTCGAAGGGATCTTCGGCATTCGAATCAAACTCAAAGTCCCGATAGCAAGTACGACACTTATTGAGCTGCGGCAGGCTCACGTGATTTTCATCAGCTGTGAGGGGGTCCTGGTCCACTTCATGTAATCTGTACGCCTGTAGGCAGGCATTTTCATCAGTGGTCGGCGGCGGAGTGACGAAGGCCGGGGCCGATGCAATTCCAGTATTATATCGGACATAGCTAGGAGTGGATTCAATATCATCCTGAGCCATTTCCTTTGCCTCGGCATCCGCCAGAAGCTCGGCCACCAGTTTCTGATTCTCTCGCTTTTGGTTGCGTTCTTTGCGTGCCTTTTCCGACTTGCTTTCGTTTTTCCGGTTTAAGCACGGCACTGCGCCCGGCCGCAATGTCCTCTTCTTAGCCAATCCTGATCATATTAGATGCATTTTACTACATTGTCTCAATGATAAACGATCCGTACTTACCTAATTCGAACTTAAGAGCGCCCACGATATCGTCGTCATTGAAATGTTTCATGCAAACACTGCCATTCTTCATAATCTGGGCGTCTTTACTGCCGCAAAATGCGAGCCAACGTTTGGCCAAATCAGCGTTCCTCGGAAACTTGAAGAAACATAATTGTGGATTTTTATCTGAGGCCGTTTTGGCATTCTGGCAATTTTGCACTGCGCATTTCATTTTTGGCCCCAAAAACTAAAATTGAATTGTGTTTATTGCACATTAAGAATTGAGGATATCGATAGTAGGAACCGATAGGACCGTGGCGGTGTGACCTCAAAAGTATGACCAGATACTAGCGCAAGGGTACGCATTGCAGGGTGAACGAAAACAGCACGCTGTGACGTCACACAAATGAGTTTTAGAATTTATTCCAAAGAACAGTTTACTTAATAATTTTATTAAATTGATTTACTTATTAACCAATAGAATATTCACTCGTATTTCTTATTCCAAATGTGTTAATAGTTTGAAATTTACATACAAATATTATTCAACGTTAATAAAACCCCACAATACAAATTAATTTGAGGAGTACTATTATGGTTAATAATTATATTCAAGTGCGTCAAGTCAAAACTCTTGGCTACCTCTTTGTGGGGTTTGCTGTCAAGATGTTTTTGCCATGGATCTATTTTTCCTCTCAAAGGCGCTAAGGGGCACAACTTTAGAATTGGTTTCATCCTCCTCGTCATCATCTTGTAGTATTTCCTGGATCTTCATTTTCCTTGGCTTCGGCTGTATCTTGGCTGGTGTGTCCGCTTTTGTGACAAATCTTGTTCTTTCGCTTAATAGTTCGTTAAGATTCTTGGCACCACGGCCACGGCTGATTGAATTATTTGCTCTAGCAACGTTGATATCTTCCTCAATGGGCTCTATTATTTCCATCTGATTAGAGTTAGTGCTATGCACAGGGCTAGGCGATGCATCATAAGTGTCTTCATATCGTGTTTCTTCGTCGTCGTCGACATCTTCATCCATTTTAGTCGATACGGAATCCGTTGTCCACTCGGTTGTTCTTTGATCCTGCTCTGTTGACTCCAACTCTATTTCGATTTCTGGCTTATCACACACGGGCATCCCCTGCGTTAGCAACACCTCGGTACTTATGACCATCTCACGGAATTCGATTGCATTCTTTAGGGACAACTGACAGTCCGGACACATGAAACGTGGTCCGCCTTCGATATTGCTAAGCTGTGGGATATCAATTATAATTATAATTATAATTTAATTATAATTAAAGTCCTTGAATGTAATGCACCAGACCTACCCAGACACCGCAAATGACTTCGATGCGAAACAGCAAAACGCTGTTGGCGTTGTCGAAGGGATCTTCGGCATTCAAATCAAACTCAAAGTCCCGATAGCAAGTACGACACTTATTGAGCTGCTGCATCAAGCTCTCTTGGGTTTCTTCGGCATCATCAGCATCAGCTTCGGGACAATCTTCATGTGAAATTGTCTGAAGGTAGGCATTTTCTTCAATGTGCGACGGACTGACGCTAGCCGGGTCGGTACGATAGCGGTCATAGCTAGGAGTGGGTTCAGTGTCCTCCTGGGACATGTCCGTTTCCTCGGCATCCGCCAGAAGCTCGGCCAATAGTCTCTTTCGGATATGGGTTTCTTCTTTTCGAGCCCTTTCCGACGCGCTATCGGTGCCGGGGTTTATGCACGGCACTGCGCCTGGTCGCGCTGTCCTCTTCTTGGCCAATCCTAATTTAGGTTGAATTTTACTACATTGTCCCAATGATACTATACGAACTGTACTCACCCATTTCGAACTTTCTAGACCCCAAGATATCCTCGTCTTTGAAATGTTTCATGCAAATACTGGCATTCTTCACTTTGAGGGCATCCTTATTGCCGCTGAATGATAGCCAACGTTTGGCTAAATCAGCGTTCCTCGGAAACTTAAAGAAACATATTTGCTCCTTTTTAGTTGGGGCCATTGTGGCATATTGGCAATTGATCACCGCGCATCTCATTTTTTGATCGAAAAAATAAATTTTCATAAAATTGTGTTTATTTTATATGAGCTATCGATAGCACGAATCGAAAAGATAGTGGTGGTTTGACTTCGATAATATGACCAAGTTCTTGTGCAAGGCGGCCACGCATTGCAGGGTGTAACAAAACAGCGCGCGTGACGTCACAAAACACTAATTATTGCTTATTAGAGTTTAAAATCACAATAACAAATTTCAGCATTTACTTATTTATTTAATTCAATTGTTTTCAATATTAATCATATTATAACATTACTTAATCGTTTAATCAATAAATTTCTGGCTTACCAATTCAAAATTGATATAAAAATATAATTAATAATAAAATAACATAAGAAGCTGCATTGTACAAAAGAATATGAGGAATATGTGAGCGTCATATGTATGATAATAATAATATGAGGAATACGAATATGCTTATTAAATAATGTTTTAGTTCTTGGCGTTCTCTACTCAGCTAGCATTGAAGCTCCTCTTAAATGAGCTACGTTTTGAGGATTTAATTGGGCTCAACTTCTTTTTCTTCTCAAAGGAGCCAAAGATTATAAGCTGAGAATCATCGTCGTCATCGTCTTGGAGTCTTGCTTGAATTTTCATTTTCCTTGGCTTGGTCCGTTCCTTTGTTGGATTTTCTGCTTTTATTTCATTCTTGCTCCTTTCGGGCTTGACTTTATCCTGACCTGTGAATTCGCTTATCAGTTCGTTAAGGATTTTGGTGCCACGAGCAACGCTGAGTGGATCATCTGCTCTAGCAATGTTGAAATCTTCATCAGAGGTGTCCAATATTTCTATATCCATCCTATTAGAGTAAGGGCTGCGCGTAGTGGTAGATGGTTCATCGTAAATGTCTTCATACTGTGTATATTCTTCGTCGTACTCTTCTTCCATATTAAACGGTGCCAATTCTGATTTCCAATCGGGTACCGATGTTCTCTGATCCGTCTCTGTTGATGCCAACTCTATTTCGACTGCTGACTTATTACACACGGGCTTGCCCTGAGTTAGCATCACCTCCGTACTTATGACCTTTTCACGGAACTCGATTGCATTCTTTAGGGACAACTGACAATCCGGGCACATGTATCGTGGTCCGCCTTCAATATTGCTGAGCTGTAAAATATCAAAAATATACTTTAATTACGATAAGGTCCCTTAATGCAATGTACCAGACCTACCCAGACACCGCAAATGACTTCGATGCGACACAGCAAAACGCTGTTGGCGTTGTCGAAGGGATCTTCGTCATTCAAATCAAACTCATAGTCCCGATAGCAAGTACGACACTTATTAAATTGCGTCAGACTCTCGTGGTTTTCATCGGCCTCATTAGATTCATCAACATTACCTTCGGGACAATCTTCATGTGGTATTGTCTGAAATTCCTCTGTGGGCGGCGGCGGACTGACGTAGGTCTCTTCCGATTCCACGACATCCGCCAAAAGCTCGTCCAAAAGTTTCTGCTTATTTCGGATTTTTTTTTGTTCCTTTTGGAACATATCCGACATGCATTCCGTTCTTACCAGATTTATGCATGGCACAGCGTTTAGGCCCAATGAAATATGCTTGGCCAATCCTGGGGATTATTGGGGGATAGACATTACTACGTGGTCTGAAATTTATACGAGCAGTAGTACACTCACCTAATTTGAACCTCTCAGCCCCCACGATATCCTCTTCTTTGAAATGATTAATGCAAATACTGGCATTCTTCACTTTGAGGGCATCCTTATTGCCGCAAAATGATAGCCAACGTTTGGCCAAATCGGCTTTCTTCGGAAACTTGAAGAAACATATATCTTGCAATTTATCAGAGGCCGCTGTCGCATTTATGCAATTTAACACCACGCATCTCATTTTTGCGCCAAAATTATTATTAAATTTTTGTTTATTATGAATGTGTGGTTTCGATAGACAGTGGTGGTGTGACCAGATTCTGCTGCAAGGCTATTCATTGCAAGGTGGTAGCATAAGAAAGCACGATGTGACGTCACATAATTAAATAAATCCTTTACTTGTTGCTGTTTATCTATATATAAAAGAACTAATTTCAGCGTTAACTTAATTATTTTATTCATTTGTTTTGATTTACTTATGAACCAATAAAAAAAGAAAAAGAAACTGTAATGTAATATACTTATTAATTTATAACCTTTATATATTATAAACTTAAACTACATTATACAAATATTTATGAGGAATACGAATATGTTGTATATTTATGAAATATTCAAGTGCGGCTTAGTTCTTTGTCTTTTCTACTCGGCCGGACCTAACGCTTTTGAGCTTCTCTTTGGCGTTGGGCTTCGACGATTTCTTTGACTTGGACTTCTTTTTCTTCTCAAAGGAGCCAAAGTCCACAGACTGAGAGTCGTCCTCGCCACCATATTTCTCCAGCAGACGGTCCATGAGAGAATTGTAGTTGGATTCGCGGTGATTTTTGCGTGCGAGTATCATCTGCTGCAGATTTCCACCGGAGGCCTCCAGATCTTCTTCGTCTTTCTGCTGCTGGCGCCGCTGAATGCGTTCCTTGATGACAGCGGCCTCTTTAAACTCACGCGCGTACTTGTTGTGCCGCTTCTTGCGCTTGGCCGATGGCTCTTCCGTGAAGATCTTATATTCAGGAACCTCTTCGGCAGCAATCATGGCCTCCACAATCACTTTGATGCGCGGCTCGTCCTCAACCTTCATGAAGGGGACATGATTCATGAGGTAGTTTATGCAGCCCTTGCCGCCCAGGTAGGCCTTCTTGATGTCAGTGCGCTCCAGCTCCGACTCCACATACTCTTTCTCGTAGTTGTTGATATCCTCCTCGGAGATTGGCTTGAATATTTTGCTCCACAACTCCAGCCATGAGGACAGCTTGCCTTCCGCATCGTCATCGTCATCGATGACACCTTGTTCATCGTACAATGCCCGCTTCTGAGTGTCCGTCAGCACCTGGTAGATCTTCGACAGCACCTTGAACTTTTCCGTCGATTCCTCCTTTTGGTCGTCCGGCACACGGTCTGGGTGAACCAGAAGTGACAGCTTGTGGTATGCCTTCTTAATCTCTTTCTCTTTGGCATCCTTCTGGAGACTCATTAGCTTGTACACATCTCGTGTTTCAAAGTACTTCTCGCACAATTCCAACGTCGACATATTTTCCAAAAATTAAATTTTCTTTCGCGAATAAAATTTATGTGAAAATGCGCCAAAATGCTCACAAAGTATGGCCGTTCATTTACGAAAATACTACAAAAATACTAAACACAATTATAAATTTTCAGAATGACACTTCGATAGGAAAAACATCGCAAAACGTATATTGATGGTGTATTTATTGAGAAAGAAAGTCCTTTATGTAGCCAAGCATGTTATATTAAATCGAATTGAGTAATATGATTTTCCTCGGTATATTATGAAAACGAGAAGGATTATTTTTGAGGGTCTGACGGTATATTTGCTCGATAAATCCGCGGTCACACTGCATACCTATGTCGACGCGCGCATCAGCTGTTTGCTGCTGTTTCAAGCTTTTTTGAATTAACTTTTCCATTTCCCTTTGCTGCGTAACAACGACGCGCGCTTGTTAGTCCGCGTGCACGCTCTACATAGCCCACAAAGTTATAAACAAAGGCCAAAAATAGAAATAAACTAAAGCCACAGCAGCAACAGCAGCAGCAGCCGAGCACTGAAAAGCAACACAACACACATTTTAAGCAGGTGAGATATATTTTCTAGCGCCGTCCCACTCAATTCAAGGACACTTGACCAGTCCCAGTCCCCCGCCCCGTAAGTGTCCATGGGGTATAGTCATATTTGGATTTGTTCTGACATTGAAGGAAATTGTGTGTGTCCCCAGGTTATGAGCAGAGCGTTGGGTTGGGTTCTACGAGGTAGACAATTTTCTTTTAATGAGCGTGTGCAATTGAGCAACAACGGCTTTCTCTCTAATGCGCTTTCTCCCGTGTGAACATACACACATGTACACACATAGAAGCAGGCAAAACAAGCTGCACAAAAATAGAACGGATAAAGACGGAAGTGGCAAAAATTGCATAAATATTAGTTTTGTGTGGGTGTTTTGGTGGACAGGCCAAGAAATATTAGACAGAAGGTAAGGCAGTCCGAAAGTGCAACCACTGTGTTTACCCATAAGCGAATGCAGCTAAATGCATACATACGATTCGTTCAAGTAATTAAAATATACAGTTTCCGACTAGCCAGAGAGAGAGAGAGTGACTGCCCCCTACCTCCCAAATGAATATACCTTTGGCCTGTCATTGACTTTCCCGTTTTTCCCATGTTGTTTTGCTCTCGCCATTCACATCGAACGAACGGTGATTAAATAACAAGCCAGTGCCAAGTGCAGCAAAAAGCAGGCACCGTTAGTCGCCGTCTCCACCTCCACCTTCTGATTGTCACTTTACTTTAAATTTTCGACTGAAAAGTTAAAAATGTTTTCACTTTCTCGCCACGCACTGGGGCACACACGAAATTTCGCACTTATTGCAGCTGCCAGGTGGAGACAACCCAATCCATTAGTCGGAGTGGTCGCTGCAGCTGCAGTGCCCATCGCACGCTGCTTTGCAGGTGAGTCTGTCGGCAGGGAATGGGGCGGGGAGGGTGCTCCTAGTTATGGGCTTGGTCTGGGTCCCCGTGTGGGTGTGTCCAGGCGGCTTCCATGCCATGCCACACAACAGATTTCATTCATTTGTTAAGCCAATTTATATAGAAATCAATCGATTGACCAATATCTAATTATAGACGGAATTTTCTAGTTCAAATTTTCTTGTGCATTCCTTATGCACGCGAAAATACCCTGGCCCCCTGCCCCTGATCAATTCCATTTGGTTTTGTTATTTGCACGAAATTAAATCATTGTCTACGACACAGTCGAGTGGTTTTTTTTTCTATTAAAAAACCAAATTAAATTAGACTGTTTCGCCCCCTCCACTCCACTCTAACGGGTCTTCCCCTCTGTATGCTGTATGTATTTTGTTTTGTTTACACTCAACGAACGGTGGGCGCCGCCACTTTGTTTTATTGCAGCATTCAGCTATTTTTAACCCAATATGCATGCGTTTCTTCACTCTATTTGTAGTATGTAGTTCCATGCGTTTCTTCACTTTATGTGCAGTCGGATGCGGTGCTTCTCCTCTGCCTGCACTTAACCAATCTGTTTACACCTCCACCAATTAGGTTTATTGTCTGCTTTGGACTTTGTATACAAATTGTTTGGGGACGGGCGAGTGCATTTTGTGGGTACTCTGAATATTTGTAGCAGTTTGTTGCGTACATGTGCCCTCACAGTCTGCTTTATCAAGGGAAAATAAACATCCACTTAATTTCTTTTATTTACCAAAACAAGATGATTTTGGGATTTCTAAAAAAAAAACGTACATTTCGCAATTCATGTCTGATAGTACTAGTAGGCTGCGGTTTCTTATCGCCAACAACTTGCTTTTAAACTAACAAATTATGATTGCCCAAGGTTTAGTGGAAAGGTCTGCCTGATATGTGAAAGATTAAGGAAGCTTAGCGACAAGAAATGTAGTTAAGATCTCACCCCACAGCACTTCCCATAATTATACAATTTCCATTGCTCAATTGGTGGTAAACTAAGCAGCACATATGTACATGTAACATAACTTAACCGCAGCTTAAGTACATTTTCCGTTTTAAATTACAGACAGCGACGAGGGTAAGACGACGAATCCCAGTAAAGCCAACAACATGGAGAATAAAAGCGAAAAGGTTACCGTGAACAAAGAGGAGCTGCGCAAACGCCTAACACCACTGCAGTATCAGGTTACCCAGGAGGCAGGCACTGAGCGGCCCTACACAGGTGCACAATCCATTAAGAAACAACACTTTGATATCCGTAAAATAAAAACAAGCCACTAAACTGTGTTCAAATTCCCCCACAGGTTGCTACAACAAGCACTACGAGAAGGGTGTGTATCAGTGCATTGTGTGTCATCAGGATCTGTTTAGCTCGGACACGAAATACGATTCGGGCTGCGGCTGGCCGGCGTTCAATGATGTCCTCGACAAGGGCAAGGTAACCCTGCATCGGGATGCCAGCATACCAGGTATGTAGCCTCGGTCCGTTTAACTTAGTCCGACTGTCCTAGCCGGCTAGACAATGTTTAGCACTCTTAGATGTTATTTGCAAAAAAAATTGTTTTCTTGCGTTGAGTTTCTATATCATTTGCCGTTTCCGTTGCCATACAATAATCAAAGTTTGTGTTGAGCTTAGGAGCGATACTAGCCACAGAAAAAGATAACAAGATGTTTTGATTACCTGTAATATACGACATAAAGATAGATTAAAAGACACTTTAGTTTTATTTTAAGTTCTATAACCAAACAAAATGATTTGCAAAATGATTTCATTCTAGTTCTGTTCCCCGTTCTCTCTTTTTTGGTTTGTTTGTTGCTTTTTATTAATGTTATGTTACGGCTTGGTTTTGTCTTGAAATTCTGGTACATGTGCCCTAGAGTTCACTGTAGTTGTGCCGTTCGTTAGACGCTTGAATGCCGAACTGTGTGCATCGGGCATTGATGATGTTTTTGTTGTTGTTGTTGTTGTTGTTGCTGTTACTGTGATGTGATGTTTGCTGTTGATGAACCTGAATGTGCAACTAACCGAAGAAAGACTAAGACTAAAAATGAATTCCTAATTGAGTATTATTCTTTTATTCACATCTTTTTTCCCACCCAAAAAAACTAAAAAACAATAAAAAAAAAACCTCTCTAACTTTCTCCAAAAATTTCCAACAACAAAAACAAATGCAACCAAAATTTCATATATTTTGTCTCTCTCTGCTGCAAAAAAACAAAAATAAAACAAAACACCCTTGCCCCCCGAATACCTTTTAATATGATTAAAACAACAGTAGTCATTTCAAAAACGTTAGGCATGGTACGCACTGAGGTGCGCTGCTCAAAGTGCTCGGCACACATGGGCCACGTCTTCGACGATGGACCACCGCCCAAGCATCATCGTTTCTGTATCAACTCGGCGTCGATAGTTTTTGTGAAGAATGCAGCGGCACCGACAGCCGCCTCCACGACGACATCGTCCAAGAAATAATGCTCGATCCTGTGTAGTGTGTAGCGACCACCTCAAAACACCCCCAAACAAAAAAGAAAATAAACAGAAGCTAATGAAGATGGAGGATGGAGGATAGAATCTCAAGCAGAATTAACGTGTTACAACAACAGATATTTAGATATTTTATAGGAGTTTATTATGCAACAAAATGTTCGTAAAAACAATGCTTGTCAAAAGATATTGTATGTGTATGTATGATAAATACTTAAATGTATTTATGCAATGAGGAGTGAGAGATAAATATTGTATTTCATGAAAAAAAAAAAAAAAAAAAAAAAAACAAAAAGGGTCTGATATACTCGGCATAACGATCAGTCTGAAGTTCCTTGGTTTGGTTTAAGTATATTTCATTTTTGGTTGAATTTTCCATCCCATCCTTCACGCGACTCTCTACTGTCTTTCGGTTTCAATATATGACCCACCCACAAAATCCATACAAAAACTAAACTTAATTATCATCAGGCACGTACACAAAAGCTTAATTACCTTCCCATCATTCTCGTATCGATCATACATACATAGTTCCAAGGTCAGTCGTCGCTATATTTGGGTTAGGGAGCCATAGCCACTGTGTATACCGGATATTATTATATTTTGATGGTGCATTCATTTGTTGTTTTGGTTGTTATTTTTTTATTTTGCTTCTTACTCATGCCAAAAGTATTTTATTTTGTTTCTACTTACGTGTTTTTATAACATAATGCAATACTACCGTATCCAATCCCATACATACTATATTACATATTTAAATATAGTGTCAAACAAACTGAATAATGTGTACTTTCGTATATTTTCTATTTCTCTTTTTTTTAACTCGCTTCAAAAATACCAAACAAAAAAACTATATGTACGCCTATAAACGTTCTTTGGGGGTTTGTTTTGCTAACAACAACTACAATTACACACCCACGAAATCCATTGTTAAAAATTGTAACAAAAACACACTCACACACACACAACCACACACACACATGATGCATAAACATTTTGCTTTATTAACCGCATAATGATTATATACACCGGATCTGCAAATACAACCAAAAAAAAAAAAAAATGAATCATTCGTTACGTTATATGTCATCCATCTTTTTGCCTCATTTGACGTCCATTCTTTTTTCGTCGCTCTCTCGATCTCGCTCTCTGCTGCACTTGCACCTCTCCTTCTTCACTCCTCCCTTCTCCATGGCCTCCTTGTCACCTGACATTCTCTCTCTTGCTGTCTCCGCTGCACTCACATTAATTACCGTTACCGTTACATTTACTGTTACTTCTCTTCGCATTCGATCGCTCTCTCTTTTGTTGTCTGACTCTGTACCCCTTGCTCCCGCTCTCTTTTACTCTTCGCTTTTCATTTCATTCATTTTGCAATCTATTTTCTTTAAATTGTTTTTTTTTTTTTTAATAAAAACTTTAACTTGATCTGCAAAAAAAATATTAAAAAAAAACCAAAATTATTGTTAAAAAAAAAAACAAACAAAAAATTGCGCTATATAAAATCAAACACAAAACGTATCCAATTAATCTCACAATTTGCAAAAATACAAATTACAAAGGGGGCAATATTTTACTACTAATTGCACATCCAGAACGCATACGCACCGAGGTACGCTGCGCCCGCTGCAACGCTCACATGGGACACGTATTCGAGGATGGACCCAAGCCAACGCGCAAGCGCTACTGCATCAATTCGGCGTCCATCGAATTTGTGACGGCGGATCCCACAGCGACAGGAGCGGCGGCAACCGTGGCCACGCCCACGCCCATTGCACAGCAGTAAATTGGGAGGCGGGCGAGGAAGGAGAGATTGGCCAAAACAATCAACGAAACGAATCAAAAAAAAAATGGTGTGACCGAGTTACCAAGAGCCTGTGCGAAAGGAGTCGAAACGAAACTACTCTAAGTTGTTGCTGTTAAGACGTTTTTTTTACATGTATTTTCTAACTATTTCCGCAAGTGTGGCCAATTTTAGCTCGTAGTCCAGTCCAGTCATTCGAATGTCCGTCTGGGAAACAGTTTGTCCAACGGCAGCTGTCCGTCATATGTATTGTGTGTTTGTAGGCGTTAAATATTTCCTGGGAAATCCTCCGAGTGTTTTGTGTAAATAGCTAACGTTTTTTCATAATTAATTTGTTTGTTATACATACAGTACCGATTACCCGAACCACCACCCCTGTACAACATTTGAAACACATTACTAATTTTAAAGTGAGCGCGCTAAATAAACGTGTATTTTTTACAATATATAAACATCTGTTTTCATTGCGGAGAGAGAGGGTATAGTTAAATGATTTTAAGCAGGCATTGGAAATGCAGAGAAAAAAGCAATCGCGCCCACCATATCACATAGTAGCTGCTGCCATAGCCAAAGGATAGTTCATAAAGTGAGTTCTTGGAGCCATAAAGACAGCCCAACTAAGCCTAATACGTAGGTAACCAAATGAGCTTTCCTACTGCCTATCCAAATTTTAAAAAATCTAATAATATCCTTGGGTACCTAAAGCTTCGGTTCCCAAAGCCCTCCTTTGATTCTAGTTGTTTTGTTGTTATTGTTTTTTTCTGACGCAATTGCCATTCAGGTGGGAACAGCTACAGCGCTTCGCGGTGTTATAGCCAATCACTTGGCTGGCAAGTCTCGCGCACTGCACAGATGCTGCGCTGCGCTGTTGCTCTGTCGCGTCGTTCTGTTGCGTTGTTGTGATGTAACAGGCCAGGCGACAGCATGAAATCAAAGTTTATTCATGGCCACACAATTGATTTTAATTGATTTGCGGTTGTTCCATGCATTTGTTGCTTTTATAAGGTACATTATAATTCGATATAAGTGTTGTTTTTGTGTGAAAAATCGATAACAAAAAGTTGTGAGAGAGAGAGAGCTAGAAAGTTCTTTGATTCGATCTTAAAGTCAACAGCGGCCACACGTGTAGGGTGTCTGAAAATTGATAGCCTGTACCCACCTGTACGCTTCGATCGAACAGACAGATATACGTATATATACGTATTATGTACAATGTGTGATTGCTTGCGCTTAAATGTTTATTTGACATTCACAAAGTAAACGTGTGTGTGCGAAACGCCGGTTGTCGTGGCGTTAGGTGCTGTTCTGTTCATTATAAATCTTTGAATTATCTAACAATCGTTTGAACAGAGATTTCCGTGTAAATACAAAAATATAAATAGGGTTGTTTAGAGTGATAATGGCCATCCAGAGAGTGCAAAGATTAGATTGAATGCCGGTGTCCATGGCCTGATACAACAAATGGGGTCTCTGTGTATCGCTAAAAAGCGCTTAACCAAACAACAAAGCCCAACCAGCAATTCATTCCACGAATGCGGAAAGCCAGATCCAACCTAACGGCATACGCTATACGCTATACCACCTTACGTTACATTACGTTACGCGCGCTACCGTTACACAATTGCCACAATGAAAGAGTGGCTGAAAATTTCCTGCCTGCTATGCATCTTTGGATGTGTGCGCGAGATCCGACCCTCAGAGCCGTACGTCACGGAATTTCTATTGGGTCCCTGGCGTAATATCACCGAAACTCAGGTGAGTGAAAGGCACACTCAAACTATAATATTATACCAAACAAAATAATATTAAATCTGTTTTACAGCTCACCCATGATGTCTATCCCGTGGGCACATATGCGTACATGGTGCAATTGGTCTTTGTATTCCTCATAACCGACTTTCTGCGGTAAACCGAAATGAATTCTCAAACAAGATATTTCCAACTAAACGTCTGTACACTTCGTTTTGCAGCTACAAGCCGCTCATCATCACAATTGGAGCCACTGGTGTAATCATCTGGAGCATGCTCATCTGGAGCACTAGCTTGTTGTCCCTGCAGATTCTGGAGGTCTTCTATGGCACCTACATGGCGGCAGAGGTGGCCTACTTTACGTACATCTATGCCAAAGTGGATAAAAAGTATTATCCCCGCGTCACCTCGCACACAAGAGCTGCCATGTTTGTGGGAAAGTTGGTATCCGGCATTACCGCCCAGCTGATGATCAATCTGGAGCTGATGAACTACAAGGAACTCAACTATATAACGCTGGCCAGTGAGTGACGGTGGCATCTGCCTTACCAGTACAAAGAGATTTATTTTCCATATGTTCCATTTGCAGCTCAAATTATGGCCATGCTGTGGGCCTTTGGTCTGCCCCGAGTGGACAAGAGCCTGTACTTTCATCGCGAGGAGACGTGTGACACACCAGAAGCCATATCCGATCAGTCATCGTATACGCAAACCGAGTTGCCAGGTGATTCCAGCATGGAGGTGTCCAGCCAGACACAGCCGAAGTTGCTTAGGGCCATGCTTTTGCTGTGGCTTCACTTTCGAAGTGCGTATACCAATGGCCGCGTGATCCAGTGGAGCCTTTTGTATGCCATCGGCCTGGCTGGCTACCTGCAGGTCACCTACTACATGCAGATACTGTGGAAAGTGATCGAACCAGAGCCGTTGATAGCATGGAACGGAGCTGTGGATGCAGTGCTAACCGCATTGGCTGCACTGAGTGCCTTGGCCGCCGGTTATCTGCACACAGATCGACTTAGTTCGCGCACAAGTCTGCTTATTTTGGCATTCTTCTCTGCGTTGGAAGGAGGCTGTGTGCTAATCTGCTGCTGGACAAACAATATCTATTGGTCCTATGTGGGATTTGTGTTGTTTGGTGCCCTCTATGGATTCACCATCACAGTGTCCAGGTAAGATAAACTCTATGACCCTGCTCAGAGATCTCTATTTAATTATGTTTCCCCAATTCGTTACAGCGCTGAGGTGGCCCGGCACCTGCAGGAGGATAGCTTTGGTCTAGTGTTTGGCTTCAATACGCTGATTGCACTCATTTTCCAGTCCCTGCTGACCATTATATTTGTCACAGAGACGGGCTTTGAACTCGACGCTGTGGGACAGTTCACGGCCTATGCCTTCTATTTCATTGCCGTGGGCATTCTCTATTTGATATCAGTTCTCGTGGAATATCTCTGGTTTCGAGCAGCCACCAGGGAGAAGCTGGACGATACTTTGGAATAGTTTTAGATGCATTTAGCAAACGTACTTAAAGTCACCTGTTGGTGGTGCACAAATTTAATTAGTTTAAGTGAAACCTGTTCCTTTAAGTTCTCGTTTCTGCGATTTCTCTGTACGATAATGTGATTGTATTCCAGGAAAGATTGATGGAAAAAGTTTAGCTAATCATTGTGTAGATATGTTCCATATATAGAAAGCAAACCCCCAATCTGTCTCAAGTGTCGCGGAATAAAGACCTGCTTTTATAGACCATCATTGGCGTATTTACTTGAGTGGCCGTGCTAATCATATAATTAGCTGATAGTTTATAATCGCACACAGCGATTGCATCAAGATCAAGTTGTGTCTTGTGTACCCAGCTAAAGGTTCATCTTTATCAAACTGAATGGGTAATAACACACACAACGGCACAGCAGTTCTGCACTTTGGATCTTCGTATAGGTATTACCCTTACCCTTTGAGGGCTTGTTTATGAACGACAATTCTACTATAGCCTATAATTTTGAAGGGATGTCATCGCTATGGCTTATAAATATGGATATATCTACATATGTGCATAGGTTAGTCTTGCCGGACATATTTCAATTTGTACGTGTGGGTATGTACGAACCAGTTGTAGCTTTGCTCTCTGCTAAGCTTTTGCGGAATGTCTCCAGGTTTCAGACAGTGCCTGCTAAACGAAGACACCGGATATATTATTAAATGGGTATGCACTTTATCCCACACTGTGCACCACAATTTATAATATTTTAATGGAAGCCTTTTATTGTATCACCTCTCGAAATTATGAATTTTATATTGATGCAATTAACACATCGCAAAAAAATATAGTTTGCCTTTTTGGAACTTCAAATTTGACCTTCGAAAGCTATTAATATTCCCCCGGCGTCATGGTGCGATTCTTTTGGCCTTATCATGGTAGTATGGGCTACCACGCATATTACATGAGATTTTGATCGAAGTGCTTTTAACTTATCAGCGTAGAATTTCACTTATGAGAGTTTCGTGGAGGAAACCGCAATTGTTAAGAACTGTTAAGTTAGACTAAAAGATTCACTTAAGTGCTGTGCTAATAGTCTAATTAGCTGATAATTATAATTTCATGGAGTGGGAACGGATCACCCCGGCTGCATCGTGATTGTGCTTTGGCTATGCTGACAGCAAATTAGCGGAAACTTTTCATCGGATCTCCCTAGCGGCTCCTCCTCGATGTGTGTGAAGTCAGCGACAGGCAGGCCCACAGACACATTGCGACCAGTCCATGTAGGTTTTGCTCGTTGCAAAAATCTAGCGTCGTGTCGAATCGCGAGTTGTGCTGATTATAAAGACGTCGAAACGAAATCTCTATAGTCAGAGAGGTACCCTCATAGCCCCCCTCCCCGCAACTGACTGGAAGAATGTGTAATTATTTTAATAGGTTGTCTACGCTTTCTAGACACCGCACTAGCATTATCGCTGGAGAGCAGTATCTATCGCGTTTAGATTCGAATTGGCAGCCGCAGCGGGATGGAGTCGTGGCTGAAGATATCGTGGGTATTATGCATATTCGGTTTCCTGCGCGAGATCCGTCCCTCGGAGCCGTATCATGCGGAGATATTGATGAGTGACTGGTATCAAGTTACCCAGGAGGAGATCAATCGTTCCGTCTATCCCGTGGGCACCTACTCCTATCTGGCTCTACAAATCTTTGTCTTTCTCATCACAGACTTTCTCAGGTAAGCCATGCATGCAATAATGCAATTGCAGCAAGGTCAGATCTCTCATCATCTTTTCTGTCATCAGATATAAGCCTGTGATCATTGCCAATGCCCTGACGGGCATCTTAGTCTGGAGTACGCTGCTTTGGACTACAACACTGACGGGCCTGCAGGTGGTTGAGGTGTTCTACGGCTTCTATCAGGCCGGTGAGGTGGCCTACTATGCGTACATCTATGCCAAGGTCGAAAAGAAGCATTATCCGCGTGTCACCTCCTACACCCGTTCGGCCATGTTCCTGGGAAAGTTAGTGGGCGGCCTCCTCGCGCAACTTATGATTGGCATGCAGTGGATGGTGTACCGGCAGCTCTACATTATCAGCATTACAAGTGCGTACAGTTCCCTGGAGAATTAGATGTTCTATAATTCAACATTTTACTTTTTCCTGCAGCTCAAGTACTGGCGCTTGTTTGGTCATTCGGTCTGCCAAAGGTCGAAAAGAGTCTGTATTTCCATAGCCAATCGGGCGCTGGGAAAAATGACACAAAGTCCGAGGCAGGAGCCATTGAGAATGGTTCAAATAAGCCAGAGGAAACGGTGGCAAAGCCTTCAGCTGCCACAAAGCAAAACTTTCATGCCTTGCAGCTACTTTGGTCCCACTTCCACAGCGCCTACACAAATCCCACGGTGCTGCAGTGGAGTCTATGGTATGCCATGACCCTGGCGGGCTTTCTCCAGATCAGCACCTACATGCAGGTGCTGTGGAAGTCCTACAATGAGCCTCCAGTAAGTGTACGCAGATAGAGTAGTAAATAGTAGTGTATACAATGTTTACAATCTGCTTACCAGATTGCATGGAATGGAGCTGTGGACGCTGCACTGACGGCCCTGAGTGCAATCTTTTCGCTGCTGGCGGGATACTTTCCTGCAAGTCGCCTGAAGACGCGCACCAGCTTTCTGACGATAGCTTTGCTGTCCCTACTGGAGGGTGGCTGTATATTGCTGTCATCTTGGACAAGCAATATATACTATTCCTACCTGGGCTATGTTCTTTTCGGCGGTTTATTTGCTTTTACCATAACGGTGGCCAGGTTTGTCTTCATGCTCAATCTCTTCTCCTTTGCCAATGTATGCCATGTATCGCTCTTCTCTCAGCTCTGAACTGGCCAGCAACCTGGTGGAGGACAGCTTTGCCTTGGTCTTTGGCTTCAACACTTTTATTGCGCTCCTTTTACAATGCATCTTGACTTTTGTGGTTGTTTCGGAAAATGTCAATCTCAATTTGAACGTTTTTGAACAGTTTACCGTTTATGCCTTCTATTTTATGGTGGTTGGCATTATTTATTTTATAGTCACTTTACTGCAGTGCGCCTGGTCTTGTGCAAGAGGCCCTAAAACCAATAAAGAGGTTGTAAATTGATCATTTTTTTGGCTTGAATTCGGCCACTAACCATTAAGTATGGTTAGTGATTCGGCCCTTTGTTTACAATTAATATCGGTGGGATAACATCACAAACCTCATGATCGATAGAACAAAATTCTCGATATCGATGCATCGAATTCAAAATATATGTATGCAAATACAAATATAGGGAATAAGCAAACTTGTATTGATTGGTTAAAGTATATCCAAATGGAAATAAACCAATTTAATTAAAGTAAACCACAAAATTCTAGAAACAGAAGTATCGTGCATCACAAATGGTTCATCTCCGATATATTGGTAATACTTCCACCTCTATCGCCCGGCTAGTTGTTGGTGCATTGCGCGAGTTTTGTTGAAAAATTTAAACAATGCACTTGAGTGCAATTACAATTAATTAATTACCGTTTTGTGTCACTGCATGCTGCAATACAACACCAGCTGCCGAATCAGCAATACGTGGATACGAAACGTGAGTACGCTGCCCATACCCAACGATACAATGACCTTTACGCCCGAAATTTTTTGTTTACAGCCATAAAAAATGAGAGTTTTACGCCGTGGGACGGTACAAAAAATTGCTGTGGGCCTCTGCCTGGTTTTGTTGCTCGTTTCCTTGTATGTGTTGCACGAAGAGCGGGATGTGGATAAAAATGTTAAAATGTATGTATAGGTATATATTTGCACAAGCAATGTGTGGGTGTGTGTGCCCTGCAGATAATCATTTATTTATGTCTTTTGTTTGTATATGCATTTCTCATGTGTAGCGAAATTATCGAGCGGTCAATTAGGTCGGCCATGAATCAAGGCGAATGCCGACATCCACACCTACCCGTGGATAATCCCGATATCATGCAATTCTACAAGCCGGTGGGAAAAATACAATGCGGCGATGGACTGGACTGGGTCATGTGCGAGGTGTTTGCGGGATAAATGTTTTGCAATGCTTATGACTACCTCCTCTTAATCTCCCGCTCTGTAGAAGTCCATTTGCTTTGTGAGGCCCGAGATTGCTGCCAGTCACGAGGATGTCATTTGCTCGTATACGGATATCATACGCAAGTCTGACTACAAGGTGCGCTTTGGGCGAACGCTGCGAATGAAGGAGCCGTATGTCCTGCAGAGCAGTGACTTTGTCAAAGTATCTTGCCGCTCGGGCAGCGGTCAAAGGTGATGATTACCTCGCAGTTCCCTGCCTTGGCTGGCTGATAGCATTTGCTTATTTTCTACCCACAGCTGGTTCGGTATGGCCCATGGCATCCGTGATACTGTGCAACGACCGCTGGCTGCCAATTTTGCACCAAATCTGGCTGTATTGCCACCCGAGGCAGTGGCCCAGGCCCAGCCTCAGATGCAGGAAGTGCCCACCGCCTCGTTCTACAATGTCCTAATGTTCGGCTTCGATTCGCTGAGTCGCAACGCCTTCATGCGCAAACTGCCAAGAACGTACGAATATCTAACCAACCAAATGGGCGCCACCGTGCTGAAGGGATATAATATTGTGGGCGATGGCACGCCACAGGCGCTGGTGCCACTGCTCACGGGCTTTACGGAACTGGAGCTGCCAGAGACAAGGAAACGATTTTCGGGATCGGGCAGCGTGGATTCGTATCCCATGATTTGGCAGGATTTTGCACGTCTCGGCTACATGACTTCCTTCAACGAAGATTTACCCAATGTGGGCACCTTTACGTACCGCATGAATGGGTTTCAATCGCAGCCCGTTGACCACTATTTGCGCACTTATTTTGTGGAGGCAGAGCAAATGGCAGGCGACAGCCAGCCGAACTGTATTGGCCATCAGCCGGATCACATCACCATGCTGGAGTACACCAAGAATGTAAGTCCTTTGGCTTCAGCAGTTCCCACATATTTTTTGAGAATTTTGTTTTTAGTTTATGCTTAAATATCGGGATGCACCGCGCTTTGTCTTCAGCTTTCATGGTGGACTCTCGCATGATTCCATCAATCTGGTGGGCGCCGCCGATGATGATGTACACGACTGGCTGGTGTCGCTCAAGGAGAGCGCCCTGCTGGACGACACCATTCTCATTTTTATGGCAGATCATGGCAATCGTTTTGCCGAGGTGCGGGCCACCCTGCAAGGCAAACAGGAGGAGCGATTGCCGTTCTTTAGCTTTGCCTTTCCCGAGTCCTTTAAGAAACGCTTCCCCCAGGAGTACAAAAACTTTCTGGCCAATGAGCAGCGCCTCACAACGCCATTCGATGTGCATGCCACACTGAAGCATATCATTCGTAGGTCCAAAACATTCTAGCTTAATGTGGAATCATCTCAATTGATTCATCTCCACAGAGCTGCAGACTGCCAGCGATGAAGAGTCGACGGTCGAGAGCAACGACATATTCCCCAAGCCCAGCACGGCGGCCATACACATCTCAGAATTGGCTCGAGGACGTGCCATCTCGCTGCTGGAGCCCATACCCAGCAATCGCTCTTGTGCCGATGCCTATATAGAGCCTCACTGGTGCGCCTGCCTCAATTGGCGCCCACTGCAACTGAATGACACTCAATACTCTGGCATCATACTCAAGTTGGCTCAGAGCATTGTGGACACCATCAATGCAGCCACAGCCGAGCAACGACAGCTCTGCGCTCCCCTCGAGGTTTGCCACGACAACACGACAAACCATTTTGGAGATGTTTTCTTAAGTTTTTGTTTACCCTTTCAGTTGCTTCGCGTTAATTGGGCGTTGCGGCTGCAGCCGCACAAGGAACTGCTGCAGTTTAAGACAAACAGCGACAGGGATGGCTTCCTGGCGGATATGACCGGCCAGACGGAGGTACACGATGAGATGTATCAGCTGCAGCTGATCACACAGCCCGGCAATGGGCTGTACGAGGCCAGCGTGGCGCACAATCTGCAGACATTCAGTGCCACAACGAAGCTCACGGATATCTCGCGCGTGAATAAGTATGGCACACAGGCCAGATGCATTTACGATCGTGATCCCGAAATGCGAAAATATTGCTATTGCCGCGACTAGTCAACATGCACTCTCTCTAGTCATTAGTCACAAAAAAAAAAACCAAACACAGAGATCTGCTAATCAATTAGCTCGAATAGTACTCGAATATGCACTGCTGTTAGGATATTGTTTTCCTTTTTAGTTCTAGCATTTGTAGTTTCCTCTCCACAATGTTTTCATTTGTAGCCCCATAAGACTAAGCTCTCTTGTTAGGCATTATGTTTGAAACCTCTGCCTCAGTTTTTGTATTAATAGTTCCTTAACTCAAAACGAATGAAAGTAGAAACTAATTATTTTGTATTTATACACATGTAGAGAAACCAAGTAACGCTCTCTCTCTCTCTGAAACCAAATACCGAAGAACACACATCTATATAGTATATATATATATATTTTTGTATAGCACTGTATTTATAGTATGCCTGTATGTATTTTTTATTTGAATATTGATAAACATTTCTTCACATACAGACATTTACGATAAGTATGTATATACGCGTAAGGGGGTGTTTTGTTTTGGGAATTTGGGAATGGGCACCTCTGAGCATTGACCTCTTCACTGGGGGGCTGGGTTGGGTTGGGTTGTGGTTAAAAATTAACTTTTGTTTGCGTAAATTCGTAATCGCGTATATACAATACTAAACACCTGCACTAAACTTTACTTTCCTTTGGTTTTGATGCGTGATTATACGTATCCATGTCATAACTACATACATATGTGTATTTCAAGGCGGCTGGCACGAGCATTTCGCACTCGTTCAATAGAATCCTTTACGGGGACTGGGCTGTCTACGGCACTCCATCATTCTACTGCTGATATATTATATATCCGGTAATACCTTAACGTGCATAATAAATTGGGGGTGTACATATATATATATATATATCGTATCTTATCTATGTAGATATAACTATAATACTTGCTTCAATTTCAGTTTCAGTTTAGTGTTGTTTTTGTTTTTTGTCTGGCTAAGGATTCTTCGGAGGGTTAATAAAACATAATAATAAAAAAGAACTAACCAAAGGCGTAATTAATTGTACAAAAGTAATAATTTATTTGCATAGTTAAATACTCAATAAATTAAAGAGTAAAAAGTATCAAAAAAGATCATCTTACCAAATATGAATGTAGATACATTATAAAAAAAAATAAAAGTACTTTTATAAGCGAATAGGAAACCTAAAAGAATAATATTAAAAGCATAAAATAGGGGTCTTAGATGCAAATGAGTCTCGAGCTAAAGGATCGCGTAATCAAATCTTCAATATATATATATATATGTATATGGGGTAGTATCGTATATATGGGAATTATGGATAGGTGTGTGTGTGTGTGTGTGCTTATAGATAGCCTTCCTGTGCATCGAGAGAGATAGAGTGGGACAGTATCGCATACTGCTGCTTGCTTATTCTGGCCTCTAACTTAACGATCTAAACGAAAAGGGGAAGGGAACGGGAGGGCATGGGAGAACCTGTGCTGTGGGTGGTGGTGGCTGGGGCTTACACAACTTTTTAAACCTAAAACTTCTTTAAATTGTATTGATTTGGTTATGTGCATGAGGGTTTTTTTTTGTGTGCATCGTCTAGCTGTAGAGAGCTGGGGCGGCGGCGGCGTTGCCCATTTGGTGTCACGAGACGGAGGTGGCCAGAAACTCCTGCAGCCGCTGCACAGTGACACGATCCAGCTTGCACAGATCAAAGTCAAAGGTCTTGTGCGTGATCTCGTAGCAGCCGGTGGCCGCAATCATTTCGACAACCTGTTGCAGCTCCTCGTTGTCCTGCAGCGTCATAATCTTGTGATGCAGCTCCTGCAGCTCGCTTAGATATTCCGTCGGCAGGGATGTGGTGCTCACCTGCAGGGATGGCGTCATCTCAGCCGGCGAGTGTCCGCTGCTGCTGCTGCTATTGTTATTGTTGTTGTTGTTGTTGTTCAGGCTGCTGGCTGTTGTCGCTCCACCGCTGGAATGGCTATTGCTGGGCGAGGATGGTGGCGGCGGCAGGAATCCCGATCCTGCACCACCAGCGACAGCCACAGGCACCAGAGCTGTGGAGTTTGCATTCGAGGGACGCAGTGAGGGCGATTTGGATTTCTCACGCGGCGCCTTGTTCTGTTCCTTTTTTGAGGGTTTCACCGGTGGCTCTATAAAGCCGCCCCCACCACCTCCACCGCTGCCGCTGTTGCTGTTCTGTGAGCTGCGACGATTCCGTTTCTTTTCCTCTTTGTCCGGCTTTGTCTCGGACTTGTCCGCCGCCTTGGTGTCCGGCGTTCTGTCTGCCCTTTCGGCTTTCTCGCTCACATTCTTCTCTGGCTTTTCGCTCGGCTTTGGCTTTCCCTTGTGCTCTTTGCCCGCCGATTTGGCATCTTTACCGGATGCCGCACCAGCTTTGACCGCCTGTGTCGTTGGTTTCTGTTGGCTGCTCCTCGCTGGCAGATCGGGAAAACTGCTGTTGGAGCTGTCCGAGTGCTGGAGCGTGGCCGCTGCCGCCGCGGCCAGGGCACTGGTGGCAGCCAGATCCGGCGCCGATTGTGCAGAGTCCACATCGCTGAGGTCTAGATTGCTTGGAGCTTTGTTCTGTCCCGGCTGTGGATGCGTCTGTGGCTGCTGCTGCTGATGCTTGCCGCTGTGCTTGGCCTCTGCCTGCTTTTCCCCGGAGGCCTCTCGCTGGCGTTTTTCATCTTTGCTGGAGGCCTTCTCCTTGGATTTCTTGTGTTTCTCCTTCTTGCTGCTGTTGGCATTGGCACTGGCACTGGCACCGGCACCGCTGGGTGCAAATTTCTCCGTTGTCGTGGCCTCACCGCTGGGACTTGCGGCTGTTGTCTTGGGCGACGGCTCAGCCACTGATGGCTTCTCTGCAGTTGCTCCTGCTGCTGCTGCTGCTGCCGCTGCCAGCTGCTGTTTGTCTTTCTCCCGCTCCTTGGGCTTCTCCTTGTCCTTTTCGCGCTCGCTGCGCTCCTTATCCTTGTCCTTGCTCTTGTCCTTCTTCTTGTGCTTGTGTGACTTCTTGTTGTTGTTGTCTGCATTGCCATTGCTCGTCCCCTTGTCGGCCTTTGGATCAGTGGCTGCTTTCTCTAAATGCTTCGCAGCGGCCGTCGACGTCGCATCCTCTTTGTGATCGCCGCCCTTCTTGCCGCTGCTGGCCATGCTGCTGCTGCTGTTGCTGCCCACTGAGGTGGGCGTCGCCTTGCCCGTCCCGGAGGCGCTCTGATTGGGCGCTGCCAGATGGTGCTGCTGTGGATTGCCAGCGGCCAGCGGACTGTCGGTTTGGCCAGTGCGCTCATCCTTGGGCAGCCGCTTGTCTTTGTGCTCCTCGCGCTGCTTCTCACGCTCCCGCTCCCGTTCGCGCTCGCGTTCACGCTCCTTGTCCTTTTTCTCCTTCTTGGATTTCTTGTTGGAGCTGCGCTCCTTGTCCTTGGATTCTGATTTGCCGGACTTGTGGTCATCGCGCTCCTTGGATCGCGAGGTGGGCACTGCCAGAGCAGTGGACGCATCAGTGGGCGTCTTCTTGGGGCTGGGCGCACTCATTTCGGTCTTGCCGGGCTTCGGACTTGCCGTACGCTTCACCAATGCCGAGGCATTGGCCAGCACCAGGGCCGTAGAGGAGGGTGTGCTGCTTGAGCTCTGCTCACGTTCACGCTCCTTGTCGCGGGACTTGTCCTTCTTCGACTTTTCCTTGTCGCGATCATGCTTGCCGCCACCCTCGCCGGATTTGCTTGATTTGCGATCCTTGTCCCGGCCATGGCGATCCTTCTTGTCCTTCTCGCGCGGCTTTTCCCCGCTGCTGGACTTGTCGCGCTCCTTGCTCGACTTCTCTTTGCCATCGTGTGAGCCGCTCTTGCCACTGGCGGGCGCCGCTTTGCCCTCCGGCGAGTGTTTTGGGGGTGCGGCAATGGCCAACATATTGCCGCCGTTCCCCTTGGTAATGGGCGGGCCAAAGAGCGCAGAGAAGGCACTCGTCTTCCCAGGATCCGGATCGTTGCGCGACTTGTGCTTCTTGATCGGTGCCGCATCGATGGTCAGGGCACTGCTGCCCCCACCCTTGGCCTTCACAATGGCCACCTCGTTGTTGGGTCCGTCGCCACCGACGCTGGGCGATAGTGTCCGACTGAGGCTGCTTGGGCCGATATTGGCACCAAACACAGGCACTCCGCCGCCGCGCATCAGCTTGGCGCGAAAGTCCTCGGAGGGGGCATCAAAGACGTGTGTCTTCACCTCGACATGATGACGCGGTGGCCCCGTCTGCTGCAGCTCCAGATCGTACTGGTACATGATGCGCTTGGGCTCGTCGCGATTACGAAAATATATTTCGACTGGCAATAGGAAGCCGGCATATCCCGACTCCTGTATGGCATACGGTGGCTCCTTGATGACTGCATTCGAGAATCGAAAGAAACCAATTAAACAAAAACTCGTGCCAGGCGGGCCCTGTTCCGGACACTTACCTCGCTTCGGCTTGGGAAAGGACTCGTGCAGCAGAAAGACAACCTTCTCCACAAAGGCACTGATGTCCGCCTTGTTCACGCCCTGCACGTAGATCTCCCAGTCGTGGGTAAAGGCCTGTGGATGTGGGGTTTTCTTGCTGCGCAGCTTTGACGTGTGGCCAATCTCAAATTGCACCTTGACCGCCATTCCTCTGTGTAGAGCATCAAACTCCGATGTCTCCGGCACGGTTTCCGTTCAAGTGCTGCAACAAAACAAACAGAAGCAACACTCTTACAACATGCCTCAAACAGCCCGCCAAAATCGATGCGGGGATTAGTGTGGTGTGTGAAAAAGAAAAATAAACTCGTTTTATAATAGCTGAATGACAGATTCCTATTGGCGCCGAATTAAAATCAAAATAATTCGCCAATGCTTGTGGCACGCCGCCCTGCCCTGCTGCTGCGTCCCGCAGACGGGCAGCAGCGGGCTCAGGGTGCATGCGTGCTGGCTTCTTGCAACATTTCACGTCCGCCTTCGTCTCCAGCCAGCTTTGAGAGCTCTTCCGGGCACCTGGGCCCAGTCGACAATATGGAATAATTAATAGCTATAAAGCCATTGATCCGTTTTTGTGTTATGTTTCCTGCTTAAACCGAAATGTTATTGTTTGTGTGTGCCTCCACATTGTGGGCCCTTTTCTCGATGGCAAGCTTTCGCTTTCGGGTCATGTTTTTCTGCCACAACAATTGCGCTTGCACAATTCTCTACTTACTATCTGCACGGGGCGCACTCGCATGTATGTGCACACTATTTTCGCATAAGTAACAATATTTATTGTTGATATATACAGAAATTCGCGGAAAACGGAAGAACACACACAAAAAAAAAAACTATGTTGCCTAAAACAGTTCCATTGATTCAGTGAGAATGAACTGGTTCACTCATGACTTATGGTATATCGGTATATTACTGTATATTTTTGTGGTATATTACGGTATATTTGTGAGGGTCTGACATGAACCAGTTCCGTGAGTTTGGTTCACAACTGAGCCACAGACAACACTTAAAAGAACATTTGGAAAAACAATAAAAATAAAAATGTTTTGCGAAAATGTCTGAAACGTAAGTGTATTTGATGAGTCTAGCCAAACCACGCCCAGGATCCCAACCCAGAGCAGAGCACAATGACGGGTGAATTTGGCAACAGTCAGTTTGTGTCCAGTAATAATGCGAATGCGAATGCCAGCTGCAGTGCATCGCGTTGGCTAACGGAGGAGGTCTTCAAACTAATCGATGTTGTGCAACGCGATGAGGCCATCTACAATCCCAGGCACAAGTATTACTTCTGTCGACCGTACGTGGAGAACTTCTGGAGGGAGGTGGACCTGAAGCTGGAGAAGAATCCCGGCGCCAGTCTTGCCAAATGGACCAATTTGCGCATTTCGTTTCGGCGCGAGTATACCAACTATCTGGAGGAGAAAGTTCCGCCCTGCTGGTCGTACTTTGATCGTATGTTCTTCCTGCATCCGTATCTGCGCAAGAAGCACCAGCAGCCCAAATCGCTGGACACCCAGGTGCAGGATGCCCTGGCGCATCTCTCCAGCCTGTCGAATCGCATGCAAAGGGAGCGCACCGTGACCACCATCGGTACCACCACCAGCAGCACCAACCAGCCGACACCCTCGTCTCTGCAGAGTCCTCAGCCGCAGCCGCTGGACAACTATTTGGACTACTTCGACGAGAATGAGCCAAACAACTCGGAGCTAGAGGACCTCATAGAGGAGGAGGGACGCAATCGGTATCACAGCCAGCTGGACAGCAACGATATCAAGTCCGAGTGCGAGGAGCCAGTGGATGATTTCGAGCAGGGAACGCCAGACCATGACGAGGACGAGCCCGAAGACCATGAAATGCATAAAATGGCGCCCACTTCTAGTGTGGCTGCGGCAGCCACCTCGTCCGCGGCCGAGGCCCACCGACGTTATGCCCCCCAACAGCCGCACACCAATCGAGTGCATCACAATCGTCTCCAGCTACGCTTGTATCCGGACGAAGTGCGTGCCAGTCGCCCACGGTCGCAGGAGTTGCCACCGACCGCTGCTGCTGCTGCTGCTACAGTGTCAGGTGTCAATTTCCCTGCACAGCCCACGACCCATTTGAACATTTCCTTTGTACGTCCAACGTTTAGCAAGCCCGTGGATCTAGTCAGCACCACAACGCACAGCGGAGGAGCGCTTCCTGTCGCGCCTTCCGAAATGGAACTACCAACTCCATCGAATTTAGCCACAGGAGCCACACCCATGGCAGGCACGATGGCCAGTAGCAGCAGTGGCAGCTATTTGAGCCAGCGGCATCTGCACGGCCATCATCAGGCGGCGCCGTCGTCGCTGCGTCTGGAGGCAAACAACTCGGCTGGCCCGGTGGCGAATGGAGGTGGCGGCGTCGTGGATTTGTGCGACTGCAAGACCGATTCCGATGCCATGTTTCTGATGAGCCTGCTGCCGGACATACAGAAGCTGAATGGGCGGGATCGTGGTAAGATTAAGATTGCTTTCCAGAACATACTGCAGGATTATCTATATCCTGACTAGGCGTGGCCATAAGGTACGATCTCTATCCACACAGCCAGTCGCTCTGTGTATAATTTTTGTTGGCTTTTAGCATGTGAACCAAACGCGGCCCAGCCGCAGAGGTTTCAATTCTTTTACTTACATTATGTAATCCCCCTTTAAGCTTTGCTGTGCAAGAACAAAGTATCCTTAACACACGTTTTGAACACTATCAACTATGTTTATTTAAGTGTATAAATATTTATAAATATTTAACGTTTAACACAAGAATAAATTCATTCGAAATTTAGGCGATATAATATGGCTATAAATTAACTAGTGCAGTGCAGTGCGGTGCTGTGCTGTGCAGTGCATTGCCCTTCGACCTATCACATTCCTCACTCGAAGAGCTTCAGCTCGCGGGATATCTTCTTGATCTTATTATCCAGCGTCTTGTCCTCGTGCTCACATATGTAATAGTGCCTCGAGGTGCACTCCTGGCCATAGTACACATAGCTATGCTTGCCAGCATTGTAGCTGAGGCGCAGACACCGCCCTTTGCCCTCGATTTGCATCGTATTGTTGAGCACTTCGCTGCTTTCGTCTGATGTGTCCTCGGTGCTATCCACCAGATTGGAGGCCGTGGCATTCTCGCTCTTCTGTGCCATGGCTATCGATGTCAGATTCGTGTTGGGATTCACAGGCTTGGCCGAGTTGGACCAGATCCACAGCAGACCGGGATTGAGGCCACCCAGCCAGTAGTCGCGGCCCCTGTGCGCCGGCTGATTCAGCAGATAGGCCATAATCTCCTCGTTCTCCGATACCTTTTCGAACTCCGCCAGATGCGAGTTGAGGGCCTTGCAGGCAGAGTTCGCTGTCTTCCAGTTGACCTGCTGCTGGCTATTGATGTGGTAGCAGTTGTCGCTGATGCGCGTGAAGTTCGTGGGGCAGGGATCCTTCACCTCCTTCTGATTGTTGCCAGCCATCAGGTAGTAGATCAACTGCTCTGACCGCCGCACGCGACTCTCCAAGTAATCTGAAAGCATTTCATGGTTCACGGTTGAAAGGGAAAGTTTTCTTTTGACTGGCTTCTAGTTGCATTACCAACACGATAGACCAGCTTCTCGATGGCACCCAGCAGATACAGATCATTCTCGGAAACGGCACGGAATGTTGTCGGCTGGCCACTGCCCTGCAGATGCTGTTGCTGCTGTTGCTGCTGCTGCTGCAGGGGTACTGGCCGCAGATGCTGCTGCTGCGGTGGAGGATTTGGATTGGGATTGGCTCCGCCAGAGCTGCCGCCAATGCCAAAGAGCTGCTGCAGAAATCCAGGCTGCTGACGCTGCTGCTGTTGCTGCTGCTGTTGCTGCTGCTGCTGCTGTTGTTGCATGTGCTGCTGCTGCTGTTGGTGCAACATTTGATTAGTCATCGGCCGGAACTGTGGATTCACAATGGGACTCTGGCTCTCCACGGGCTTGCGCAAATGCGGCTCCAGCTCCACAGCCTCGCCCATACGCCGCGTGATGTAGATGTTGTTGCCGGGACGCTTATAGGCCGACGAATGATAGTTGAGGGGTCCATTCATGGACATGCTCATGCCCATATCCCCGCCACCCATATACGGCAGATCCTTGGATGTTCGCTGGCTGCTGCTTTGGCTGTGAGGATTTTGGAAAGAAGTCAAACGGTGATCTCAACGGGAAACCCTAAGCCATTCAAAACACACACACCTCAAAACATAATCTTCGAGAAACTGCGACCAAATGGGAGCGTCCGCCTCCGCCACTGTGAGTGATTCATTCGCGTGTTTTTGCATATTTTCACCATCGCTGTCATTACATAAGACGTACGAGGGCCCATGGCTTAGCAGGCATAAAAATACCAGGTAAACAGCAGCCCCAAGCCGAAGCCCAAGCCGAAGCCGGATGGCTGTCTGTTTGCTAGCCGGTGACATATGATGGCTGATGGATACGCACTGTTTGTATGGTGCCCCCTTCTCACGGACACAACAGAGCACTACTTGGCGATTCAAGTCGCGCGCGCGGACCACAAGCACTTTCGATTTCGATGCGTTTTCCGTGCGGTTTAGGCCGCCTCCGTTGTTGGTTCGTGGTTCGTTTCTGACTGAAATGAAGTTTAAAGCTGAAGCCGCAGCTTGGTCTAAAGCCGGTCGTCGTCTCCAGCTGTCGCTGTCTGAGTCGCTGTCAATGGCCCATGGCAATGGCCCTGACTTGTTGTGGAGAGCCGCTCGCTGCTGCTGCTGCGGCTGCTGCTCACTGAGAAATGCAAAAATTTCACTTTCTCCCTCGGTTCAAGCTCTTTACAAATGTAAGTCATTGGGACTGGGCTGTTCGTAGAGTATTTATTTCCAGCGTACCCGTAGCAGCGTAGCTTTGTTGGCCGTCAACACGCCTGCTTTTTGACATACTCACCGTCGGAGTCGTACTGTTTGCACTCCATTAAATTGGTTACATTCAGACTTAGGTAATTGTTGGAGGGGCTTTCTGGGCAGAGATACATTCAATGGAAATGAAAATGTATTCATTATTTTGGTTTAAATTTAGATGCGAGTATGGGCAACATTTTAATGTGGAATTTTTGGGAGGAGTTTCTTATATTTGTTAACATAAAATAGTTTTTCCAAGTTCTGCTTAAAATTTCCACTATTTATGTGCCCTATAAGATAAGCTTTAGCTTTTAAATCTCCCTTTGCTCATTTTTATATATATTTTTATTATAATTATGCCATTCTTTTATAGGTAAAAGCTGTCAGAAAACTCTCTTTTTATTTATTTTATAAGATTATCCATGTAAATTATGCATTATGTAAATTCTCCTATTCTTTTAAGCATGATAATTAGTAGCAGTTCAGAGTTTAGTCTTTGCTTCTAATCAACCAACTCTGCTGTAAAATATGGTAGTTCGATATTAAGAATTCGCCAATTTGATTGCTCGTAAAGCTAAAATATATTTAACTACTCCCTTTCGAATTCATTGGGGGACTTATCCGCATGGAATTTTCACACATACTTACGCAGACTCAAGAGATCTTTAGCCCACTCTAATCCAAGTGTGGACCCACCTCATAATCAAAGCATAATATGGCTTATATAAATCATGACTGGGACATTATAATGTGCAATTTAATGCGCCACTTAAAGTTTTAATAACTATTTTATGGAACTGCGAAAAGAAACACTGGAAAAAAGAGATTCGAGGAAAGAGAAACACGTTACGAAGAGTTAAAGAAACGACAGTGAACGACAGATGGGGGGGAATTAAAGCCCCATTAATATGAAAGGTGAATCAATTTGGCTGACAGACAGACCTCCAGCTTCAACTCAGCGTTAACTGGATTATTGATGGTCACAGCAGCAGTAGCAGCCCACATCGATCAAATATCTCTCAAAACTGATTTTACCCTGAAGATAGGAATGGATGCTTGTATGTATACATGATATACATTTATCTGTATGTAGATCGCTAAATATTGGAACTTTCGTTATTCATTACTTTGACAATTAGCGCGGATGCTAACGATGTTGCAATGAAGGCCTCAGTCTGTGAGTCTTTCGTGATCCGTGATCCCATTTGCTGCTGCTGCTCTCAAGTGATGACGCACTTTGAGAGTTTTTGGGTTTTTCATGACACTCAAATATGGGGTTTGCCCAAAAAAAAAAAAAATGAAACCAAAAGCCTTTTGCCTTTGCATAATCAGAGCAGAGTTCGGTTCGACAATTTCTGTTAAATTTCCGGCAAAGAAAATCAAATCAAATCAAATCTCATTAAAAGCAAACATCAAACATATAATTTGTTTTTTTTAGCAAATTTTTTATAAATTTTTTTGGTATACTTTTTTTGTTTGTGTATTTTTTTTGTTTTGTTTTTGGTGTAATTTAATTATATAAGTTTCAAATTTTAAGCAAAATTCATTCTAAACAGCTTCTGTTTAATCTCTCTCTCTCTCTCTCTTATTGTGTGTCCGCTGTTTGCTTTTTTCTTAATATTTTTAAACAATTGTTTTAAAAATAAAAAATATATTTTTTTGGGGTGCTGGGATAGAAATTAACTTTTACTTTCTGCTAAATGAACTGCTTCTAAAACAGGTTCTTGTGGTTCCTCCCTGCTGCTGATGACTCCATCGATTATTTTATTGTTTTAAAAAATAAAAAAAAAATAATTAAATTAATTTGGTTTTGTTGTTGTTTTTGTTTTGTATGCTTGGTTTAGGTTACTATCAATGCTATGGCTTGGTGTTGTTGCTGTTGTTGCTGATGTTGTTGTGGTTGTTATTTATTTATTAAGAAATATATAGATTTATATAAAGAATTTAATACACAATGGATGTTGTTCTTGGTATCCTGCTGGTTTGATGTTGTTCTTGTTGATGTTGTTGTTTTCAAAATCATTTTGAGATATTCGTTTAATTTTAGTAGAGTTCCTTCCTCTCTTGTTCCTGCTCCGTTGTTGGTGTTGTTGTTGTTGTTGGTGTTGATGTTCCTCCTCGTTGTGGGTTTTAGGGTCCAGGTGTGGGTCCTGTCCCTTAGTATCCAGCCAACTCGGCGAATGTGGAGTCCATCTCGTCGGCCAGAGACTTGTACCTGTCCTTGTTGATGCCCAACTCGTCTGTGGATTGCAACAAAGAAAAAGGCAGAACGTTAGATCAGCTCGTTACTGGTTGGTATTACATGTGGGGGGGCATGTTGCAAACATTGAAATCGAACATAGAACACAGATCAATCCAATCGATTTGGTTGATTTTTTGTTGTGAGTTTAGTGGCGCGCTGTTCTGGCAAGCGTTTTTTTTTTCTATAATTTTTTGGGTTAGTTTTTGCAGAATTTGTGTGGGAAGGTGCCTTGGGAGATGGGTATGGTGTAAGTGGGGGGCTTCTATAGGGGTATTCTACGGAGTTCTATGATCTAGTAGTATCTATCTAATCATTGCAGACATTGCATGAGAGAATGAGCGAAAACCTACGCATAAAAGCAATTCTTGCATGATTTGGGGGATTGAGAGATTGATGATCATCGGTAGAGAAACATATTGACAAAGAAGGACAAAGACACGAGTGTACAGAGAGAGAGGGAGAGAGAGAGAGCTCGAGAGTCTCGTTTCGAGTGGCCTTTACGCGTAGAGAGAGAAAGAGAGAGCGAGAGCGAGAGAGTAGTGTCCGTGTGGTAGAGTGGAGGCAAAACAGAACAGGACAAGACAAGAGATCATGCCACATAAAACAAGAAAAATCTTTTGCTCATCATATATGTATGTATGTATAGATAACACCACATACACATCATAGCAACAAAATATTTGTACATATAGATAAATTCACCTGGCGTGTTGAAAGCATAATTAACTACAGCTGCAACTGGTATTTGGGTTTGTTCTGAACTTATTTTTACAGTGTACTGGATATAGGGTGGGTGTACGGGGTGTGTGGGGGGTATTTGGGCGTATAGCGGTTGACTAAACAAATTATTTACAGTGTAATTCTGTGACAGAAAATGTGGGTAAATACACTGAATTCTGTCTGGGAGGAAAAATCGAAATAATCGAAAATATATAATAAGCGGTAGGGATATACTCTTTTTTTTTTGTGGGCTGTATGGTATGGGTTCTGTGGGGTCTGTGTTTCGTATGGATTTTGTTTCTTTGTTTTTGTTTTGTTTTTTTAATATCCAGTAAGTTCGGCAAATGTCTGGTCCAAATCGTCGCAGATTGCTTTGTACTTTTCCTTCTCATTGAAGAGACGGTCTGCAAAAGGCATTTTGTTGTTTTGTTCATTTATATACAGATTATATATATATAGAGAGAGAGAGGGAGGCATAGGGATATATATATATATATATATTACATCAATTAATGTAAGCAGAGTACTAATTAATATTATTAATAATTAATTGTAAACAGATATTAATCCGTTTAGTTTAGATATATAAATATATATACAATGCGAGCATTAGTTGAAGCCTTCGGTTCGTAGAGCATCTCAGGCGTCTCATTGCGAGATATATCATGAGATCTGAATGGAAAGATAAGGCTGCTGGGGGGCGTGGGGGCTGTGGGGATATATGTGGAATGGAACCTACCTTCTAGCCTGTCCACCTCCTTCTGCAGGCGCTTCACTTGCTTCTCGGCGTGCTCGGCGCGCTGTTCGGCCTCCTTCAACTTGATGGCCAGGGTCTTCATCTCACGCTTGAATTCCTCCACGCGCTGGTTGGCCTTCTCCTCGGACACTTCCAGAGATTTCAGAGAGTTGCCGACAACCTAAGAGAGAGACAGAGAGAGGAGGAGGGAATCCAATAACTTTAATGAAAGAGAGATGGAGATGGGAGAGTGCGAGTGCCTACCTTCAACTCTTCCTCGAGCTCCATGATCTTGGCCTCGCCGGAACGGACACGATCCTCAGCAACCTCAAGCTCATCCTCAACGAAGGCCAGCTTGCGGGATACCTCATCGGACTTGGTGTCGGCATCCTCAGCGAGCATGCGGGCCTCCTTCAGCTGGTTGGTCAGCTGGTCCATGCGCTCCTCATCCTGCTGGGAGCGGTTCTCCAACACCTTGCACATACGGTTGTTCTCATCGGCCGACTGTGTGGCCTCCAGCAGCTTCTGTTGAGCGGTGGTCGAGCGTTCCTCAGACTTTTCCAGATCCTCCTCAATCTGTTGCACCTTACGGTTCTGGGTGGCAACCTCAGACTCGGTGGCGGTCAACAGTTTCTCCTTCTCCTCCAGCTCGGCGTTGGCCTTCTCCAGCTGCTCCTTGGCGGTGACCAAATCAACCTCAACCTGAACGAATTTCTTCTCCAGATCGCGCACTTCCTCATTGAGTTTGTCGGCGCGGGAGTTGGCATCCTTCGCTTGATTCTCGCAGGTATCTGCCTTGTCAATGGCATTATCCTTCTCAAGCTTCATCGCTTGCATCTTCTTCTTGATGGCGTCCATGGTGTTTGTGTTTTTTTGTTTGTTATTGGCTTAGAAGGGAAGAAAACTGGAGAAAAGCACTGCAAAACAAAAAAGTAATAGAAAATATTTTTGTGTTAGATTTCATAGTTTTTTTTTTTGTTTTAAGCTGGAAAATGGGTAAGTTCTGAATGATATCATTTCATATATATTTTTAGTATATTTTTAGATATGGCTGACACTCGTAGTTCCCAAGCTTAACCGCAAATATGCATTGGTTTGCATTGGTGTATATAGAGGGAGTCTTAAAGGGATCACTATCTGTGATCAAAACTATAAAAGAAGAGTCTTCTGCTAAGCAAATATCTTTAGATATTTATCAGTTACATATTAGAATCTAATGCTGGATAATACTTCAATATTTAGTCCCTAAATGGGAACTAATCTTCTCTCAGTGCGGCTAACCCAAAGACAATGTAAATAGTCTAAAGGAGTAACGTCCTTTAAAAGAATAGGCATTCCCATGCTATACCAACATATGGATACCCATAATATACCAATTGCTTCTGTGATCTTTCACTTGACACCTAGCCCATTCTACCCCTCCTCCAACACCTGTCAAAATGCAATTGAATATTGGGAATGTTTGCTTGAAACACTCCAGGCGCATTCGAGATCGTATCTATATCAACTATATGTATATTCACACACGTTTAAATATACTTTCGGGTGTATATGTACATATGTATGTATCTTTGAATTAAATTGAACATTTAAATGTAAACACATTTTGTTTGTCTGAACATTTATAAGCTCTAACGTAATTTTTCCCATTTTTCCATACGCCCACTCCGAGTGCGGATCCCCGGCTATGGCTATGGCGATGGCGATGGCTATTCTATATATTTATTTGCTGCACGATTCTGAAGAGTTAAAAATAAACTTTATATGCTTTTGCATGTGAAAAATATCCAGTTCACACACACACATATAGGAAAATACAGATCCATGGGCAATGCTTTTTTGGACATTGTGTGCTAAATGTAATTCTAGAGTTATACCCTCTCCCCCCCCCCATTCGAAATTTCGAAATACACACACAAATAGATATCGTAGATACATATAGAAAGACAGAGACAGAGATAGAGAGAGACAGAGATAGAGAGAGAGAGAGCAAGAGATTGCAATTTGAAAAGTTTTCGATTCTTTGGGGTCATCGGATGTGTGGGTGTGGGTATTAGGGGGTTGGGGGTGGGGTATAGGTGTATTTGTGTTCCTGCTGCCAGAAGTGGGACAAAGTCATTTATGTTGTAGTTGGCTGCTCTTTTGGAGGTCTTTCGATACTTATGACTTGGCTATAGATAGAGGCTAGAGGCTATAGGATGGATATCGGGCATATAGGGAAGGAGAGTTCGTTCTGAAAATGTAGCAGAGATCTCTGTGGAATATTGAAAGGTGTTTTGAATGAGCAGTGCTAAAAGATATATGTACATATGTATATGCATGATGTATTGAAGAATGGGTTTTGGGATTTTGGGAGGGGTAAGAGCACCGATAAAAGATGCTAAAAATAGTATTTAATCAAGGAAGTGCAGAAAGTATATGCTAATACGTGAGATATCATTAAGAGTAATTCGTAGAAGATATTAGCAGCAGAAAAGTGTCGATTCCTGCAATATTTTAAGCCAATGCTTGGAATAGTTTCTTTTTTTCGAGTATATAATAAAATTATTAGATGATTGTGCAGGTAAAATATTAGAAAAACTATTTCTAAAAATATTTTATGTATGTATGTATGTTTTATTTAATGTGAATTTAATTCCCATTTCATTCGTTCGCTTTTAAAGGGAAAAATAATGAATTAAAAATCAGACCATTTTCATCAATAAGTACAGACAAATTTTGTGGCCTTCGAGACCAAGAAAAAGCCTTCATAAATGGCAAGAAAATATTTGTTCGAATTCCGTGTGGGTGGCAGCTACATTTATCCGCTGGTTAAACATATATATCTACATAATATATACACCAATATGTATGTGTATTCTATATGTATGTATATGTAATCTGTCTGTACATCTGTGATTTCTCAATCTCTAATAATTTCCAAAGAAGCTCTTTCGCTCGCTCTCTGTCTCTCTCTCCCTAGCAGAAAAACAAACTCAAGGATAAATACGAAATTATTTCGACTGCCTGCGTCGTTTCGTTGATGTTGCTGTAGCTGTTCGTTCGGTGAGATCACAGAAAAGCTAGAAAAATGAGCAAACAGTGTGGCAAAGAGGAAAAGCTTTTTCGTCTAAGTTTCCACTGAAGTTAAAAATAAATGCGTCCGTAAGTGTTTGTGTTTGTGACAGGCAGGTGTCTGTCTGCAGTTAATTTTAAAGAATTTTTCTAGCGGAAAATGCTTGCTGTCTGTGTGTGAAAATTGTGCGTAGTGTGCATATGTATATGTGTCCCATAGTTGAGTGGAGCTTTCCCCCACATGTGTGCAAAATACACACACAAACATCATGGGCTTATGCGTGTGTATTGGTGTGCCGTCAGATTTAGTTACAAAATTCCTTATAAGCGAATTTTTTAAATGTCCGTAAAATTCATCATACAATCTCCATTGTTGAAGATTATATTTTATGGAAATTCTTCAGCGGAATTTAATTGGTTGAGTGTTTCCTTTTGATTGAGTTTTAATCACTGGGGCTTATGCAGGTTCAGTTGAATTTTGCGTCACTCTGGGAACTATTTTTATAACAATTCTTCTTTTTTATATTTAACCATTTAGTTTTCCTTTTTTTCTTTAGATATTATTTGACACATATACATATGCACATTTTTTTTTATTGGTTTTCCTTTGGGTAAAAGCAATTGAAAATTTTCGTTGGTTGAATGCATTTCGATGCAATGCACTTTTCACTATTCTGCAGGCTATTTCTTTGGGTTATTTTCTTCATGGAAAATACCAATTTTTGGTTGGCAACAAATGATGAATTTTTGAGTTATTTTATTTATTATATATTATACATATTGGTGTTAATTCTTTTGTGTGGTGCAAAATCCTGGCGTGAGACCAACCTTAGCGTTTCAAACACACTATACGCTGTCGAAACCCCGAGAACACTGATGCTGACCGAGTCGCTTAGCCCAGAAAGCGACCCCAAGAACCAACGCAAGGCAATGCACACACACACACACACACACACACACACACACAAACACAAACACACAGATTTGGGGGCCCACACCAAAGCAGTATTGAATAATTTTCCTCATTTTAAAATTTCCCATTAAAAATCTAAGCGCAAAAGCGCTTTCACAACGATCGGGTAAAATTTCCCTCAAAATTTCCCCCAAAAGCTATGTGCGCATGTGTGAGTGGTGCGCTCTCTCTGTGGATTTCGCTCTCGCTTTTCGCTGCCTGCAGTCTCTCATCGTGAAAATTATGCGTTTTGGTTTTCCTCTCCTTCTTAAATTTAAATTCAATTTATTGTTTTTACTCAGAGAATTTTCATAGAATGTGTTAGTGTATCCGTCAGATTTTCAGGCTAAAAATAGCGCATAAATATTCGATATATGTATATGCCTTGCCAAAGACAAAAAAAGAAAAGAAAGAGCACGATCTAACAAGATGAAAATCTATTTTCACTCAGAAATAAATATTGAGAAATATTTGGAATTTTGATCAAAGCTACAGACCAGTCGTCTCAGAAGTCTTTCAACTGCAGACAGCGACACAATACCCCACCATTGGATTGTTGGAATATTGGATAGGATACAGAAGAATTTATTTCATTCATTTTAATGAAAGTTTACGTTTGAGATCCATGTTCAAGTGGTTCGACTGTCCGTTTATAATTGTATATTCCAACAACAAAAAATAGCTAATCTCTATTTGGCGGGATTGTGCGGAAACATTTTCTCTTTAGACCGATTGTTAGCTATTGATAGTCGTACAATTCGTTCCCCTTAATATAAGATTTCATTCCAGGGTAATTTTCATTAGATTGCATCAGATTTTAAAACTGATTTACTATAGAAATAGACAGCCGATCATTGCTAAAGCTTATGAAAAGTTAGCTCTGACTTTTTACGTATCCAAAATCCATACAGAATTCCATCCGATCTCAGATCGTTTTTATACATTTTTAAAATGTATAAAGCTGTTCACAGACATGTATTCTCAAGTCTTAAATGCCTAGTATTTTTGTAAGATTGTTCAAAGATGTTGCCAGAATGTAATCGTCTTGAAACCCCTCTAAAAATAACCGTACGGATGGTGGTTTATATTGAATAACTCTTCGGTTCCGCCATCTTGTTTTTCCCCAAATCTTTTTGCTCATTATACATCCCATCCAGATGTTCCATTCCCAAGAAAAAAAGAAAATCTTAAGATTTTTATATGCAAAAAATTGTTTCTCTTTATTGATCAGAAAAATATTGAGAAATAAACCAAAATATACATACATACATTGATTTATTTGAATTGCTTGTTTCATAGAATTATAAAAGCTATGTCAAATTTGTAAATTTTATTTATATAGTATATATACATACATTTTCATTGGAAACATTTTGCGTACTGCCGGAAAAAACTCAAGCAATCGGGGAAATAAAGTGGAAAAATTGACATTATGCTTAGGACATCAAGCGCTATGGAGCTTTACATATATGGTTAATGTTTTGAGGGTGTACGATATAGACTGGTGGGTTAAGGGGTGTTCATTACGAAACTTCTTTACAACTATTAAGCCGGGAAATCAATTAAATGGGAAAAAGGCAGTGACTTTATTCCACACAACTCTTATTATTATTGAATGCTTTGTTTTGCTTATAATTTTTTATTATAAAATGTAATTGCTAAAAAATTTACTTTATTGTAACACTTTCGGTCTTAGTTCATAGAGTTTGATGTGTTTATATCTATGTATGTATCGCGTATGTAAATTTGTTCTGGAATGCTTAGTTGAAGTTGAAGTGTCTTGAGTGTAATGCTAAAAATAATTTGTATGTATATCGGACGTCGAAATGCTTTCAGACTCCATTTTTGTTTGGTTTTTGTTTTGTTTTTTGTAGATCGCAGGCTGCATTTGCTGTTGTTCTTGTTGTGGTTTGCTTTTATATCGTCTCAGTTATCAGCTTAGTAGCTGTGCAGGTCGGCATACTCCAGTTCCTGGGCAATAGTTTTGTACTGTTCCTTACCTTTGCTAACCTCATCTGTCATGGATAGCAGCCGATGAAGAAGAAATCAAATGAAATCAATGCCAAAAAGGTTAATGTATATTTTTATAGTTGATTGCTTTATTGCTTAGTTTGGGTACAAATAATAAATAAAAATGTTTTGAGTTAAACAGATACACAATAGTTTTTAATGATTCCTCATCGTCAGCTGCAGGCAAAATCAATCTACACACAAAGATATACACACACATGGAAATCAAAAGTACAGTACTACCGATAACAAGGCTACGGAAAACTAATGTGCGCCTATGGCTATGCTACAGTAATAAAAACAATCGATAGGCGTAGGTGTGATGGTGTTGGTGTTGTTGCTGGCAAAAGTGTTGAAAGATTTGCGCTGAGCTGAAGGGGGAGGTCGTCGTCCGTGGTCGGTACGCTTATTCCTTGAGGATGAGCTCGACGAAGGCGGTGTCGAGATCGTCTCCAATATCCTTGTAGCGCTCCTTCTCCAGGACAAGGTCGTCTGTTTGTTGAAGTGATTGAAAAATCATAAAGAAAAAACGCAAGAAAACAAAAAAAACACAAGTTAATAAAAATATTTAAAACAAATACAAATTACATTTAAAGTGAGGGGCAAGACCTGACAAAAACTGACACCTGGATGGGGGATGGGTTGGTAAAATCTGCACAAATAAAACTAAAATAATTACCTCGCTTTTTGGGTTCAAAATAAATAATAAAAATGCAGCAGCGCTGAAACTGCTTGTCAGCAGCAGCAGCATTGTTGTACGCATCGGCAAGGCAGTGCCAGTGCGCGTGGCTAGCTGTTAAGTTGGGAAATTAAAACGGCAAACGGCAAACGGCAAACAAATAAAATAAAGCAGTGGGTAAAAAGGCAGCTTTGGTTTTTTGCAATGCTTCGATTAAATGAAATTTTTAATCATATATCGGATTTCAATTAAAAATGTTTCCAAAAACGTGCTCAAAATGGTGTGTATAAAAGCAGGGCAGCATTTTGTAGCAGTTGTTGTGTCTTTTTCGTGTGTTACGCAGCAGATTCTGTTGGGGACTAGCGTCGGGGCAATGGTCGGCGGCTTAGGCTGGTGGCGCTTCGGCGGGCGCAGCCTCGGCAGGTGCAGCCTCAGCAGCTGGAGCAGCCTCGGCGGCAGGGGCAGCCTCGGCGGCAGGTGCAGCATCGGCGGCAGGAGCAGCCTCGGCAGCGGGTGCAGCTCCCTCAGCCGCAGGAGCAGCTCCTTCCGCGGGAGCAGCTCCCTCAGCGGGTGGTGCTGCTCCCTCGGCAGGTGGTGCCGCTCCCTCAGCAGCGGGGGCTGCCCCCTCAGCCGGTGCGGCAGGTGCTTCTCCCTCGGCCGGTGGCGCGGCAGCCTCTCCCTCGGCAGCTGGCACGGGCTCTGGCTCCGATCCCGGTGGTGGTGGCTCGTAGTTCTTGACATATGGCACCTCGGCACCCTCTGGGGGCAAGTCGATCGAGTACTCGAATGGTGGCGGTGGTGGTGGTGGAGGAGTGGGCTCCTTGGGTGGTGGCGTTGGCAGCTTGATCGGCACTGGCGGCTCGCCGGGTGCAGTCTCGACGACCAAGGTCGCCGGATCGATGCCCGCAGCCAGTGCAGCAGCGATGGCCGCAGCAACCTTCTCGGCCTGCTCGGCGGCCTCGGCCTCGGCCTTGGCCGCTGCTGCTGCGGCCGCTTCCGCAATGCGCGCCAGATCCTCCTCGGTGAGCTCGGGCGTGGGCGGCTTGGGGTTGCGCGGGTTCCAGAAGGGCTCCAGGCCCACAATCACATCCACGAACGCTTCGTCGAGGCTGTCGTTGATCAGGCAGTAGCGTTCTTTCTCAACGATCATTTCATCTGCAGCCCGGCCCGGCACGGCACGGCACGCGATGTTGATTATGTTTTGTGAGAAAAGCGAATATAAGCGATGGAGTAGTGCGAGATCGATGGAGGATAGAGAGCGAGAGAGAGAGAGCGTCAAGCGAAAGAGAGAGAGAAAGCATGTTGGAAAGAAAAAGCGTGTGAAAAGGAGGCAATAGAAACGATAAAACTAAAAATTAAACTTCGATCAAGTTGAGTAATCAGCGGGGACGGGTGCGGGGTTGGGACTGGGTGAGGAGGCGCACAGGAGGCGGGGCGGGCGATGCATGTTAGTGAGAGACGGAAAGGAAAAACACATTGGCCAGTTCATTAACGGCGACGAGATCCTTCTAGAGAGATCCTTGATCTATTTCATCAGTATAGAGAACAAACAACATGTCAGAGTTTGCTTCAGGCAGGTGGTGCCTCAGCGGCAGGTGGTGCCTCAGCGACAGGTGGTGCCTCAGCGACAGGTGCTGCCTCAGCGGCAGGTGCTGCATCGACGGGAGCCGCCTCGGGAGCGACGGGTGCTGCAGCGACTTCTCCTTCAGCTGGAGCTTCAGTGGGAGCAGCTGCCTCCCCTTCCGCTGGAGCTGCCGCAAGAGCAGCTTCCCCTTCAACGGGGGGAACAGCAACAGCTTCTTCTACTGGGGGCAGCATATCGCCCGGCTCGGCATTCTTCACATACGGCACCTCAGCACCCTCTGGGGGCAAGTCGATCGAATACTCGAACGGTGGCGGCGGTGGTGGTGGGGGTGTGGGCTCCTTGGGCGGTGGTGTCGGCACCTTAACCGGCACTGGCGGCTCTCCGGTGGCTGCCTCGACGAGAGCCGGGTCCAAGGTGGCCGGATCAACTCCCGCAGCCAGCGCAGCGGCCAGAGCTTCAGCGGCCAGCTCCTTGGCCCGTTCCTTGGCCTCCGCATCGGCCTTGGCCCTGAGCGCTTCCTCCTCAATGCGGGCCAGATCCTCCTCGGTAAGCTCAGGCGTTGGTGGCTTCGGGTAGCGATCATTGTAGAAGGGCGGCATGCCCATCAGCTCAACGAAGGTCCAGTCCAGGCTGTCGCCAATGAGGGCATAGTGCTCCTTCTCGACGATCGTCTCGTCTGGTTCGCAGAGTTTCGATTGGTTGGTTGGGGTGTGGTTTAGTGGTTCATTGGTTCATTGGTTAGTGGTTGCCGCGTGGCGGCGGGCGGCGGGGCATCAGCGAAAGTAGAAATTCGAATTAGAGCAGAGTTAGAGTCAAAGATCGCGAGCGAGAGAACCTTTAGTGGCCGATTGCGGGGTGGGGTTTCTGGGTACAAGGCACACAGGATCGACAGAGGAGAACACTCAACGATGGACGATGGGCACGACGATTCCTGGGCTGGGTTAGTTCTTCATATATTTTCTTGTAAAATACTTTATTTGTGCAATTGCAGCAGCATGGATTGTATTGTATTTGTATAGTATATATGTATGTATGTATGTATATCGTATGTGTATGTGTATATATGTATGTATGTATATATTAAAATATAAATAATTAATTTATGTAAATTAATGTAAGTAAATCGAATTTGAAAGTGTTTTTATTTTTGTTTATTGCCATCTTTGTGGGGCCCCCATTTATTCCATTCCCAGTTCGTATGTTGGGGATGATATTCAGAAGAATCGGTAGAATTTGTTGAAATTGGTTTGTTTTTTTTTTTTTTTGTTGTTTGTTTTTATTTTTCAAATAAAAGAAAGGCGCTACCGGAAAATCGGCAAACGCAATTGCAATTGGAATGGATGTGCATTTTGTGTGTGTTTTGTCTCGCTTAAAGTTTTGTTTTGTTTTTTGTTGTTAAATTTCCTTTTTTTTTTGTCAAAATAATTTTAATTGTAATTATAGTAGTGTGTGGGTGGGTGTGGTGTGTTTGTGTGTGTTTGTGGTAGGCGTGGCGGCAAACTTAAAAGTAGGCAAATATTACACAACGTTTTGCAAACATTACAAAAATTTGTTTAAATAATGTATAAACACATTAGCATATATATTAATACAGTTAAGCGCTGGCGACAAAAATACAAAGTTTCTTTCCTTTTTTTTCTTTTCTTTTCTTTTTTTAGCATATAGAATGTACTTCACTTTCTTTAAATATAAATAACAGCGTTTTGTTTGTCTCTCTATTTAAAATAAAAATAAAATACACATAAACTAAGAAGAAGGCGGCAATGCATTTTGTTTGTCCAAGTTGTCATCGTAATACACAAACAAAAACAATGTAAAAAAAAGGGCTAGGGTAGGTAGGGTAGCAAAAGCAAGTTTTAAAATAATGGGTAGAAAAACATCTACGTTTATTTCGCTTGTCGAAGTTAACTAAGGGACATAGCGAAGGGGAGGGGGGTTTTATATATATTGCAACAGTGTTGTAAAGGCATCTTGATCAATTTTGATTGGAATGTGTGCACCAATGATGTGTGCACACTGGAACGCTAGCTGCCAGCCACAGCGTCATTTTGGAATCTATACGATTGGAATGCGCCTGCTACTCTACGGGGTAGAATGTCTTGTTTTTTGCTTCTTTCGTAACTGCTTTTTCTTTGAGTTTATGTTAAATATTTAACGCTACGCTATCTTTCTTTTAATATATTTTCGTCATTTTTTCTTTTCTTTCGTTTTTTTTTTTTTTGTTTTTTTTTTTGTTTGCTTAGCGTTTTTTTTTTGTCCAGAGTTCTTCGGAAAGATGGCGTCAACTCTGCAATGGAAGACACTTGGCGTCCTGGTTGCGGTGCGTTGCCTGTCTCAGTGGTGTAGATGTAAATGTGTGTTGTTTTTTTGTTTATTCTTTTCTTCTAGTATTTAAATATGGAAAGCGCCAGTTCTGTGTGTGGTGGTGGTGCTGGTTGTTGGTTGTTGGTGGTGTGTGTGTGTGTGTATATAGTTTTGACGTCAAGAAGGCAGTTTAGTTAATTTACACAAGCAAATTAGATGGTTTTTTACATGTTCTGTATGTCATGTAAAGTGTTCTCCATTTCCTCCTGCAGCAGTTTGTTCTTTCCGCGCTCATTCAGCAAGTCATCTGAGGGCGCACGCATTTTGTTTTTTTTTTTTGTTGGTTGTTGTTGTTGTTATTGTTGTTTGGGGTTTGACGGTACATGCAGGCAGGTTTACAACAGAAATTTGTTTGCAATTTTTAGCGAGCGAGCGAGCGAGCGGGGGGTACAAGCAGCGCAAGTTGTATTGTTTTTTGTTAAGCACAACATTAACAACAAATAATATATGAAAAATAAATATAAAAAAATACAAATAAATTAAGTAATGTTTTTTGGATAAACAGCAACAAAAACAATAATAATAATAATAATATCTCAAGGGATTGTACATAAAAAACACACTAATATTTCACTATAGAACACAATTGATACTGGATGTTGGAATAAGGAAATTAATTTTGTTCTTACTTATAAATAATAATAAAGAACTATTTAATCAATTTCAGTTAACTAATATTATAATCATTGTACTTTAATTTGAAATACTGCTACACAAAATATTGGAAATATTCAGCTATGTAAATTTCCATGGCTAAGTGCTCTCTTAGAGCCTCAGTAATATATGGATAAATTCTTTGACGGACATACCTTCGAGCCTGTCGACTTCCTTCTGCAATTTCTGAACGGAACGTTCAGCGAACTCAGCGCGAGCCTCAGCCTTTAATTTGGGAGGGAGAGGGAAAGGTAAAGTTATACATTAGTAAAAGTTTAAATATTCATTTGGGGAGAAATAGCAACACAAAGTGCCTGCTAGCAGGCATGGGTTAAAAGGAACAGTAAAATGCCCCTTTAATCCATACCTGGCAGATTAATAAAATTCTGTGTGCGAGGGAAATTTCCCCAAGCTGTATCCTTCACAGCGCAACGCAGACAGAATTTACAATTTTTTAAAGCCAAAGAAGCTTCCCAAATATACTACCAAAACCAGCAATAAAAAAACTTACTAAATAAATAAATGTCGATGACAAAATGAACATTAGTCAAGATATAATGATGATCGGGTGAAATTAGTTAAACAATATAATTAATTAAAAGTTAAACAAACATTCAATTAAACATCATTCGATTAACACTTAAAAAATCTCTCATTTTTATTCGACTAAAATTCTTACAACAGTCAACAGTTTGACGCTTTTGTACGAGTACTATTTGGGGGTTTTTTAGACAAAACCTAAATCAGACAAATTAAATATCATTAAGGGAATAATAATGGAATGTTGGTTCAACAATTGATTACTGGTAGAGGAGGCTACGCAGTCACTGCATGAAATAAGTGAAACTGAAAATGCTGTTAAGATTATTTAAATGTCTAGAAGAATGTCTAGAATATCTACGCTCGATCGATTCATCGCTTCACTCAGCGCGACTTACAGTTTCTACATTTAGTTTGAACTGTATGAGCTCCTGTTCGAAATATTTCTGATTGACGCGTGCCTAGACATCGGGAGAAATACAACAAATTATGGTTTATAGTTTATAAAAAATAGATCAATTTCATTTCACGTACATTCTGGGTTTCTGTGTGTGTGTTTTATAGAGATGTGTGTGTGTGTGTATGCATGTTTGTGTTTTTGTGTATTTTTTGGGGTACATAAAATATCTACCGAACTTAGATATCTTTTGGGTTTTTAATAAATTTTGATTTATATTTTATTTGAGTCTACTAATCAGGCAGTAGAAGTGGAAACAGTGTTGGAAAAAAACGTTCTCATTGGTGGAATTACAGTGTTGGCTACTAACCAAGCAGTAGCAGGAAAAAACAGTGTTGCATAACCACGACTAGTGTTGTAAAACATTGACAATTAATCGAGTTGTGAGTGGTTCTATTCATCATCATCAGTTACTACTACTACAACAGGCAGTAGAAAGCTGAAGTATAAGTGCTGGAAAAACACATTTTCCTTTGTTGCACAAAAAGTTGTTTTCAATTTTGAACAAATGTACACACACACGTCTTACGAGATGGTTGACACGATAGAAATACTTGCCCATGGATGTACGCTACATATATCGCATATATACAACGATATTGATCTATAATTTTATAATTTTTCTTCATTATTTTTATTGTCATTTGTTGTATTTTCCCAAAGTGATTTTTTTGGTTTTTGCTTTTGTTTATAAAAAAGAAAATATTAAATGTCGAATTGACGAATATGTACAATAAATTTCAAATTGAGAATAACGATTTGTGCAATTCAATATTTTCTTTTTTTTTTAGTTTTAGTTTTCTTTCAGTTTTAAGCTTAGTCTTACCAGAATTAGTCTAGAGTTAGTCTTAGTTTTAAAGCGTTTTCACCAACACCAGAGATATAATTGATATATTTCGACTCTGCATAATACCTCTTTCAGAGAATGATCCAAGACCTTGATTTGCGTTTCAAAGGTCTCCTCTTTTTGTGTGGCCTGGTGTTCAGTGTTGGTAAGCGTTTTGTTTATTTATTAAAAGCATTTTGTTGTTCAACATAAATTAATAAACAATATTCATGCAAGAACAAATCAGTGGTCAGTGTTGGTAAACATCCAGCAGGTGCGCAAATTAGAATTTTTTTTTTTTTGGCATTTTTGTTTTGTTTTTAGCAGCAACATTTAACAAAAAACATAATATGAAAATAAGAAGTAAAAGAAAATATAAATTAGTAATCAATAAAATATAACTGATTGATCTGTAAGCAAATATATAAAATATATGTATATATATCATGTCGGTAGACATTTTATAAGAATTATTAGTAAGTACAACAACGAAGTGAAAGATTGGAAACTCTGCGTAGTACAAGAGTTCCGTTTGAAGTTCTTTGTTTTTGGGAGGGGGTTGACTGTCTGCTGCACCCCTCCCCATAAACTTTGTATAGTATAAATCAAACAAAAACGAGAAACAACAACAAAAGAGATGTATATATATATAATCGCTGGTTTGGGACACTCGTTTTGATCTCGGATCTGGGAAATCCTCTTTGCTTTTTGGCCACTTTTTGTTGCGAAGGCTTTCTTTCTTCGTTTCTTGTTTGATATCTACCTCCTTTAGACGAGTGTTCAGGGTCTTGATTTGGTTCTTGTATTCTTCCTCACGTTGGTTGGCCTATTTTTTGTTTTTTTTCGTATCGTTTTCGTTGTTGTTTTTGTACATTACGGGAGGAGCATTTTTGAGTATTTCGGGTTGGGGGAAATTCAATATAAATATTGAAGAAACATTGATTTAGAGATTGATTTTCATTAAGTATGTATATTCAAAATAAGTGAATAATTTGGAGACAAAAAGATAGATACTGACCTTCTCCTCAGACACTTCCAGGGACTTCAGGTTGTTGCCAACCACGCGCAGCTCCTCCTCAAGCTCCACAATTTTGCTGTTAGATGGGAGAGAAATGTTTATTAAATATTTGACAAAATAATCAAGTGGGCGAAGAAAGAGAAGAACAACTCATGCAATTGTTAAATATAAAGGTTTTCTTTTTGTGCGCAATTTATGCCTGTGGAAAAGAGAGGTTGACAGCAACACTTCACTCTCAAAAATAATCTTGTGGCTGTCTGACTGGAGGCGATGCTTGCTTGCCACCCGACCACCGATGGATGGCCAAGAGATTCCGCAAGACAAAAAAAAGCGTCAAATCATGTGGCCAAGGTCTGGCAAATATTTTTGTAATCATAACAATTGTTTTTAGACCGGACCGGACCGACATCATCTCCAGACGATTTCACTTTTTTGGCATTTCTGTTTGGTTTTTATTAGTTATTTTTAAACTATGGAAATTATAAATAAATATTTGTCCATCGCTGGCATAGATTGCGCACAAAATAAAACCAAAGAAAAATGTGTAGTATATTTAACGAAATGCAGTTAGTAGACAAAAAAAGTGGACATCAAATAAAGAGGCGCGCAGTGGCTGTGTTGGGGTGTTGGGGCATTGGACAAACCTTTCGCTGAGCTCAACTTTTTCCTCGGAACGCTCCAGATCCTGTTCCATGAGCACAAGTTTTCTTGCAACCTTCAGGCGGCGTAGGTGGGTAGGCGTAGCAGCAGGGCGGTATTCAAGGCAGCGCAGGGGCGTGGCAAGGTGTTAGCACGGGCATTGCATTAATGTACAAACACACAGACAACAACGGCAACAAAGTGTATTTGCATTTGTTTTTGGCATGGGTTAGGGAATGGCAATAGAAAAAATGTTTTCATAGATTAGTCAAGTGTCTGGCTTGGACGTTGGAAATGTTGGTACAAAAATGTGAATACTGTGCAGGATCATTCATGATTCATGATACAAGGAGCAAAGAGGTGCAAATTTCCTCATTCTTTTACTGTGCTGCGTTCTTCAGGTGGGGGATGAGGTGGCGCGTTCTCAGAGTGCTAGCTAGTGCAATCGAGGAAGCTTGAGAGCTTATAAGCCTTGTAATGTATTGGTGAGGGGTGACACTCTCCCAAGGCAACTATCAGCTATGAATAATTACTCTCTGAGAGCGCTCACTTCTTCATATTACTGCTTACGTATTAAGCACTGCTTAAACGAGGCTGCAACTGCTTGGGTGCATTCGTTTCGTGGGCTTTCAGTGCACTCTATAAATTACCCCTTCGAAAGGGAATTAGGGAAATTTGAACCTCTTTGCCTTACTTTGTTGCTCTTTGTGTTTTTTTTTTGTTTTCTTGTGCTTCGTTTTGTTCTAAACTACAAAACATGCTTTTTATTATACACAAAATTAGATGCCAGTGTATAGAATATTCACATTTTTCAACCAAACAATATATAAACATTTATGCAAAAAGCTAGCTAGCTAAAGGAAACAACAATAACAAAATCAAACTTTAAACTGAAAAATGTATAAAGGGAAATATGTACATGTACATATGTATGTATGTATGCAATAAACAGCGCTTTTGAGGTTAGGTTTGCGACAATTTCAACATTGTTTTTTTTTTAATTAATATTAGAAACAGCAAACGATTTTTGTAACATAACGTTTAACGTTTATTTGGTATAAATTTAAGCTTAAAACGTACTTTTCACCCTGTTCGGCACGTTCTTCGGCACGCTCCAAATCGGCTTCAACCATCGCCAATTTACGGGCAACCTTTTCTCATAGACAATTCATTTACAATTCGATTCGATTGATTGATTGAGTGTTGGTTTCGTTTATAATACAAGAAATGTTGTATGGCATATACAGGATACACAGGAGAACATACATATATAGAAAATGTATTAAATTTCATGTTTCGTTTTTTGGTTTTTGGTTTTTTTACACGTATATCTTTTAGTTGAGAAAAACATAAAGCATTAAGATGATATTTTGGTTAAATTCGTTTGCTCTTTGAATGTATGGTAATGTTTTGATGTATCGCCTTATGTTTAATTTAGTAAACAACATCACAAATTGTTTAATTTTATTATTATTTTGTGTTGTGTTTCGTGTGGGTCGCCCTATAAAACTTGTGCTTAACGCGTGTGTGTCTTTTAAGTCATACGATGGTGTATCTGTTTAAATTATAGCTTGATTTTCTATGTATTTTATTGCAAAAAGGAACCAGATTCGATGATATTTATACCATTGTGACTTTGTTGTACATTTCATAGGGATGTTTTGTGGAGTTTTGTATCGCTATTGATTGTGGAAACTATTTGTGGAACATGACCAAAAAAAAGGCCTTCCCAATTTAAGTTTAATCTAATTTTCTGAAAAAATTAACAACGGTTACCCTTTAAATATTTAATAATCTCCCTCTACAACCCTCTTAAAATTTCTCATAATACCTAAATGTTTTGGATATCATCTATCCCTAGAAACATTTCTTTGACAGCTTTTTTCGTTGGATTCGAGCTGTAACCTGTGCCAAAGGAAATTATATTCCTGAATTCAGAATCAAATAATTCATAATATCTACAATCCTAGCCTCTATCAAATCTTTATTCATTCATACCAATTTCCTCAAAAACATCACCCCTACCCCTATCTTCCCATAATCATAACCATGAAAACTCAGTTATTTAGAGGAAATTATAACCAACTGAAGCTCAACATTACAGCAACTTTATTTGGCCAAAAGATGCTTCATTTGAGAAAGGCGGAAATCATTTAACCAAACTTGGGGCTATTTGTTTATGGAACTACCAAAAGCTGACTACAAAAATTAGCCAATTTCCTGCATTGACGTATGCAAATAGTTTGCAGCGGGAAGTGAGAGATCCAGCATGAATGAATGAATCAGAAAAAGTAAATGCAAGGTAACTTAAAGTGTCGTCAGATCTTTAAGCAGAAAAAGATATGATGGGGAGATTGTGGATCGTTGGTCTCATTCCACACACATTTCTGGCCGCTGATTCACTCTTTCGAGTATGTACTTCCCTCCACAGGCAGCGACTCTCTCTCTCTCTCGCCCTCAGAGCGAGGGTCAAGTGGGGACCAGAGCATTACGTTTCGGATTCATCATCGATCGTTTTGGCAACATTTACAGAGGGTTTTTAGCCGCTTATGTCATGGGCCGCACACTTCATGCTGCAGTCGAGTCGAGCACAATGCCCATATTGGGGAGCGGCCTTCTCGTATCAAAAGTTTCAGTTAAACAAACTCTTTCCTTCTCTCTCTCTCTTTGGCCGTTCTTCTTTGCCTTAGTTTTCTGGAGAAAGATAAGGGGAGGCACAAAGGCAAAAAGTGAGGACGTAGACAGGCGAGCTTATCTGCAGGCAATGGCCGTGTATCAGTTAACAATTGGTTTAGTTAATCGATTTCTGACGATTGACGTGCGAAACACGTAAGCAAAAAAAAAAACTCTAAGAGCGTTCTCCTTGAGAATAAAGAAAGTAAACATCCTTATAAGCCAAATAATACCAAAGTATCTGTATCCATGATACAATGATTGTTGATAGTTTGAATGGATCGTCAGAGCAGAAGCTTTTCTGGATTGTTGGGACCCTTCTTCAGGTTTGGAAGATCAACCCAAGGCGATTGTCAGGTCTCCAGAAACATCAGCACATTATTGAAGAATAATCGAAGTTTCTCCTTTTTTAAGATTTAAAGTTTTTTCCTTTGAAATAGAGCCTTAACAATACAAATTTGTATTATGAATATTCGTTGCAATGCATGGATAAAAACCATTATCCTTCTGGATATGTGTCGATTGTATCTTTTAATGCAGTTCTCCGCTTCAGCATAGTCAAGTTGCCCCTTCAGTGAGAACTAGCAGATGGCAGATGGGAACTCTCTTAGTTTTATCCAATTTCCTGAAAAATTATGCATGTTCAGCTCCTCCTGTAAAATCATTTAGTGCTTCAGCACAGCATTGTTCCATAAGCATCATCTTTAATCATTTTATCAATGAAAGCCTCCAAAATAGCTACCTTTGAAATAAATTTCTTTCGCTTCTAATTAAACTGCAGAGATTTCAAACTTCTAACTTCATTTCCTATCCCTACCCAAAAACCTACAGCACACCACCTTTAACTTGCTAAAACATTCCTAAAGAAAATGTACAACAAATCGTAAAAGTTAAAAACATTATCTGCTCCCAGAAAAATCAAAAGTTAGTTGTTTTTTATGCTGCATTTATATATGTATTTTATAATATATATATATATATTTGTATTTGTATATAATTGTTATATAAACTTTAATTTGCAAAAATATTAAATCAAAAATTATTAAATGAATTGTTTTTTTTTTTTGGGTGGTTTTTTGTTGGGTTATTTTTAGAATTATGTAATTGTTGTATATAATTTTGAAATGAAATTAAATAGTCTTTACAATTGTTGCTTTTTGCAATAGAAATATAAATCAAATTACAATTGTTTTTAAATTGAAATAATCATCAAAATATATGCTTTTCAAGCTCCTTTATCTTTTTTTTAGAGTATATATATATATATATATATATATATATCTAGTACAAGGACGAATAACAAAAGTACACTTGGATTCTGTATGGATATCGCTTAACATTTAACATAATTTACAAAATAAAAGACACACACACACATGTGGGGTGGGGCCCTTTCTCCTTCAGGAGGAGGGGATGATATTAGGGGGTTCATTTGTTCATCAAACATCTCATTGGATTGTATGTACATCGACTAATACATCATCATCATCAGCTATACATATATTTATATTGCATATATATTGTGAGGCAACGGGCAGGCGTTGCATGCCTTGGATTCTATAGCTATAGCTGCCCTTCAAGCATCATTCGTTACTACATCATCATCATCATCATCATTGAATCGATTTTAAGCACAAGTTTTACATATCAACACTCGATAGTTGATTCCTGTGCCAAAAATATATTGGTTAGACCCTCTTTAAAGGGTTCCTTTTTTTTGTTTTTGTTTTCTTTAGATCCTTTGGAAAAGGAACCAAAATCAAGTATCATTATTTGGGGGATTGTTGTTGTGTTCATGTTCGTGGCTTGGGCTCGGGTTTGTGGAGGATAAAGTTGAAGTGATCTTCGCTTCACCAACAGCAGCAGATGCAATAGTTCTGGATGCGTTATTGTTGTTGGTGCTATTGTTATTAGCATTGGCATTAGCATTGGTATCGATATTGTTACTGTTACTGTTGTTGTTATCATTATTATTATTATTTTTGCTTATTAATGTAGAAACAGAAGATATATTGGTTTTTAGCTGCACCTCATCGTATTTCTTGTCAGCCTCCTCAGCAAGGAAACGCGCTTCCTTCAGCTGATTCTCGAGAGCGTCCATGCGTTCTTCATCGGCAAGGGCGCGATTCTCAAGAATCTTGCGAGCACTATATGTATGTATTCAAATACATATAGTCCCATCATTGTGTTTGCGGTTACGACGGCGACCAAGCCCATAGAAGACAGTGACCAAGTGGTTAGCGATGATTTAAGTTTTGTTCATTCATTCCGCCATTGGAAGAATCGAAGTTTGTTTTTTTTTTTTTTTTGGTACAGCCCCAAAGGATAGATAGAGAGTGTGAATCGAATCATTCGACGTCATCATCCACATCGTTGCGTGTTCGATAGTGTTGTTGTTAAACGTTAAAGTTGTTGTTGTTGGTTGTTGTAGTTGGTTGTTGTTATGACAAACAGATGGGCACAGTTGTGGTTCACAGATAGACAGATAGAATTGATTTTGTTTGGTTTTAATGAAATTTTTGTTGTTGTCGTGGTTCAGTTATAGTTGTTGTTTGTTTGTTTGTTGTAAAAAGAGAGACAAGAATTTGTTGTTGCCAGTTGAGTTTTAAAGTTTCGGATTTTGTCAATCAAATAATTAACAAATATTTTACAGGGAATTACAGACAGGGGGGGATGGTGTGGAATAGAGGTAGTACACGGAGAAGCTAAAACAATGGTGGAACGCCTTTTTTTTTAAGGAAATTTTCAATGGAATTAGGGGGAAATTGACTTAATTCGTTGTACAAATTACTTGGTGACGTGGGATGGGATTTGGTACAATAAAATAAAATCTCCAAATCAAATCGATTACTCGAGGGAAACATCTTCCACAAATGTGTGGAATGTGTGGAATGTGTGGCTAATGGCACTGCTCCATTGGCAGCTCTAATAACGGATATGGTCTGGACTGGTCTAGATCATCCGCCATTGATCTAGATCAAGAACTTGGAAAGTTGGAAAGTGTTCAACTGTCATAAATCATTGTTTCAGCTTCTCCAAAGACACATGACAAACATTCGGGTAGGGGAACGGGGGGTTTTTTTTTTACAGACATAATTGTTTTAACAGCCATTTGGACTAATAGACTACCATAAGCTTATGTAGGACATGCCTTTGTCCATATTTATAGACGTAAATTTTACAATATTTATACAAAAAAATTAGAAATGTAGATCAGCTATGGAGTGGTGTTTGCCAGTAGTTCCAACGGTGGGTCGACGACGTTTACTAAATGCTGTTTACAAAAAGTTTCTTAAGAATTAACTTAAAGATAAGTACCATCATTATTAAAATGATTATTATTATTATTATTAATTGTTGTTAAAGAGAGCGCAGATATAGACCCAAAACCTGATTAATAAACGCAAAAATGTTGACCCTAAGAGAAACAGAAACCTAACCTCAATGGAAAACCTAATGACCCTAAAGCCCTAACCCGAAAAGAGAGAGTATAGAAAACTCTCCTTCCGTATATAGATGGATATGATGACTATACCTCTTCGTATTTCTTATCGGCTTCTTCTGCAATTAATTTTGCTTGTGCTAATTGGTTCTCCAAGAGAGCCACTTTGTCATCTTCCATATTTGTGCGATTCTCAAGCGCTTTTCGTATCCTAAATTTGTTATCAGAGCAATGCATCATATTATAATCGATATATATGTAGATAGGGTAAATATAACTTGATAACTTTGATATTTTATGCTGTAAACTTATATAAATTATTATAATTATACATCATATATATAGAGGGGGGGTTGGGGGACTTGTATAGGTATAGGAATAGGACATAGATATATGGTAACAAATGTACTAACCGTTCGCTCTCATCGGCGGCCTGAGAGGCTTCCGACAGCTTGGCTGTGGCGGAACCCAGACGCTCCTCCGAGCGTTCCAAGTCTTCTTCGAGCAACTGAATGCGACGGTTCAGAGCAGCAACCTCAGATTCGGCCTATAAGACAATATATATGTTCGTACGAACCCAATATAGCATATACATACAACAAAACATTTATAAACTATAAGCTTAGCAATTAATTTACTTCTTACAATGCTAAACTTAGGAAACTTGATAATAAATACACTATAAAATGGATGCTGGTTTTGGTTCTGCTTTTCTCTGCTTTTGTTTAATAAATACACATAAATTCCTATTCAAATCTTTGCCATCTTTGGTATGGTAAATATCTGCTTTTGTATGTTAAATATCTACAAGAAATACACATAAATTCTATATAAAGAAAAAACTTTGCTATCTTTGGTATTGGTAAATACTGCCTTTGCGCTCTCTTTTACCCCCCCTAAAAGCCCAATCTTTAAATAAGTTTATTTGCTTTAAAAGTCGACCGTAGTTTCCATATTTTGGCTTCCACCTGTAAATAGAAATTCCTTTCTTTCCGTTTTCCGTCTTCCGCCGTCTGCCATGACGTGTTGCTGTTGTTGCCGTGTGTTGCAAGGTCAAACCAAGTGCCGACGCCCTAAAGCAGGCAAACAAAATTTCTTTGGCCAAAAGTAATCGATACCCAGAAGTCAAGCGAAAAGTTCAACAGAACTGAAACCGATATTCAAATACACAAAAGAAGCCAATTCAAGGCATTATTAGCCTAGGGCCCTGACGTCATCCTATGGAAAATATTGATGCGAGTTTTTCCCACAATAAAAGACGATGAGAATTAAATACCCATTAAAGAACGAAAAATATTCGACATTGACAATGCTGCTGCCATATAGAGGAGTTTGATTCGAACTATGAAAAGCGAAAATGTGAGCACACACAATCAAGCACACGCCCAAAAATGGTGAAAAAAAACGTATAAAAAAAGAACATCAAGCAAAAGCAACAAACTTTTGATCAAAAACGGCAAAAGCAATTGGACAAGGCAGTCCAGTCCCCCCAGTCCAGTCCACACATCCATGTCCATGTCCAATGAGACTGATATGGTCGGACATAGATAGAGAGCTACTGATATGTACATGCCGTAATGATGGAATGGCTGAATGACCAATTGACTGATTGGACGACGCTTAGAACCTCTCTCTCTCTCTCTCTGTCTCTCTGCCTGCACGAGTCGTAAAAGTATCGTGTGATTATGAATTGGAACCAACCGTGTTGTGTTGGCTTACGTCATCATCCCAAACAGCGGCAGCATACAAAATACACTCACACACACACACACATGTACGTTAAACGATAAAAAGCATTTCGAATTGGGGGAGCCAGAGCAGGGCAGGCAGAGGCGCGTAGCTTTCCAAACACCGAAAGTCACACAACAAACCGTTGATGAAGCACCGGAGATAGAGGAGAGCGGCCACCGCAGCGACAACGAAAAATGCCAAAAACAACAAAAGCACCACAAACGAAAGAAAGAAAGAAAACATCGAAAAACTACAGTAAAGTACTGACTAAACGAGGCTTTTTGATTGCTTTGCTTGATCATCATTCAGTGGAGGAGATCTTTCCTGGGAACATCTATAATATAGACAGAGCTTAGCTTCAGATGCAAATCAGTTGGCTACCTCGTTTAGCCAGTGCTTAAAAAGCCAACTCCAGTTGGGTTTCGTTTGGTAGCGGGAGTTGTTGGCAGCAGCAATGGGCGCGAAAGAGAAGAGATTGCACCACACAGTTGGAGAAGTTGGGAAGTTGGAGAGAGAGCAAGCTGTTGTGGTCGTCTCGCTCTCCCCCTCTATTTTTGAACTCATTAACAAAATGTATTGAAGATTAAACGCTTTATTAACAGCAACAAAAAGAGAAGTGAAGAAGAATAAGAGGCCAAAGAAAAGCTGGACAAGAACAAGTTTTTGGAGAGCAGTGGCCCCGGCCCCCATTGTTGTGGAATTTATGAAAAATGACCGGCAAAATGCAAAAAAAAAAAATAAAATAAAATAACACAACAAAAACAAAAACAACCGATCTTAACCAAATTCAAAAGCCATGAGCATGCAAAACCAGCTACGAGGCTGAGAAATGGTACAAGCCAATGAATTTTTGACGGCTTAGTCACACACACACACACACACCTTGGAATCGGGGAGTATTCCATTTGTTTTAGTTTTATTTTCATAAATTGCCTTGGCAACGAAATATAAAACAATAAAAATTTAGTGGAGCGCTGCGCAGGGCGTGGTGTGTGTGAGTGTATGTGTGAGAGTGTATTCCATTATGATGATGCATTTTTAATTATGAACTGAAAAAATAACGCCATGAAAATGTAAATCACTAAGAAAAACGGTTAAAGACGATGGACGCTCTCTCAGGCATGAAGTGGTTTTTCGGTGGCGATCGTGAGAGGGTGTGTAGCTTGGCTTGGCTTCTCTCTTGATACCCCCACCCAGCCCATGGCGTCATGTGTTGTAATCTTTAAATTACCGAATACACACACACACACACGCTTGCAGAGGACAAGGGGCAGGGAGCATAGGGAGCACAAATCAAAACCAATTTGTCACAAAAGCGCATTGAAATTATCAACGTTCAATTGCAGGACAGAGGGACACACAAAAGAGGGGAGAAAGGAAGTCTGAGCAAGGAGGGGAACACCAGATGAGAGGGAGGAATGACATTGAAAAGCATTCATTGTATAGAAAACCAACAACAAAAGCAAATTATGTTTTTGTTTTACATTTCAGAGAGGGGAAACCAAACGTCAATCACTCGCTGGCAGCGTGGAAAAGTGGTGAACGAATGGGGAGAAGGCAATTGTATTGGTTTTAAAATCAACCAAAGGTTCCTGGAACACAGTCCTGAGCCGCCAAACAAAAATGACGTCAACATATGCTGTCATTGGCACATTCTCTGTGATTTCATGCACACACACACACACACACAATTATACGGGTGGGGTGTACTGTTCGCCCCAAGGAGCCCTACAGTAATCGCTTTGCGGCATTGCTCTCTCAATTGTCTAATTAGAATCGAATTAAGCACAAAATGAAAAATAGAATTAAAAGAACTCAACCATTTATTGATCATAATTAATCGAATTTAGAACACCGCTAGCTAAACGATGTGGCTGGCTGCCACTTTGCGGCTGCTGCCGTTGCGCTTCTTCAGCTTTGAGCCGGTTTTTATTATTTTTTTTTTTGTCGCTGAGAAAGCAAAAGATTTCTTTTCTCTTCTTTTTTTGCCTTATGTAAATGCGTGTCAGTGTGTGTATGGCGTATGGTGTATGCTAATGTTGCGCTATGTGCCGTGAAGCGAGAGAGATAACGTACAATTTGAAAGGTGAATTCATTCATTTCGTCTCAAAGATAAAAACAGTTAACCCCAAAACTATAGAGAGAGAAGTGACACAATAAGGCACAAGCGGAAGAACAATAGTGGTGGTGCATGGCCACGAACCACCCTGTGCCTCAACTATTTGCCCAAAATGTTGTTCAAAAGAGTAACAAAAGGCAGGGGAAAACAACAACAGAATAAACGGGAGAGGCCAGAACCAAAGTCGCTCTCTGGAACTCATGCGAGCGAGAAGCCCGTCGCGACACTTGCGGTTGTCTCGCTCCCACAAGTACACACACACACAAACACACGTCTCTCTCTCTCTCTGAGAGAGTGTGAAAGAAATGGTTAACTATCTTTTTTCCACAGGTAGGATTTATGCAAAATTTATAAGACAGGTCACGCAGTATTTAAACCATACCAAAGATAGCTAAATTTCCACTAAATTCTGTAGAACTAATAGGGAAATGAAGGTCTGGCTTACTTCTTCGCGTCGAACCACCTCGAGTTGCAAGCGCTTGTGGAACTCCTCGCACTCATCTTTATACTTTTCCATTTCTTCTTTGGTCTGACGCATTTTCTTCTTGAGCACGTCCAGGAGAGTGCCTTGTGGAATGCTGGTCGTCATTTTTGAGTTTGGTTGTGGGTGTTTTTTTTTGGACACTTGGACTTTGCGTTGGCAGGGAAGCCGGGGGCACTGAAGCACACTTGATATTGGCCTTTTTCGCCTTTTACTGTTACAATTTCAACAGTTGCTTTCTGGTGATGGTATGGCAGCACCAAAAATATATAATTTTACAATTTGAAGAACACACACCAGCACACGCACGGAGAATGGAACGACACTCACACACACATACAATGAAGAAAAAACCACCGGTTTTTTTTCCTCTTTCTCTTCGACTGCTTTTTTTTCTCTCGCTTGCGTTGGCTTTCTAGGCAGCGTTTAGCTGGTTTTAGGGACTTTAACTGGCACACAAAGTAGTAGTAGAATAAATAACGAATAAATATTTAATATTTGCTATTGGGTAGCGAAATAAAACACACACAAGTCGACGACACACAAAACAGAGACGACCGACGCGGTTCGAACGACGGATTGGAAATGAACGAACGATGAACAAAAAAGAACTATTCACCGTGAGCGAACTGAACAAGTTCAGCTAAGTCGTTCCGTTGAAACACTTGGCGTTGCGGTGGTGTATGTCTGACAGAGACAACTGGTGTATCGGCGGTCTACCCCTATGCGTGTGACTTTCCAGTCTGTCTGCCTCGCCTAAAACTTTATGCTGGTGTGTGTGCATGTGTGCTCATGAGCGGAGCGACTTTGTGTGTGTTGGTGTGCCGCTGGAAAACCTGTTAAAAGCCGCTAAAATTCTGTCGACATGTTTGTTGTTGTTTGGCATTAATTAGTGAAGAAATATTTAAGATTTTTGTTATTTCTATGCAAATAATATGGACAAAAAAATGCCCAAGTCAAATCCAATCTCCATTTAGGCTGGAAATGAGTAATCAGGTAGTTCTCTCCAGGTGCATACATACAGCACTTGTACAGACATACAAGACAGCTGCGTGTGTGTGCATTTGCCAACGCAACGCCCCTGCCTTTTCCCCAAGCTAATTGTACTGTATAATACAAAACTACAATGCCGGTGCTTTATCAGGCTTATCAGCACGCAAGCAAACAACGTAAGCGTGAGAGGCGATTTGACTAGACAACGTAATGACTAATCGGGCAAGTTTACTTTCAACTCACTTTCCAGCGATTGTCCCCCCCACACACGATATCGATATCATATCGGGAGTTTTGAATTTGAAAAAGTTCTATGCCCCCGAGGGTTCTCCCACCTGTTGCTGTGTCATTTAATTTGTACATATTCTCGAACTCTCATCCCTATTCGGCGATGGCGTAATTGTTGATAATGCTAACAATGAGCGGCTGTCCATTTTTAGCCAGGCGGCATTGAAAAGAAATTAAAAGTAAATGCCGCAGTCGCATCGAAGGTCGTTCGCTATGGGAACACGTACATAGCCCGTATCAACATTTAATAATTAATTTGTACACCAAATTGGCAAGTCGGGCTTTGTACAGAGAGCATTTGCGCTATGCTTTGGCCATAGATGGTAATGTTTTCCTTTTAGTGATATTTGTAGTAGAAGCATGTAAGCGGCCATTTATGGGGTTGGGGCCAAGACCACATAGAGTATGGTTATAGAACCCGAGCCCGAAACACCCCACCCACCCCGTATTGGCGGGGGAGTAGCACTCATATTTGTACCATTTTAGAGGGCTTCCCTACAGAGAGATAGAGTGTGAGAGAGGGAGTGTGTGGTGTGGGAGTGCGCAACAGGTACCGTTCGAAATTTTTGAGCAATTGCGTAACTAATTAAACAATTGCCTGCAATTAAGCAAACATGTTTGCTTTGCTGTATCAAAATGGTTGAAATATTTTTTATGCTCTCAGTCTACGGGTGGTACATGAACATAGGGGAAATGCAAATGAAATGCTGACGAGCGTCGACCATCGGAATGGCAAGAAAAAGGTGAAAGAAATGGCCATAAGTACATGCAAAGTGGGTCAAGATTTGCATGTGTGTATGAGAAGAAACCGCAGAAAGAGGCCTCCCCAGCCAAGCCAAGCAAAATCATTTCCTAGGGGACCTCTATTTATAATCAATATGTAGAAAGAATTAAAGAGCTCCCACCAGAAAATTCCATGTAATTCCTCAACGCAAGGGCAAGAAAATGAGAAAATGAGAGGGAGCGAGCGGAGAGGAGAGGGTTTAAAGAAAATCAGTTGACAACGGGCCACAAAAGAGTTAAGATTAGATTGGAGAGTCGAAACATTTGATACCCTAGCGAGATTAATACTCTATTGAATTTAAATGATATAACGCTAGCGTTTGCTGATTCTAATCAAAAAAATTAATAAGGATTGGGGGAACAGAAATTCCATTTCTCTGTCTGGTAAACAGCTTGCTCAAATCGTAGTACCCTGCTCTAGGGCATATCGCGAAAAAAGAAGGCAACCAAAGTCGACAACGACGACGACGACGTAATCGCTTTGCAATGTGCAAACCACACAAAACTAACAACAACAAAACATTAGATATACAAAGAGAGAACCGAGGAAAAGAAACAAGAGATAGGCAACAACAAAAATTGGAGCAATCATAGATAGAAAGAGCGATAGAGGGACGAGAACCTAACCAAACTTTGCAACGAACAACAGCCAGGGAAGTAGACATCAGTTGGAAGACGGAAGACGTTCTTTCATTGGCTTGAATTAGATATAGAAATGTGATTAGTGGAATAAATATAGAAAAGACTCCCATCATCATCATCATCATCATCGATGCGCTCTGTCATCTGCTAATTACCCTTTTTAGTTGTGTATTCATGATGTTGTGCAGCTCGTTCCGAATGATATTGAACTTCATCATGGTGTCCGAACTGAAGATGGAGCGTCCAAAGGCCAGGCCCGGATAGTCCGCACACCGTCCCTTGTTGCGGCGTGCCTCTCGCTCTGCCACAATCTCGGCCGCCTCGCTGGTGCATCGCAATTTGGACCACTCCGCAGACTGGTTGTCGTCGTCATCGCCCAGTGCTATGCCCTCGTCAATGGCGCTGGCACTGAGATCGGTGGCCAGGCTATCACTGCTGGCCTCCATTGCACTCGTGCCATGTCCATGACGCTTGCTGCGCTCTCGCTTCCCCGACGACGACGAGGAGGAAGACTTCTTCTTGCGCTCTGATTTTTCACCTTTGTCACTCTTCTCCGACCTGTCGCCTCTATCACTCTTCTCAGACCTGTCGCCCCTGTCCCGCTTCTCGGACTTTTCGCCTCTGTCCCGCTTCTTTTTCTTGCCACTGGACGGTTTGCCTTCCTTCCCGTTGGGTGGTAAGGGCAAGTCTGAAGGCGTTGCTGTTGTTGTTGTTGCAGTGTTGCCCGCTGTGGGCGTGGCCGCACTATCATCTTGAACGCTGCTCTCATCCGTGGGCGTGGGACTGTTGCTGCCCAGGGAATTGGTCACCGAATCGGTGAGTGGAAGACTAAGGGTGCTGCGGCTAATCGGTGTGGAAGGCGTCTCCACGGGTGTATCAATCTCGGGCTCCGGCTCCGGCTCTGGCTGAACCTCGCCACGCAGATTGGAGAGCACGCCCTTGGAGTCGCCGCGATAGAGAGCGGCCAGTATCTCCTGGACATTGGGCACATTGGGCCGACGTGTGCCCGAGAAGCGTGGATGATGCTGATGGCCACGACGTTTCAGGGCGGCTGGCACCAACGGTGAAGAGAGGCTGTGGGTGCTGTTGCTGCCCGTCCCACTGGTGCTCGACAGGCCATCGTCGTCGGCACTGTTGTTGTGCGACATATTGTCGTCAGAGTCGGAGGCGTCGCTCCAGAAGTCCGTCGATCCCGACTCGTACTCACTGTTGGAGCTCTGATCGCAGATGAGCTGTTGGTACCTTTCGTAGATCTGGGCTAAATACAGTTCGGCCTCCTCATCGTAGTATAGCAGATCGTCCAGCACATTCAGCTGCGCCTCGATGGAGCACCAACGCGAAGACTGCCCCGATAGTGCCCCGTCACTGCGACTGTGCCTGCCGCTGCCGCTGCCACGCTGACGCTGATGTTTGCCTGTTTTTGGTTTTGGTTTTTCACTTTTTAACAATTGTTTATTGCATGCGCGTTTGTTACGCGGCTGCTGTTTCTGTTGTTGTTGTTTGTGTCCTGTAGAGGTGTCAAAACATTCAAAACTATCGATGGCTCAACTATCAATCGTTTGGCAGCTCTAGTTTCCGAGAGCAGACAGACCCACAAGATTTATCAATAAAATATACCGCCTGACCCACAGAAATATACCCAAATATACCATTCCATTATCAAAATATACCGTAAATATACTGACGGACACGACAAGACGTTGATATTCCTCGATTTTGATATTCCGTTTAATATTACTAGCTAGTTGGACATCTGAGCCCTAAACAAATAATTGTTTCCAATTCCTCAATAAGTTTTGTTTAGGATAGGCTAGTTTTCAGAACTCTTGTTCATTGGTTTGTTCACATAACAAGGTTCAAACAAAAACGGCCAAAGCATAAAACGTAAATTTTGACTAAATGTGACGTCATTGTTGCTGGTCAACAATGTATATACGTTCCAAATGCGTTCCCGTAAGATAAGATACATGTGGCTCACACCACGAAAAGGAGGAGAAAGTCTTCACCTCGGAAAATAGAGCAAATTTTTTAAAACCACTACGATTTGAGAGACAGAATAATATCGATATTTGGTACTACCAGATAACTACACCCGCACTGCAGACAAACAAAAGCTGACTGCCATGTGCACGTGAGTTATCGGAGGTACTGCCTTAACTGCTTTAGATTTGATTTGAAATTATACAAATCATATCTAATTCAATTGAGATTGAATGCTGATTTCGTTACGCTTTTGTTGTGGTTGTTTGTCGTTGCCGCCGCTAGTCAATAAATGCCGATGCGCCCGCTTTATTTGATGGGCCAGCCGGCGCGCCGCACTGCCAAAGTATTTGTACTTTTGATTTTGTGATGGTTGCTGCGTTGTTGGTTTAACGGTGGCCGTTTCTTTGGCTGTTGTTGTAATTGCTGCTATTTTTGTTGTTGCATTTGTTTTGGGTGCAGTTTTTTCACTGCTTTTGCTTGCTTTTGGATTGTTTTGCTTTGGTTTGGCCGTTGCTGTGCTTTTGTTGTAACTCACTTTTTGCCACTCATATGCATTATTAACTTTTGCATTTCCTATTGTTAATGTTTTCTCGTACATATTAATTATGTGCGCCGGCTTTTGCTACAGTTTGTTGTTTGTGTGATTTGATGCGTGATGATGTTTTCGACGTTTTGTTGTTGTTGTTGTTGTTGCTGGTTTATTCAAACAGCTGGGCTCATTGTACCGTTAGTTGTTGGTTTTTGGATTCCGAATTTCCTTTTTTCTCTAGCTATTTTTATTGATGATTTAATAGATCGAATTTTTGTTTGCTCTTTTTATCTCTTTAGATTTTCAATAGCGCGTGAAAAATGGCAGAGAAAAGTTTTCGCGTTTCTCTTTCTCTTGTTGTTGTTGTTCTTTTGGCATGTGTAACGGTTTATTTATGTAATTTGTGAAATCTCTAGAATTTCATTTAATGCGTATTAAATGAAAGTAGTGACTTTTCTAATTAATTAATTGATAATTGATTAACCTATTTATGTTGATTTTATAAGAATGCGGGTTTCATTTAATTATAATTTATAATTTATTTGATTTGGATTTTAGTTTTCCGATGGGGTTGAGTTTGAGGCGGCGGGCGGCGGCTGGTCTGCTGCTTGCTGCTGCTTGAGGTTCTTCGGCCCCGCTGCTTGCTTCGGCGTTGTACTTGAAAGTGTGTGCTGTGCCTGTGCCGACAATTTTGGGGCCATGCGCTCACCGGCAGTGGTGCTTGCTCTCTCTCAATCTACCAAACTACATGTCTATCTTCTCTCTCTCTAATGCGCCCCCATACAAAGCGTGGCGGACGTGTGGCACATGTCCGAGTGAGTCAGCATGATGTGTGTGTGTGTGTGTGTTGCACTCTGATCGTACATCGTACATCCAGGGGGAGAGTGAGAGAGAGAGAGTACGCCACAGCCCCACAACCAACACCATCCACCCACTCCCTATAGTGATGCTCTCTCTCTGACACAAGCTTTCACGCAGGGTATATGCAAGCAGTGGGTGGGTGGGCAAGTGCTCTGCTTTGGTCGCGTGGCAGAAAGCAAAGCGTCGGCAGAGATTGAGGAATGCCTGACCATGTCTCAATATGCCTTGCAAACTCTCTGGCTCCTGATCTCTCTTACTCTCTTGCGGTATTTGCGTTGAGTTTTCCTGGTCTATTCATTCCATTTCAGTTTTTGTTTGTTTTAATTGCTTATCTCTGTACTTTTTTTCCATATTTCGTATTGTTACTCAGGCGCAGGCATCGTCATATCTATTTGAACGATACGGATACGGGGCAGGGCCGTCAACGACAACAACAACAAACGCCACAACTGATAATTTGTCAAGATCTCATAGTTTATGCTGTCCGGTAAGTATATTTTTTTATTTATTTTTCACGCCTCTGGTTACCTGAAAATGTTGAATTTTTGAAACGCTGCCAAAACGCCAAAAGTCCTTGAAATACTTTCCGAAAATGTCCCAAATCAAAAAAACAAATCGTGAGAAGAACAAAAAATTCAATTCAATTTGTATTATTTTTTTCTTGTGGAAAGCACAAGGCGGTGGCGGCCCAACGCCAAGAAAATTGTTCTAAATACTGTACAGAAGAAAGGAGAGGAAACCATTTTTGTTTTTGCATGCAAATATTTTGGCAAACACAAATTTTCATTTGTCTTTGCGTTATTTGATATTGCCCGACACACACACACGCACACAGGCGCGCATGCGTTGCTGGCGCGCTCTCTCTCTCTCTCTCTCTCGCACCAACGGGCTGCTATTTCCGACGAATTTAAAAATAGCGCCGCACCAAAGGCGCTGCCAACAGTAAAAAGAAAAAACGCATACTCAGACAGAGTGCTTCGTGGCAATTGCTGACTGCTGTTTCCTTTTGTTTGAATTTGAATTAAAAATTGTATGAGAACAAGCACCTCGAGCTGCTGCTCATAAAAATGGAATGGAATTTCCGCCCCCCAAACATTTATCTCATTTCAAAGAAGGTGCCAGAAAATTAGCATTAAATTGCCGCAACGATGACACAGTTTTCCCGCTGGCCCATTTTCATTCTCTAGCACCCCATCCCCCACATTTCCTGAAGCTGTATAAAAAAATCACTTATAATCAAATTTATGTGTATTTCTTGACTTGTATCTGAACCCAGATGCATTTCATAGGGTATATTGTGAAATGGCCTAAAAAGTAAATGTTTTTTCTTAAGATATATAGATACTTATTTTAAGATATTCTTTCTGGGAAATTTGTAACATTTTTGAGTGCGCTAACAAATGCCAGACTGAATTTCAAATGATTAATGGGGTCTGTCTCTCTAATGTTTTGAACGTTTTGTCAAGTGATTAAAGAATTATGATTTTTGGGGTTTTTTTTTTTGGGTTGCCTAGGAACAACTTTAAAGATTGAGCTATGCAGAATTTTGACTTTGAATTAAGATAATAAGTTTAATCTAGGAATATGATTCCAGGGCTAATGGGAAAATTGCTATAAAATTAAAGGGAAGCTAACTAACTAACTAACTAATTTATTTCCAACACTTAAATTTAACTTAAGTTTTCCTGTGATCCAAAAAAAGTTTTGAAACATTTCTTCTCTAAGCCTCGCTTAGAATCTATGCTAAAATATTCTAAGAGGTAGGAAATTCTTGAACTTACATTCTGCAGGGCCTTGTTCTTCTCTTCCAGCTTGCCAGTGACAAGTGTGAGGGCCTCCTGGGTCTGATCCAGCTCGTTCTCAACGGTCTGGATTTTCTTTTGCAGCTGGCGAGCCTCCTCCTCGGCCTTTAATCATAAAATTTCAGAAATAAAATATGAATAAAATGCAAACAAGAAAATGGCATGTGTGAACAAGATTTATTGTGTGTTTCGGTTAGGGATCATCGAAGCAAGAGATGATATTCATGTAAACCTTTAATTATGTTTTTTGTTAAATGTTAAATGTTTCTCCCACTCTCTGGGAGCAGTGCGTGTGGTTTTTAGAGTGGGGAGTGTTACTATATATATGTATATGGATTATATAGGCAGCTACACCACCTAATGGTTGAATTACCTTTTCGGCGCGGGTGTTGGCATCGCGTGCCTCTTGTTCGCAGACGAGAGCGCGCTCCAAAGCTCCATCCTTGTCGACTTTCATCGCTTGCATCTTCTTCTTGATGGCATCCATGGTGTATGTTTATTTGTTTTTGCTACTGTACTCGAAAGAAACTGCAAACGAAATGAAAAATGATGAAAAATGGCAATGAAAACGACGCTTGTTGTGGTGCAGCCAATAAACCAATTAATAAATTTATGCGATAATCATCTACGATTTGGTTTATTCGCAATGGATAAGAAAATAAAATTTAAATTAAAAAACTTGTTTTGTGTGCACAGAAAGTGAAACTCTCTTTTTTGCAGTGGAGAATTGCATTTGCATTTTACGAAACTTTAAATGAAAGTGGAAGCTAAAAGGAAGCTAAAATCCTTTCTGACTAATTTCTGAGGCTTATGCCATGATTATTCTAACTTTGAGCTTGAAGAAAACTAAACAAAACGAATTTTAAATTGTTCATTGCTTGGTTTGCTTTTCATTGTATTATCTGGCCCTGCTTTTGCCACTAAAATACACTTGTCTTTTGGCTTATCTTTCTGTTATCAGCATTGAGAGTGCAGTACTGTCCCCCCAGCGAATGAGCGAGCAATTTCCGAACAATTCTCTACCCTTTTTTGGGCTGAAAGGTGGCAAAACCCATTAATTATTCGCACGAAACCAAAAATCGAAAACACTCAAGGCCCAGCTCATGCCCAGACCAGATATACTGAGCATTGTTCCAGCTCATCGGACTGTGAATTGAGCTTTTAATATTTTGTTGGCGTTTCTTCACGACTTTTATTCCCGCTTCTGGGTCTCTCCTCTTGAATCTTGTGAGTGTGTGAGTTCTTTTTTTTTGCCTGAGAGTGTTTTGCTCATCTCACAGTAAATCATTTAAACGAGGGAATACCTGACTAGGTAATGCACGTTTTTCGGTTTTCGGGGTTCTTGAAGAACTGTCTCTTAGTTATGCAGATCACATCGCATCGGAATGGTATGGCATGGATTGAGAGCGAAGCTGGATGCATATTTGAGTAGAGAGTTTCTGTCTGTCACCCCCCACCAAGAAATTGGTGCCAGTATATTGAGAGGCAGCCCCAAATGTGGGCCAAGAAAAGGGTTCAGAAATAGCCATGGCCACAAGAATTTATGACGTGTAATATTTATAGTTTTTGTGTGTTTATTTTGATTGATCTTTCGTAAGAAAGAACCTTTGCTTTGGCTCTAAATCATCATAGTGCAAATCTTAGGATTTTTAAAAGAATTTAGATCTCAGGGCAAATATATATATATATTTTGCTATTTCTCGTTCTCGTTAAACTTCTGAAAGATTTACAAGCGAAAGTGCTTGTATATCTTGCCATCCTTAACAGAGTTCTACTGCAGCAATATCCTTAATTTATTTTGTTCCATTCTAAAGCAAGTTCCTTTTAATATAGATAACCTTAAGCCCTGTATATTCCCTACAAACATATACAATAATCCTACCACTCTTAACACTCATCAATGAATCATTATCAGCCACTCAGTTGGCTTGGCTTAAACTATGCTTCTTCTCGTGTTTGGCTCTGACTCAGTGTGGACTCAGCTGGGGCCCTGGGGGGGCTTAACCTCTTCCGTGTCATTTGCACACCCCATTCCAGTGCACATTCTTCCGCTACCTCCTTTCCACCACATACCAACAACCAGACACTCCACTTGACCAACATTTGTCATGGCCTGCGCCGAACCCAGGCATGCAAGTCCACTAATTGAGTCAAGTTTTAATTCTGTATTGCTGGCCCAGCCCGTGTGCTGGCTCTTGTTCTTTTCAAAAACATTAATTTATTTTTAAACATTTTTTTGTTTACATTCCGCTGAGCCTCTGAACCTCAGGTTCAACGAAAGAACAACAAAAAGAAAAAGCAACCGAAGGAAAACAAAAATTGAATTTAAATTACGAGTAATATTGCAATCGAGGCAAATTTGTTTGTGTTCGTTGAAACACACAGACACACAGACGAGTGAGTATGTGCCCCATGTGCATATGGCGGCATTTGGCATATG